GCTTACGCGGCGGGCACGGCGCAGTCGTCGCACTCCGAGCTAAGACGCCGGAGCTTACGCGGCGGGCACGGCGCAGTCGTCGCACTCCTCCTTCGCCTTCGCCCCCTTGGGCGCCGCCGCGCCGTCCGGCACTTTGACGGCCGCGGCCGCGGACGCGGCCGCCGCGGCCGCGGGCGCCGGCTCGAGGGCGGCGCTCAGCGCGGCGAGGGTCTGGAGGCCGCTGAGCTCCGCCGGCGGCGCGCCCGCGCCGCGGGGGATGACCCACGTCGGGTACGCGGCGACGTCGGCCTTCGCGCATCGGCCGGGGTCGCCGCCCTTGCCGCGCGGGTCGCACTCGACGCTCGGCACGGCGCTCCAGGCCGCCTTCCCGAAGAGCTGGCGCTGCTTGTCGCAGTAGGGGCACCAGTAGGTGCCGTAGAAGACCGCGCCCGCGGCCTTCAGTCTGGAAGCGACGGCGACGGCCTCCTTCGACGACGCGCCGTCGACGGGCGGCGGCGCGACGGAGCCGGGCTTCGGCGCCGGCTTGGCCGCCTCCTTCCGCAGGCCGGCGATGACCTCGAGCTGCTCGAGGCTCCGCACGCCCGTGTAGAGCTTCCCGTCGGGCGTCGCCCACGTCGGGTACGCGCGGATCTTCGCGGCCGCGCAGAGCGCGGGGGTGCCGTTCAGGCCGTCGGCGTCGCACTCGACGTAGTTGACGAGCTGCGCCGCCTCCCGGCCCAGGAGCTGGCGCTGCTCGTCGCAGAAGCGGCACCAGTACGCGCCGTAGAACTCGACGCCGAGCGCCTTGAGCCGCTCGGCGACGCGCCGCGCGCGCGCGGTCGAGCTCTGGGTCACGGGCGGCGGCTCCAGCGCCGTCGCGACGCAGCCGAAGGAGTTGCACTTGACGTTGGGCGGCATGGGCGGCGCGGCGCGGGCTGTTGCAGTCGTCGTGAGCGTCGTCGCCGCCGCCGCGCCGCTTAGGAAGGCGCGCCTTTGGAGCGCGCGCTGGTGTTGTGGCGCGAGCGCGACTGCAGACGGCTGGTGTTGTGGCGCGAGCGCGACGGCAGACGCGAAGAGCAAGACGCGCATGGCGCACGACGCTGAGGAGCTGGGTGACGACGGCGGCGGCGGCTTTTGTGCAAGGTCTTGCGCGGCGCCGTCTCGCCACAGCTCCTCCCCGGAGGTCCGGTCGCCCGAGGCGCCGCCGCACGGCCGCCGCGCGCGAGCCGTCGCCGTCGCCGCCGCCCGAGCGGCCGACGCGACCACCGCCTCCGTCGCCGTCGCGCGCCGCCACTCAACCATGGCGTCGACGACGATGAGCTCGAAGATCAGCTTCCACGCGGCGAACGTGGGCAAGACCCGGCCGGCCCTCGAGGCGCTCGTGGCGCGGTCCGGCGTCGCGTCGGAGAAGGCCGTGGCCCTGTCGCGGCGCGTGCGCGAGCTCGACGACCGGCGGACGCGGCTCGCGGCGGCGATCCAGGCGACGTCCGACGTGCTGTCGCTGCGGAGCTGCGTGTCCGGCGTCGCGGACGCCATCGCCGTCGACGACCTCGAGCGGGCGACGGAGTTCGTCGGCCGCTTCCGGCGCATCGAGGCCGCGGCGGAGGCCGGCGGCGAGGCCTACGACAACGAGCTCGCGCAGATGCGCGAGTCCACCGCGCGCGTCGAGGAGGTCGCGCGCGCGCGCTACTTCGAGGCCTGCGTCGCGCGCGACGACGAGGCGCTGGAGCGGTGGCTGCCGCTCGTGAAGCGGTTGGGTTTGGTGGACGCGGCCTGCGGCCAGGCCTTCCTCGAGCACTTCCGCCACCTGCTGCGCGGCGCCGTGCGCGACGTCGTGGCCGACGCCGAGTGCGCCGAGAAGCCGCTGCTCGCGCTGCAAAAGGTCATCAACGCCGTCGCGGGCGTCGTCACGCGGCGCCTGACGCACGGCGCCGTCGCGCTCGAGAGCGAGCGCTGCGGGCCCAAGGGTTTGTTATTAGCCCACGACGCCTGCGAGGCCGCGGCCCTCGCCGTCGTCGCGAAATTCGCCGCGGAGTCGGGCGTCGCCGCGCTGGCGGCCGAGGCGCGGCGCGACGACCGGTGGCCCGCCGCGGAGTCCGCGCGGCCCGTCGGCCTCGACGATCTCGACGGCCTGCTCGAGGACGTCGCGACGGCGCTCCAGCGCCTCGAGACCTGGCGGCGCTTCGCGGCGCACTACGCGCGGGCGACGCTCGGCGAGCCGGACGTGCTCGAGACGCTGGAGAAGAACCGGCTCGCGGACGCGGCCGCGGAGCTCGGCGGCTGGTACGCGACCCTCGAGAACCGGCTCTGCCTCGTGGCGCTGCGGACGGCGGAGCGGCTCGACGCGACGGCGGACGTCGCGGGCGCGCTGCGCAGCGGCGACGCGCCGTCCGACGCGCCCGTGTCGACGGCGGCCGACGACGGCTTCTGGGCCGCGCGGCGGTCGGCGGCGCGCGCGCTCGGCAGCGGCCACGCGGGCGCGGCGTTGGAGGTTTTGACCTTCGTCGCCGAGCACCTCGGGTCCGTGACGCAGCACGGCCTGTCGACGCGGGCCTTCGACGCGTGCGGCCGCGCGGAGGCGCTGTTGAGGGCGGAGCTCGGCTTCGGCGGGTTGCTCGAGGCGTCGACGGCCGACGAGACCGTCGAGGCGCTGCGGGCCGGGCTGGAGCGGCGCGCGGAGGAGGTCGCGGCGAAGACGCTGGGGTTGGCCGCGCGCGCGCAGGGCGCGCTCGAGGGCGCGGAGGTCGTCGCCGCGGCGAATTCCGCTTTGGGCGCGTCGTCGCCCGAGGACCGCGCGCGCGACCTCGACATGGCGCTCCTCGAGGCCCAGGTCGCGCTCAACACGCTGGACCTCGCGGCGTCGACGCACCTCCCGCGCTTCCGGCTCCACGTCGACGACGAGGTCGCGGCGAGTTACGGCTCGGACGCGTCGAAGCCCGAGGTCGCGGCGCTCCTCGGCGCGGCCGCGGCGCTCGGCGACGGGCCCGGCGCCACGCTCCCGAGCGTCGGCGCCAAGTTCGCCGGCGCGCTCGAGGCCGCGCGCGGCGCGCTCGTGAGCTCGGCGCTCGCGCGCGACCTCGAGGCCGCCGTCGCCGACGCCGCGGGCCTCAACGCGCGCGCGCGCTTCGCCGTCGGCGCCGGCGGCGCGCCGCACCGCTACGCCGCCGACGAGCAGCTCTTCGAGGCGCTCGACGCCGTCGACGACTTCGGGGACCGCGTCGGCCGCGCGGCCGCGGCCGCCGCCGCGCGCGCGACGGCCGCGCTCGGCCCGGCGAACAAGACGCGCGTCGCGGGCCTCCTCGCGGAGGTCGCGGCCGACGCGCTCCTCGACGACCTCCAGGACAAGGCCGCGGCGGCCCGGGTGACGGCGCTCGGGGCGCTCCAGCTCGACCGCGACGTCCGCGCGCTCCGCGGCGCGCTCGCCGCGGCCTTCGCGCCGGGCGACGCGCGGCCCGACGCGGCGCTCAACGCCGCCGTGCGCGAGGGCCTCGGCGTCGCGTCGCACGCGGCGACGCTCCTGGGCCTCGAGGACCCGAAGGAGGCCGCGGACGTCGTCTCCAAGTTCGTCATGCCCGAGGACCTCCCGCCGATCCTCGCGCTGCGCTGGGGCGACGCGTCGCCGTAACACAGACCCGGGGTTACCCGGCTCGGGTCGCCGAGGTACCCCGCGAACCCTCGTCGGCGTCCGAGTTAGCCGGGATTCTAGGGCGCGGCGGCCGCCTGGCGGCTGCGCTTGTGCTGGAGGACGAGCTGGGAGCGGAGCGCGGGGAGCACGAGGCGGCTCTTGGGCACGCGCCCGCGGCCGAGCGACGACCACGTCGCCGCGGCGGCGACGTTGTGCTCGCCGCCGAACGCGCGCGCGGCCGCGGCGGGCCGCGCCGTCGCCTTGGCGGCGACGCGGTTCTCCGAGAGCTTGCGCCGCCGCTGGCGGGGCGTCGCCGTCGTCGCGCGGCGCGGCGACCCCTTGGGCGGCCGCGGCCGGTCCATGGCCGCGCGGTCCCGCGGCGACGCCGTCGTCCGCGGCCGCTCGACGTCGAGCGTCGCGATCGCCGACCCGCGCGCGGACTCGGGCCGCCGCGCCTCGAAGCCCCTGGCGTACGCGACCACGCTCTCGGACACGGGCCCCGCGTCCGGCGCGAGGGTCGCGCAGAGGGCCGGCGCCACGGCCGCCGCGGCGTCGACGGCCGCGGCCTCGTCCGCCGTCGCCGCGCGGCGGCCCTCGCCCGTCTCGACCCAGAGCACGGGGACGACGGTGCCCAGCGCCTCGGGCGCCGCCGCGCGGCCGCCGACGGTGGACATGAAGTCCTCCTCGAAGGGCCGCGCGCCGCGCGCGACGAAGGACAGGCCCACGCAGCGGAACCGCCCCTTCCTGAGCCGGAGCCGCAGCGACACGTCGGGCGCGGCCGCGTCGCCCCGGACCCGGAGCCCCGCGGTGTAGCCCTGGCCCCTCACGTCCAGGTCGAACTCGACGCTCCGCTGCGTGTCGTCGCCGACGAACTTCTGCACGCTCTCGCGGAGCAGGGCCGCGTGCTCGTAGTACTGGGCCGCGAAGGCGCTCGGCACGCCGCCGACGACGGCGAGGCCCTCGAAGCGCGCGCCCGAGCTCTCGTCGAGCAGGGCCCGGCCGCCCACGCGCAGCACGTCCGGATCCATCCCGCCCCCGGGATGTCGAGCGGCGTCGGGGGCGTCGTCGATACTCACGTAGCCACGCGAGCTTGAGAATGCAGCCCCTTGGCGGAGCTCTCCCAGATACGCCCGATAACTGACTTCAATATTTACCTTTTTGGCAGCCCGTGCATTCTCGCGCGAGACGACCGTCGATTGAAGCCAGTCGCCGGGGCCTCCGGCGCGTGCCCGCTCGCGCCGACCGACCGATCGCGAGCAAGACGATGCCGATGCCGACGCGCGCGGCGTGGCGGTCCGTCCTTTGGGACGTCGCCGCGACCCTCAGCGTCCCCCTGGGCATCAAGCTCGCCATGGAGTCGACGGAGTACCAGTTCTTCGCGTCGGGCGTCAACCACATGTGCGTCTGGTGCCGCTGGGGCAGCCTGGGCAACTCGGACTGCTACGCGAACTGGACGGCCCTCTGGCGCGACATCCGCGCGGCGGGCCCCGTGGACGACTTCGCGTTCTTCGTCGGCGGCACGACGGTCGTGCACCTGGGCGTCTTCTGGACCTACTGCCTCGCGCTGAGCGTGCTGGACCTCTGGGGCCCGGCCTGGGTCGTGAAATACAAGGTCCAGGAGAAGCACGCGGCGACGCCGCTGTCGCCGCGGAAGTGGTGGAAGGGCGTGCGCCGCGTGCTCTTCAACAACATCGTCGTGACGATCCCGCTCACGGCGCTGGCCTACGGCCGCTTCGAGGGCCGCCTGGACATGCCCCTGCCGTCGCTGTCGTCCGCGCTGCTCCAGATGACGGCGTTCGTCTTCGTCGAGGAAATTTTGTTCTACTACAGCCACCGGCTCCTCCACCACCCCAGGCTCTACCCCCACATCCACAAGATCCACCACCAGTTCACGCACCCCGTGGGCTTCGTGGCGCTCTACGCGCACCCGCTCGAGCACGCGCTCTCGAACCTGCTCCCGGCCGTCGCGGGCGCGCTCGTCATCAAGTCCCACTGCTTCCTCTTCTGGGTCTGGATCACGCTGGGCATCTGCTCCACGGTCAACACGCACTGCGGCTACCACTTCCCGTGCTTCATCTCGCCGCGCGCGCACGACTTCCACCACGAAAAGTTCACCGAGGTCTACGGCGTCATGGGCTGGCTCGACACGCTCCACGGCACGAACGCGGAGTTCGTCGCGTCCGAGTCCGCGAAGCACTACAAGGTCTACTACACGCTGCGGCCGCCCTGGGTCGACGCGAAGCAGGGGAAGGCGGCGTAATTAAAGCGCTTCAAGTATACATAAACATAGCTTCAATGAAGTGCTTCAACATTTTTAGCCCCGACGTTTATAGCGGCCGGCGCGCTTCGAGACAGGCTGCGCGCGCACGGCGGCCGCGCGGCGCGGCGTTCGACCGTCGACGCGCGCCGCTGCAGCGACCATGGCGCCGAAGTCGCGGCGGCGCTCGGAGCTGGACCGCGGCGAATGGGTCTTCGTCGAGGACGCCGCCGAGGCCTGGGTGCTGGGCAAGGTCGAGGCCCGGAGCGCGGGCGACGTCACGGTCCTCGTCGGCGGCGAGCGCAAGGTCATCAAGCTGCGGAAGGACGGCGGCAACGTCGCGGACTCGGGCACGAGCCTCAACGAGGACATCGAGAACCTCGTGGACCTCGACTCGTTTACCGAGGGCAGCATCCTGCACCACGTGCGTAAGCGGTTCCAGGGCGACCTGATCTACACGCTGGTCGGCAGCATCCTCGTCGCCGTGAACCCGTTCAAGCGCCTGCCCATCTACACGCCCGAGCTCATGGACAGCTACCGCGCGCGCGCGAGCGGCGGCGACCCGCCGCCGCCGCACGTGTTCCTCACGGCCGCGCGGTGCTACGACGCCATGGTCGACACGAAGCAGTCGCAGTCCGTCCTCATCTCGGGCGAGTCCGGTGCGGGCAAGACGGAGACGACGAAGTTCGTCCTGGCCTTCGTCGCGCGCGTCGCGGGCCGCGGCGGCGGCGCGGGCGCGGGCAAGTCCGTCGAGGAGCAGATCCTCCAGAGCAACCCCGTGCTCGAGGCCTACGGCAACGCCAAGACCCTGCGGAACAACAACTCGAGCCGCTTCGGCACGTGGCGGCGTCCCGCGGCCGCGACGATGTTCGAGAGATTTCGGGCGGGAAACCGACGAACCGTCGTCACCGTCGCGCTCGGTAGGCAAGTGGATGAAAATAGAATTCGAGGGCAACTCCAAGATCCGCGGCTGCAGCATCACGAACTACCTCCTCGAGAAGTCGCGCGTCGTCTGGCAGTCCAAGGGCGAGCGGTCCTACCACGCCTTCTACCAGCTCTTCAAGGGCGCGAAGGAGCGCGAGGCCTACGGCATCGGCGCGGACCCCGAGGCCTTCGCCACGCTCACGAAGGGCGGCTGCACGACCGTCGACGCCATCGACGACGCGCAGGAGTGGGACGACCAGCGCGCGGCGCTCGACATCCTCGACTTCTCCAAGGACGACCAGCGCGTCGCGCTCGGCGTCGTCGCCGCGACGCTCCACCTCGGCCTCGCGGCCTTCAGCGCCGACGGCGACGGCTCGCGCGTGAGCGACGCGGCGTGCCTCGCCAAGGCCGCGCCGCTGCTCGGCGTCGACGCGGGCAAGCTCGCGGCCGCGTTGACGACGCGGACGGAGCAGATGGGCCGCGGGTCCATGGTGACCATCAAGCTGAGCCCGCCGGCGGCCAAGGACGCCGCCGACGCCCTGGCGAAGGCGCTCTACGGCCGCCTCTTCGATTGGCTGGTCGTCAAGATCAACGCGTCGATCTCGCGCGGCGAGGGCGCGTGCCACGTCGGCGTGCTCGACATCTTCGGCTTCGAGGTCTTCAAAGTCAACTCCTTCGAGCAGCTCTGCATCAATTATACCAATGAGAAGCTCCAGCTCTTCTTCAACGACGTCGTCTTCGGCGAGGAGATGAAGATGTACGAGTCCGAGGGCGTGCCGCACACGCACATGGCCTTCGAGGACAACGCGAGGTGCGTCGCGCTGCTCGACGGCAAGCCCGTGAACCTGCTCTCCCTGCTCGACGACGAGTGCTCCGGCGGCGCGTCGGCGAAGGACGCCAAGTACGGCTCCAAGGCCATCAACACGTTCGCGCAGGGCCCGCACAAGAACGCGTACTTTGGGGGCAAGGACCCGTCGGGCCGGTCCTTCGCCGTGCGCCACTTCGCCGGCGCCGTGACCTACGACACGGCGGGCTTCGTCGAGAAGAACCGCGACACGATCTCGACGACGCTCTCGACGCTCTGCATGGAGGCCGCGGTGCCGCTCGTCGCGCGGTTCTTCGCGGAGCCCCCCGCCGCGTCGCCCGCGTCGCCCGCGTCGCCCGGCGGCGGCCGCAAGAAGAAGAAGGGCGCCAAGACCCTGGGCGCCGCCTTCCGCGCCCAGCTCCACGGCCTCATGGACGCCCTCAAGGCCACGCAGCCCCACTTCGTGCGCTGCGTCAAGTCGAACCCGGGCAAGAAGCGGCGTCCCGCGGCCGCGACGATGTTCGAGAGATTCGGGGTGGGAAAACAAGGAGAAATCGTCACCCCTTGGTAGGCAAGAAGCCCGACGTCTTCGACGGCGCCCTCTGCCTCCAGCAGCTCAAGTACAGCGGCCTCTTCGAGGCCATCAAGATCCGCAAGGCCGGCTACGCCTACCGCGTGCCCCACGCGGTCTTTGCGAAGCGCTACGCGCTCACGGCGCCCAGGGGCGGCTTCGACCTCGTCCGCAAGCACGGCAAGAACCTGCCCGCGGACGTGGCCCTGACCTGCTGCGAGAACATCCTCAACGACCCGGCGAACCTCGCCGCGCTGCTCGCGGCCGACGGCGCCAAGGACGCGGCCGCGGTCATGGCCGTCGGCAAGACGCGCGTCTTCCTCAAGGACGCGCTCGCGCAGAAGGCCCTGGAGACGCGGCGCGCCCGGGCCATGGAGTCCTTCGTCGTGCTCTGCCAGGCCGCGTGGCGCTCCTTCGCCGCGCGGTCCAAGGCCGGCGGCGGTCTGGCGGAGTCGCGGCGCAAGGCGAAGCGCGACGCGCTGCGGAAGCAGCGGGCCAAGGCCGCCGGCGACCTCGTGACGCGCTGGATCCGCGGCGCCCGCGTGCGCCGGAGCCTCGCCGGCGCGCGCAAGAACCTCGCGGGCCTCCGCGCGGCGGCGAAGCGCACCGCGGGCGCCGCGGTCGACGACTACGGCGCGCTGCGGGACCTCGACGACGCGCTGCGGCCCTTCCTCGAGGCCCAGACGGGCCCCGACGGCGCGCCGCGCGCGGATCTGGGGAAATGCTTCGCCGGGCCGCCCAAGGCCGGCGAGCCGAGCGCGCACCTGCTCGCGCACTTACCGGCGCCCGTCGCGCGGGAAGTCGCGGCCGCGGCCGCGGCGCTCTACCGCCTCCGCGAGGGCGGCAAGCTCCTCCACGCCATCGCCGACGCGCGCGCGTCCCACGACGTCAAGAAGCTGCGGCGCCTGCTCAAGCGCGCCGACGACCTCGACCTCGGCGACTGCGAGGCCGTCGCTTCCGCGCGCGCGGAGTTCGAGGACATCGTGAAGCGCGCGGAGCTCGTCGAGAGCCTGCGGCGCTTCGTCGCGGACCCCTTCGGCGCCCAGGCGCCGAGCGGCGCGGACCTCGACGTGCCCAAGCTCCTCGAGGAGGCGGCGCGGCTCGGGCTCGCGTCGCCGGAGGTCGACGAGGCCCGGCGGCGCTACGACGAGGTCGAGCCGACGCTCGACGCGCGCCGCGAGCTCCGCCACGCCGTCGAGGGGGTCCACGCCGACGGCATCGACGAATCCCTCAAGCGCGTGCTCGCGCTCCTCGACGACTGCGACCCCGCGGCCGCGGCCGCGGGGCGACAATGGCCCGAGCTCCGCGCCGCGCGCGCGATGCGCCGCATGCTCAAGTTCGAGAAGCTCGCGTGCGCGCCGAGCGGCCGCGCGAAGACGAAGGCCCAGAAGGCCGAGCCCGTGCTGTCCGAGGCGCTCCTCGAGCTCTGCTTCCGCTGCGAGCTCGCGTCGGACTCGCCCGCGGCCGCGGCGGAGGCGTCCGCGGGCCTGGCGCACGCCGCGGGCGAGGACCGCGACGCCGTCGTGCGGGCCTACAAGTGGCGCGCCATGTTCTGCACCTGGCTCTACCCGTCGGCGCCCGAGGACGTCGACGTCGACGCGCTCCACGCGGCCGCGCCGCCGCCGAGCCCGCCCGCGGACGCCGCGCCGGCGACGCCGGACCGCCGCTACTCGGACGTCAGCGGCGCGTCGACGCCGGAGGCGTCGCCGACGCGCCGGGGCGGCGAGGACCCCGCCGAGGCCCTCGGGGCCGTCGTCTTCGAGGGCCTCGACGTCGCCGCGGCGCGGCGCGCCTACTGCGCCGCGAGCTTCGTCGACGGCACGGCGGCGCCGCCGCAGATCGCCGCCGCGCTCGCCGCGCCCGCCGCGGCCTGGGTGCCCCGGGAGGGCGCCTTCGACGCCGCGCGCGGCCCGCGGTCGCCGCGGCCCGACGCGCTCTCGGCGCGCGCGCCGCTCGACGCCGGGCCCTCGCGCAGGGCGCCGGACTACCCGGGCATCTCGCGCCAGGAGGCGTCGGACCTGGCCAAGAGCCGCGCCAACCTCAAGAAGAGCCGCGCGGCGCTCCAGCGGACGAACAAGAAGCTCCACATCGTCACGGGCGTCCACGCCGCGCGCCGCCGCAAGAGCGCGTGGCATCCGTGAGCTTATACTGGGGGGATCGTCGACTCTAAGCCTCGGATGGAGCTCTGGCTTCGCGAGCCTATGGCGTCGCCGGGGCGACAACTCCCGTAGCCTTCCCGTGGATCACTCGAGACTCGTCGAGTCGACCTGAATCCGAGCGCGTCGCTTGTGGAAATCGCTTGAGGCGACCATCAGCGCCGACGACCGCGCCGCGCCCGCCGCCCGCTCGCCGTTTCCCAACCTCTCGCCGTTTCCCAACCTCTCGCCGCTGCGGCAACAAGATGGAGGCAGAGTGGGAAAAGAAACAACGCGAGTTCGAGCAGGTCAAGGCCCGGGCGAAAGCGCTCAGGCTCCGCCTCACGTGTACCATCTGCGGGGCGAAACCGAAGACCTTGCTCAACTGCCCGTGCGGGACGACACAGTGCGCGCCGGCGCCGTCGCGACGCGCGCGAATGGTCGGGGGCGTCGCGCGATCGCGCCGCGACGCGAACCCGTAGGTACTGTTCGACGGACTGTCAACGCGTCGACTGGCGCGATCGGGGCCACCGGAAGGCGTGCAAGAAGATCCGGCCGAGCGTGCGGCGGAGGAGGCGCGGGCGGAGGCCCCGACGCCCCCGCCGTCGCCGCCGGAGGAGGTCTTCTACGGCCCCGCGCCGCGTTCTCACGCCGACGAGGTCCGCGCTCGTATCGCCGCGGAACACGAGGCCGCTCGCGCGCGGCGCGAGGCGAACCCGGAGCCGGAGCCATTTTCGGCACGGATGGGAGCGCGGTGTCCTGTCTGTCGCGAGGACTGGGACGTGAATGATGTGCCAAATCTTCGCGCCTGTTGCTGCCGGATGATCTGCCAGTCTTGCGGCGAATCGATCCAAAAGCGAAGAGAGCACAAGTGCCCTCTCTGCCGCGCACCAATCGCACAGACTAATGAGCAGGCCCTGGCGCAGATTCGTCGCCACGTGGAAAATGAAATACCGGAGGCAATTGCGGCCTTGGGGCACGCCTACCACTCCGGTGACCTTGGCCTCGTGAAAAGTAGTAAGAAGGCCGCGAAGCTCTACAAGCGCAGCGTTGAGCTTGGCAGCGTGGATGCGATGATCAATCTTGGGCATATGTATACGTACGGAGACGGCGTCAAACGGGACATGAAGAAGGCGTCACAGCTGAATCTCATGGCCGCGGACCGAGGCCACCCGACGGCGCAGAACAATCACGGGAATAATCTCGACAAAGCTGGCGACAAGGAAGAGGCTGTCCGCTACTTCAGGCTAAGCGCAGAAGCAGGCTTTGCCTTGGGCCAGTACAACCTCGGATGGGCATACCAGCACGGCGAAGGTGGTCTCGAAAGGGACATCGAAGAAGCTGTGCGATTGTACGTGCACGCGGCCGCCAAGGGCTGCCAGGAAGCCATACACGCTCTCGATGAGCTCGGGATTCTTGACACGATCAGAGAGCGCCTGAACGCGTAGTGGTTAGGGTTAAGGCCGCCTCCTAAAACGTCCACCACGCGACCGCGCGTGACACTGACAGGACACTTTGATCCTCCCTCCCTTCGATTCCTCCCTGCGCCGTGGCTAACTGACAGGACACTGGCTATGATCGAATTGTACCGTTAGACCGCGGGCCCCGGGTAGTTGTCGCCGAGGTCCTCGTCGTGCTCGGCGTCCGGCGGCGGCTCCTTGCGGTCCTCCGTCGTCGTCGCCACGGTCAGCGTCGGGTCGTTGTTGGCCGCGCGGCGGAAGAGGATCGACGACCGCGCGCGGCTCAGCGCGGTGGCCTGCTTGCCCACGTAGGGGCTCGCGACGGCCTTGTCCTCGTCCTTGTCGTGCCAGGGCAGCACGGGCTCGAGCGTGCCCTGGAGGAGCGCGGGCTGGCGGAAGTACTCCGTCGTGAACGCGTCGCACGTCGGCTCGTCGCCGCTCGCCGCGTCGTAGGCCTCGTCGGCCGCGATGGCGCTCTCGAGCGCCAGGTTCTGGTTCATGTGGCCGAAGCCCACCTGGAAGAAGATCCAGGCGATGAGGGTCGCGAGGAGCGGGCCCGTCGACGCGAGCGCGTGGTAGTACGCCTTCGACACGAGCAGGTAGAACGTGAACGTGAGGCAGCCGCTGAAGAGCGACCCGATGAGCGAGTAGATGATGATCTCGAAGAAGGCGCCGCCGGCCTCGTAGTAGGGCACGTAGACGTACAGGAACTGGCGCGTGTAGACAAAGTAGGCGCAGTAGAAGAAGACGAGAGCAAAGGGGTAGACGATGGGCGCGATGCCCGCGAAGACGAACGCGTAGGTGAGCACCATGAGCTTGCTCGGGTACTGGAAGCCGTAGCGGAACTCCGGCGGCTCGAAGGCGCCCTTGGTCAGGTCCCGGTCCGTGAGCCGGTCCTTGAAGGACCGCCGCACGAACTCGATCCTAAACCAGGGCCAGAGCCGCGAGATCTCGAACGGCAGCACGAGCATGAGCTTCATGATGATCATCTCCACGAAGTAGACCGCGGCCTGGGGCATGATGAGCGCGATGTACTCGAGCACGGTCACGGGCTCCTCGGCGAGCAGCTCCAGCAGCGTCCAGATCGTGCCCGACACGAGCGCGAGCCAGATGTTCGCGAGCTCGAACATGAGGTAGCGCCGGAACACGGTCTGCTGCACCTCGGACGTGAACTTGAAGCGCTCGTAGTACTTGCCGATGAACATGAGGATGAACGGCAGAATACACAAAATCAGATTCACGAGCAGGATGGGCGCGTAGGCCTGCATGAGCTCGTAGCAGTAGCTCAGCCAGTAGTTCGTCGTGTTGTTGTCCCAGAAGATGCAGACGTTCGACACCTTCTCGCAGAGCTCCATGACCATGGACCAGTTCAGCGCCGCGCAGGCGAGGGCCAGGGACATGATGTTGTGGCGCACGAGCCGCTCCGTCTTCGACGACGTCACGTTCGCCCAGATCACGTTCCGCGGCTCCGGCCGGTGGTCCGCGGCCTCCATGCAGAAGGGCCGCGGCGACAGCTGGGCCTGCCTCGCGATGGCCGCGGACCGCAGGCTCCGGAAGGTCACGAAGCCCGTGCCGCCCTTGGTGCCGAGCCGCGGCTTCTCCGACCGGAGGCTGAAGGCGCGGCGCCGCGCGCGGCCGAGGCGCCCCAGGCCCTGGACCTTGCCGCCCGCGCCGACGCGCACGCCCCCCAAATCGCCGCCGAGCACGCCCCGCGAGCTCACGAAGCTCGCCGACGCCGCGCCGTGGTCCACGCCGTCGAGCTCGAGGTCGTCGTCGTCCGACCGGAGCGTGTTCGACGACGAGTGCGTCGCGCCGGCGCCCAGGAGGCTCTCGCCCTCGCGCCCCGCCGCCGCGGGCTCCGCCGCCGCCGCCGCGGCGTCGCCGGCGGCGACCGTGACCTCGTAGATGACGTCCGCGCCCACGGCCGCGGCGACGATCTGCGCGTTGCCCGCCTCCTCGCCGTACCTGGGCAGCAAAAGGGTGATTCAACGTCGCTTCAACGTGAGTGTTCCGCGCGCGCGCGTTCCGGAAAAAGCATCCACGCTTCGAGACCGTTCCGAGAGATGATCGCTCGTCCAAAAATCAGCCGAAACGAGTGGAAAACGGCCGAGATATGAGCCTTTGAAGTTGGGAATGTCGCTCTCTTTTGCTGCCCTGCGCCGTACGCGTCGAGCCGGTCGTCGTTGGCCAACAGCGCCTCGCGGTCCGTCGTCACGACGAGCGCGGCCTCGTCCTCGATCTTCTGCTCCGCGAGGTAGAGGCGCTTCAGCAACTCCGTGCGCTTCGCGTTGAGCTGGCTCAGCACCGCCGTGTAGAACGGGATCGCCTCGACGCGCGCGCCCGCGCCGCGCGCCGCGGCCGCGCAGTTCTCGTCGACGTGCCACTCCGTGGGCTCGTCGCCCGTCGTCTCCCGCTCGAGCAGGAGGTGCTCGAGCTGGGACACGACCGTCTCCTGCGCGCCGAGCAGCGCCTCGAGGTCTTCGAGGTCGACGAGGCTCACGACCGCGGACGCGACCTCGCCGGGGAAGAGGTGGTCGAAGTAGGCCTTGAGCGCCACGTCCGCGCGGCACTCCGAGGGGATGCGCTCGATCATCACGGAGAACGTCGACTGGAGCTGGCCGTGCTCGCCGATGTTCGCGCCCTCGGCGGCCTTCTCCGCCGTCGTCATGAACGCCTGGCGCAGCCGCACGAAGGCCTTGCACTCGGCGAAGAGCTCGTAGAGCGCGTGGGCGACGATGAGGTAGACGCCGACGACGGGCGCCCAGAGCCGCCCGGAGCGGTGCACGACGTTGCCGATCGTCCACGAGTAGAACGTGTCGCTCAGCGCGCCGCCCTCGTGCGGCGTCGTCGCGAAGACGACGAGGAGCACGACGCCGATGCAGGACCCGAAGGCCGTCATGCGGATGCCCATGCGCATGAACCTAATGAAGACGAAGGCCTCGAGCCCCACGAGCTCGACCATCTCGTCGTCGGGGATCGCCTTCAGCGGCGCGAGCCACGCGCCAAAGCCCGGGTACTGGCTGTCGAGCACCTTGCCCGGGCAGTAGCGCGCCCGGGGCCAGAACGACGTGCGCCGGTGGCGCTGGAGCTCGAAGACGGCCAGCATGAAGACGCAGGGCACGGCGCTGCAGGCGGCGACGACCCAGACCTCGTACCAGCCCAGCGTCGACACCCAGGACCGCGCGGACAAGTCCGACGACTCCATGGACTTGTAGCCGACCATGGGTCCCGCGGGTCCCACGGGTCAGGCCGGCCCTTCACCGGCCGACGCGCAGGCCGAGCGAGAGGGCGCGCCGCCGCGACGCAGCCCCAGCCTCGACGCGTCTTCGTAAATCTGCAACAAAGCTATGGAGAGGCCCACGGTGCCGCCCAACGTACGCTCTACCTTTACGCCCGGCGGGCGGGGGCCGCCATAGCGCCGGGGCGGGGGCGGGGCGGGCGCCGGCCCCTAGAGCTCCTTCTGGAACTCCTCGAAGCGCTCCTTGCGCGTCTCGTGGACGTCGTCGGAGAACTGCATCTCCTCGGGCAGGTCCTGGATCCAGGTGCGGCCCTCGATGGCCTTGGCGTGCATGATGTCGAAGTCCTTGAACTGGGCGTTCTCCTCGTCCTTCTTCTTGCGATCCTCCTTCTTCGCCTCCTGCTGGACCTCCGCGACGATCTTCATGAGCATCTCCGACGTGAGCTCGTAGGGGTCGTGCTTCTTCACCGGGATGCGCTTCGGCCGGACGCACTGCGGGGGCGCGCGAATCGCGGCGGATCGCGGCGGCGCGCGCGCGGCGCGCGGCGGCCGCGCGTTCGGACGCGGCGAGACGGACGAAGTGCGTCTGCTGCGCGCAGAAGTCGTTGACCGCCGGCGGCACGGAGCTCGGGTTGAGCTTGATGTTCTCCGCGGGCTTCTGCTTGTACGTGAGCGTGTTGATGATCTCCGTCTCGTACTCGTCGAGGAGCTCCTCGCAGACCTCGGATACGACGGCGTTGTCGCCGATGCGGCTCTTGACGGGGAAGCCGCAGAGGTCGTTCTGGACGAGCTCCTCGACCTCCTCGCGGTCCCGCGGGTAGTCGCCGCGCGGGTACGCGAGGATGCCGTCGGTGAGTAGGATGATGGAGTTGCAGGCCTCGCACTTGTTGAAGGAGTGGCCGCTCACGAGGCCGCAGGCCTCGGCGGCCATGCCGCAGACCGCGTCGCGGTGCTGGGGGATGAGGTCCGGCGCGGTCTCGACGATCTTCTTGAGCGACCTGGGCGGGAAATGAGAGATTCAACGTCGCTTCAACGTGAGTGCTCCGCGCGCGCGCGTTCCGAAAAAAAGCATCCACGCTTCGAGGCCGTTCCAAGAGATGATCGCTCGTCCAAAAATCAGCCGAAACGAGTGGAAACCGGCCGAGAGAGGAGCCTTTGAAGGTGGGAATGTCGCTCTCGTTTCCCGCCCCGCGAGCGACGGCTGGCCGTCCCACGCGTGCGCCGTCTCCGGCGCGCCGTGCATGGCGTGCTGGATGTACTTGTAGCCGTGGATCAACGCCTCCTGGAAGGTGCGGTTGTTGACGATGAGGTTGCAGGCGAAGTCGACGTCGCTGCCGACGATCGCGGACGTGCCGAACGTCGTCGCGCGCATCGACATGACGCGGTCGCACGTGTAGTCGAACTCGAACTCGGCCTCGATCTTGTCGCCGTAGGCCTTCCAGGCCCGCGTCGTCTTGTTCGCGCTCTTGGGCGGCGGCGGCGGCTTCTGCTTGAAGTAGGACCAGAGCTCGCGCGACGCGCCGTCGCCCTTGTAGACCTCGTCGAAGATGGCGTTGCACGCGAGGCAGTGGTAGGGGTAGGTCTCGAGCCAGTTGCGGAGCTCGTTGTTCTGGATGGCGTCGAACAAATCGTAGCGCGCCTGGTCCTCGAGCTTGACCTGCATGGCCTCCCTGCCGATGTCGTAGCCGCCCTTGAGCGGCTGCACGGACCGCCACCGGCCGATGCGCGTCTTCTTCAGCGTGATGTCGACGCCGTCGTCGCGCTTCTCGAAGGTCGACCACTTGATGACGATGCGGTTCCGCAGGGGCAGCTCGAGGTGGTAGCCCTCCTCGTTGTTGAACGCGAAGACCTCGAGCGTCTGCGTGTCGAAGAAGACCTCGACCTCGTCCATGGGCTTCTGGATGCCCGTCTCCCCGAAGAGGCTCTCGTCGTCGCCCTTCTTCTTCCCGAGCTTCGGGCTCCAGTAGACGTTGAGGTAGAGCTTCGCGTTGTCCTCGCTCCAGAGGAACGACGGCCGGTGCACGGGCCGGTCGTCCGCGGCGGCGCGCCGGGCGACGAGAAACACCGCCAGGCTCATCGCGCAAAAGGCCATGGCGCGGCGCGGGGCGCGGTCGACGCCGCGGGGCGGGGGCGCGGGCTCCGGGCCGACCGACCGGCGCCGCTCGAGAGAAACGCCGCGTGGCTGAGCTCCTTCGGGGCTGCCCGCGCCGCCGCAAACTCGGAAGATGGGGGGGAAACTTAGAAAGGTTGAAACGTTGAACTTTGGGGCCGCCCCGACCCGAGCCAAGATGATGCTACAGCGAATGCTAGTCGCGCCGCGCCGCGCCGCCGGCAGCGCGCGGGCTTTGGGCCTCTTCGCCGGCGTCGAGGCCGTGCCCCAGGTAATGAATATAAATCATCACTAAAATGACCGACACCGTTAGGACCCGATCCTCGGCCTCGTCGCCGAGTTCAAGGCCGACGCCTTCCCGGCCAAGGTGAACCTCGCCCAGGGCGCCTACCGCACCGAGGGCGGCGAGCCGCTGCTCCTCGAGGCCGTCAGGGAGGCGGAGCGGCGCGTCGTCGCCCGGGGCGCGTCGAAGGAGTACCTGCCCGTCGAGGGCCTCCGGAGCTTTGTCGACGCGGCCGCGGCGTTCGCGCTCGGCGCCGACTCGCCGGCGCTCCTCGACGGGCGCGTCGCGTCGCTCCAGGCGCTGTCGGGCACGGGCTCGCTGCGCGTCTGCGCGGAGATGCTCCGGGACGTCGCCGGCGTCGCCGAGGTGCACCTGCCGCGGCCGTCCTGGGCGAACCACGCCGCGATCTTCGCCAAGGCCGGGCTCGCCGTCGGGGACTACGCGTACCTCGACGCGACGCGGACGTCCCTCGACTTTGAAGCCATGGTCGCGGACCTCGAACGGCTCCCGCCCGACTCCGTCGTCCTCATGCACGCCGCGGCCCACAACCCGAGCGGCGTCGACCCGACGCGCGACCAGTGGCGGGCGCTCGCGGACCTCTTCGCGGAGAAAAAACTCGTCCCCCTCTTCGACACGGCCTACCAGGGCTTCGCGTCGGGCGACGAGGAGGCCGACGCCTTCGCCGTGCGACTCTTCGAGGCCCGGGGCCACGCGCCCATCCTCTGCCAGTCCTTCGCGAAGAACCTGGGCCTCTACGGCGAGCGCGTCGGCGCGGTCCACGTCGTCTGCGACTCCGAGGCCGAGGCGGCGAACCTGCTGTCGCGCGTCAAGCAGCTCGTCGTGCGACCCATGTACTCGAGCCCGCCACTCCACGGAGCGAGCCTCGCCGCGGAGGTGCTCGGCGACGGCGAGCTCCGGGAGCGGTGGCGCGGCGAGCTCCTCGCGATGGCGCAGCGCATCGTCGACGTCCGCGCCGCGTTGCGGGGCGAGCTCGAGCGCCTCGACGCGGCGCCGCCGGGCGCCCACGGCTGGCGGCACATCACGGACCAGATCGGCATGTTCGCCTTCACGGGCCTCACCGCGCCGCAGGTCCGGTCCATGCGCGCGGTGGAGCACGTCTACTGCACGGAGAACGGCCGCATGAGCCTCGCGGGCCTCGCCGCCGCGGACGTGCCCTACGTCGCCGCCGCCGTCAAGCGCGCCACGGACGCGATCCCCTACGAGGCGCGCGTCGCCGTCGCCGCGTGATCACGAAGCGAGGTGTGTTTAGGCGATGACCCAGAGCCCCGGGTCGCGCGCGGAGACGTCCGCGAGGAACGCGTAGTCGCGGTCGACCTGGGCCTCGTCGGCGCCGTTGAGCTTGACGACGCCGCCCCAGGTGAAGCAGTCCTTCGTCGGGACGACCGCGGCGCCCGCGGCGACGAAGAACTCGTGGCCGCGGTAGGAGGGCAGGGCCGTGATCTGCTCGACGACGGCGGCGTCGATGTCGGCCAGGGTCCCGCCCTTGTGGAAGAGGAGGTACTTGAGGCGGCCGCGCGCAGCGAGCGCGGCCGGCGGCCGCGGCGGCAGCTTCGCGTACGCGGCCGCGTCGACGTAGGCGTCGAGCGCCGCGCAGACCTGGTTCCGGCCGCAGCACTCGTCGGCGACGGACATCCAGTAGCCCTCGCCGCCGTGGCACCGCGCGCCGACCTCGACGAGGCAGGGCCCGCCCGAGCCGGGCGCGAGCTTGACCTCCATGTGCGAGGGGCCGTGCTTCAACTCGAGCGCGTCGAGCACCGTCGTCGAGTAGGCCGCGAGGAGGTCGACCACCGCCTCGCCGCCTCCGACGAAGCGCTGGCCGTGGCAGACGAAGCCCGCGCCGTTCGTCGGCTTGCGGTCGTAGAGCCACATGCCCACGACCTTGTGGACGCCGTCGCGGCTCGCGGAGTCGACGACGTACTCGTCGCCCCGGAGGAACTCCTGGATCAGGACCTGCTCGTTCCTCTGGCCGAGGGCGTTGGGCGCGCTGAGGAGGGCTCCGACGGCCGCGCGCACCGCGCCGACGGTCTTGCAGCCCGTGACGCCGTCGGAGCCCGCGGACTCCGTCGGCTTGACGATCAGATCGACGGCCGCGGCGTCGTCCGCGGGGTCGACGTTCCAGTCGTCGCGGAGCCAGCGCTCCAGGGTCGCGTCCCAGCCCGCGGATCGCAGCTGGCGCACCGCGCGCACGCCCGCGCCGCGGACCTTCTCGCCCATGTCCCACTTGTTGCGCCGCGCCTCCGCGCCGGCGGCGCCGTTCGTGCGCACCGCGGGCGCCCAGCGCGCCACGGCCTCGCTCAGGCAGTCCGCGAGCTTCACGCCCGTCTCCGCGCCGGCGACGACGGCCGCGACCTCGGCGCCGTCGCGGTCGCACCAGTCGCGAAGGTCGTCGGCGACGTCCGCCGCCGAGGCCTCGAGCGGCGCGCGCGCGTCGACGCCGAACTCCGCGGCCCACTGGATCGCGCCCTTGAGGTGCCCGGGGATCAGGGACGCGATGTCCATGCCCGAGTCGTCGCCGAGGCTCAGCACGTGCGCGACGCGGAAGCCCCGCGCGGCCGCGTCCGCCGCCACGCACGCGCCCGTCGTGAACGCGTCGACGACGACGACGACGCGCCCCGCGGCGAGCTCGGAGAACGACCGGGGCCGCGGCAGGCGCCGGCGCGTCGCGTCGGGCGAGAACGCGAAGTTCGAGCGGAGCAGGCGCCGCTTCAGGAACCGGAGCGACGACTCGTCGCCGGAGGCGAAGGTCTCGCGGCGGCCGGAGACCGACAACATGACGAACTTGCGCGGCACCTCGTCGTCGAGGGACTTGGAGGTTTGACGCGCCATGCTTTTGGTGGCGTCGTGGCGTTTCGTCGGCGCGTTGGTTGTTGACGAGACGACTGCGACGGTGGTTGGATCGAGCCTCAAGGTGATGATGCTCGAGATTTTGCTGATCGGATGATGCTGATCGGATGAGCGAGCGTCTTGTGGCAGCACCATCTTCGGCGCCGGGCGCCGCGTGCAGGCGCACTAAAACCCGCTCTACGCGGCGCCGCACCGGCACCACCAATGGCGCTCGCGTCCGCATGGATCCGCGCGCCGCTGCGGCGCGGCCGGCGGCACCTCCGGCGGCGGCGGCTGCACACCTCCCACGCCGACGCCGTCGTCTGCGGCGGCGGCATCGCGGGCTGCGCAGCGGCGTACCATTTGGCGCTGCGCGGCGCCGGGCGCGTCGTCGTCGTGTCCGCGCACGCGCCGCTGACGCTGACGAGCGCGATGAGCACGGAGTGCTACCGCGACTTCTGGCCGTCGCCGGAGATGGCGGGCCTCATGGGCCGGAGCATCGACCTCATGGAGGGCCTGGCGCGCGACACGGACAACGCCATCGGCATGACGCGGCGGGGCTACGCCTACTTCACCAAGGACGCGGCGACGCTCGCGAAAGTCGAGGCGACGTGCGCGGCGCTCGCGGCCGCGGACGCGGCGGGCATGCCGTACCGGCGCCACGAGGGCGCCGCGCCGGCCTACGAGTTCGGCGACGCGGGGCCCCTGTCGGCGGCGGCGCTCGCGGCGGGCGGCGGGCCCCGGGGGCTCGACGTCCTCGTGGGCAACGACGCGGTGCGGCGCGCGTTCCCCGCCGTCGGCGGCGACGTCGTCGGCGCGCTCCACGCGCGGCGCGCGGGCTGGGTCTCGGCGCAGCAGTACGGCGCGGCGCTCGTCGCCGCCGCCCGGGAGCTCGGGGTGGAATTCGCCACGGGCGAGGTCCGGGCCGTCGACTTCGAGGGCGGGCGCGTCGCCGCGGTGCGCTACGCGGACGCCGGCGCGGCGCACGGCGACGCGGCCCTGCCCGGCGGCGCGCCGACGCACGCGCTCGCGACGCCGCGCTTCGTCAACGCCGCGGGGCCCTGCCTGAACGCGGTCCACGGCCTGCTGCCGGGCCGCGACGCGATGGCGTCCGAGGTCGCGCGCGCGCTCGGCGTCGACGCGCCGGGCGACGGGCGGCGGCTCCCGCTGCGGAACCACCTCCACGCCAAGGTCGTCTTCCGCGACGCGGCGGGCGCCGTGCCCCGCGACGCGCCGATGATGATCTCCCTCGACCCGCAGACGATCTGGCCCGTCGACGACGACGACGAGCGCGCGGCCCTCGCCGAGGCCTTCGGCGAGGCCGCGGCGGCGAAGCTCACGGGCACCGCGGGGCCGGGCGTGCACCTGCGGCCCTACGCGCACGACGCGCTGCTGCTCCTCTGGGAGCACTGGCACGGCGACTGGGCCGTCGCCGAGCCGCCGGACCTGCACCCGGCCTTCGACGCGGACCTCTTCCCCGAGGTCTGCCTCCGGGGCCTGGCGTCCTTCATCCCGGCGCTCGGCGCGGCCGTCGACGACCCGGGCGACCGGCCGGTCGTCGACGGCGGCTACTACACGGAGACGCCGGAGCTCGTGCCGCTGCTCGGGCCCGTGCCGGGCGCGCGGGGCGCGTTCCTCTGCGGGGGCCTCGCGGGCTACGGCCTCATGGCCGCGCACGCCGCGGGCGAGCTCGTCGCCGCGCACGCGCTCGGCGACGAGCTGCCCTGGTACGCGCCGGCCATGGCCCCGGCCCGCTACGCCGACCCGGCCTACGCCGACACGGTCCGCCGCATCGCCGAGGCGGGCGACGGCGGCATCTAAGTGTCCTATTTTGTCGAAGCTGCTGCGTCCGACCGCGCGCCGGGCTAAGTTGAAGGCCGACTTGAAGGGCTCGCTAAAACGCTCTTGCCAGTGTGGCAACGATGCTCTCCTTCGCGCGCAGCGCGTCGCGCGCATCGCTGCGCGCCGCGGCGCCCGCGCGCGTCGCATCCCGCGCGCTGGCGACGCCGTCCGGCACCATGTTCACGGGCGTCTGGCCCATCATGGCGACGCCGTTCCGGCCCGACGAGAGCCTGGACCTCGAGGGCTTCGCCAAGGCCGTGGCCTTCATGGCCGAGGCCGGCGCCGACGGGTGCACGATCGCGGGCGTCCTCGGCGAGAGCAACCGGCTCACGGACGCCGAGCGCGCGGCCATGATCGAGGCGGCCGTCGCGGCCGCGGCCGGCGCTGGCCGGCCGTTCCCGATCTGCGTCGGGACGTCGCACGCGGGCACCCACGCGACCGTGGCCCTGAGCCAGATGGCGCGGGACCTGGGCGCGGCGGCGGTCATGGTGACGCCGACGAAGGAGGCGGCGCCCCAGAGCGACGCGGCGCTCCACGCGTACTTCGCGGCCGTCGCCGACGGCTGCCCGGGGCTGCCCATCGTGCTCCAGGACCACCCGGCGAGCACGCAGGTCTTCATGTCCGCGGACCTCCTCGTGCGCATCTGCGCGGACCTGGCGAGCGTGCGCTGCATCAAGCTCGAGGCCGTGCCGACGCCGACGAAGATCCGCGCGATCCGCGACGCGTGGGCGTCCGCGCCGCCCGCGGCGGGCGACTGCACGATCCTCACGGGCCTCGGCGCCCTCTACGCCGGCTTCGACATGGAGCAGGGCACCGACGGCTTCATGACGGGCTTCGCCTTCCCGGAGATCCTCGCGGCGATGAACGCCGCCGCGCGAACCGGCGACCTCGACCGCGCGCACGCGCTCTACGCGGCCTACCTGCCCCTCCTCGTCTTCGAGCAGCAGCCGGGCGTCGCCGTGCGCAAGGAGCTCTACAAGCTCCGCGGCCTCATCGCCTCGGGCCACGTCCGCAAGCCCGGCGGCCAGATCGCGCCCGCGGCCGCGAAGGGCCTCGCGGACCAGATCGCCCGGTCCCTCCCGGGCCGCGACATCACGAAGCCGCTCGTGCTTTAATTTCTTTGGGAGTGGTGTGGCTGCTTGGTTTGGCGGGCGACCCGCGGACGCCTCCGTGGCGTGAAAGCATCAAAATTTTAGCGAATCGGGAGCTTGGCAATTGGCCGTCGTGAAAATAAAAGCGTCGTCAGGTATTGAGCCTGTTGAAGGCGACGCATCTCGCCCACTCGAACCGCAACGCCCCGCGTCAATCTTCGCGTCCGCGCCTCTAAAACTCCGCCGCTCTCTCGCTCACGCCTCCCGAGGGTCTACACTTCGGTCGGAGAATCGTCCGGGCGCCATGCGATTGATTGCTCACCTCACAGGTAAACACCCAAGAGGATCACCTGCATCAACGTCGCGCGGAACCCCGGCCGCCGCTGCGGCCTCGACGGCGCCGCGGACGCGTGCGCGAAGACGTGCGGCGCGTGCTGAGCGCCGCCCCCCTAGCCGCGCGAAAGCGAAGCGCCGCTACCCTCCCTCCTAACGAGACAGCAACAAAGCAATTACTTCTAGTACGAGACCATTCTTCACTGGCTCGGGAGGCGCGCGGCGGCGATCCAGGGCCGAGGCACGCGCCGGCTCGGCGGCCGCGAGGGCCGCGGCGTCGATGCGTCGTCAATGACGCGGTACGGCGGCCCGCGGCGGACGCGTCCGTGCGCGTCCCTCGCCGCGAACGTGATCATCTCGGAGTCGCCGTCGTCGTACTCGACGAGGAATGTGCCCGCCGTCTCCTCGCAGCGGTCCGCGACGGTCCCCGCGTACCAGCGGTCCTCGCGGTCCCAGTAGACCTCGACGCGCGTGCCCTCGGCGACGTCCCGCGCGACGTCCTCGACCGGCGGCGTCGCGTCCATGAGGCGGCAGGGCGCGCCGCGCGCTCGCGCGACGCCCTCGGCGTCGACCGGCGCGAGAAACATAAACTCCGTCTCGTTATCGTCGTCGTAGAGCACTTCGTACCTGCCCGTGGCGGCGTCTTGGCTTCTGACGGTGGCCGCGAACCAGGCGTCCATGCGATCCCAATAGATGGAGACCCGACACGGGGTCGTGAGATTCGTAGCGCTCATTCTTTCAGGCGGCAGGTCTGGTGCGCTGCTCTGTCGATTTCGAGCTCGAGCGCCTCGGAGTAAGATCGATCGAGCTCGAGCGCCTCGGAGTAAGATCGATCGATTTCGAGCTCGAGCCGCCTTGGAGTAGAACGAGGTACAAGACTTGTGATCGCTGTCCACTGTGGCAAAAACAACCTCCGACTCCACGCGGTTCCTCCCGGGCCCCCTACCTAGTTTAGAGACGCGTCAAGGCAAAAACAAGCTCCTCGAGACGACACACGAAGTCACAGTCACAGCTTTACGTTCGACGACGCGACGGACCGGCCGAGCCACTCGCTGGAGTCGCTGTCGCAGAGGTCGTCGACGGGCCGCCGGCGCTCCGGGAGGAAGGAGATCGTCAGGTCCGTGCGCACGGGGAAGTGGTCCGCGGGCGCGTCCGCGAGCATGTCCGCGAGCGCGTCGTGGTCGTCCTCGTCCGCCTCCGCGGCCTCGGGCGGCACGCCCATGAGCTCCGCGCCGTCGACGCGGACGCTCTCCGAGCGGCCGAAGGCGACGGCGCCGTCGATGACGCGGCCCTTCGTCGTCCAGGCCTTCTTGTCGTTGTGGTAGCCGTGGTACGAGCCCCAGCGCCAGCCCCTGGCGTCGAGGCCGCCCGGTGGCCAGAGCACGCGGAGGTTCGTGCGCCGCCACGCGTTGTCCGGGCCCGCCGCCATGTCGCGGAGGTCCTCGTTGAAGTCGCCGCAGAGCAGCGCCGCGTCGACGCCGCCGCCGCCGCCCCAGCGCCGGAGCCAGCGCCGCGCGGCCGCGCGCATGGTCCGGTCGCCGCAGCGCACGTGGACGCAGCCGAGGACGACGCGCGCGGCCTGGTCCGTGCCCGCGCCGCGGACGCGCAGGTCGACGTAGGGCAGCGTCCGCGGCGCCGCGGCGTTCGCGTCCGGGTCCCAGCCGTCTAACACCGCGTGGCCGGCGTCGGCGACGGCGACGTTCGTCGACGCGAGGATCGCGCGGCCGCGGAACGGCCCGCGCTCGAGCGGCGACGCGGCCATGGCGTCGCCGTCGACCCAGCGCAGCCCGCGGTCGAGGCCCAGCGCGAGGAGTTCGTGGAAGCGGTAGCGCGCGTCGACGGCGCCGTCCACGGGCACCTCCTGGAACGCGACGACGAGCGCGCCGCCGGGCCGCGCGCGCGCGGCCGCCCACGCGGCGTTGACGACTCTCGCGACGGCCGCGATCGCGCGGACCTGCGCGCCGCGGCCGCCGCGGTTCTCGCCGCCGAGGTTCCAGCTCAGCACCGACAGCGCCGCGGCCGCGGCGGGCCGCGGCGGCGACGCGGGCGACGCGCGGTCCCGCGTGCGGTACTCGGTCTCGTCGTCGCTGTAGTGGCCGTCGACGCGCTCGATGACGTGGCGCTTCAGGGGCGACAGGACCTTGGCGCGCTTCGCCGGCGGCTCCCCGGCCGCCGCGGGGCGCCGCGCGCGCTCCGGCGCGGCGACGGGCGCCGGCGCGGCCCAGCGGGCCGCGATCGCGCGCTCCTCCGCGGCGGACGCGGCGCGCGGCGGCGGCGCGAAGAGGTGGCGCGACACGCCGTCGAGCGCGCCGTAGGGCTCGAGCGCGGGCGCGCCGTGGTCGACGTCCTCCGCGGCGGCGACGGACGTCGGCGAGTCCGGCGAGTCGTCGGGCGTCGGCTCCGGCGGCGCGGCGTCGACGACGAACGCGTAGCCCGCGAAGGCCTTCGGGTGGAGCAGGCTGAAGGTCTGGCCCGCGCGCAGCGCGCGCGGCACGCGCGTCGCCGAGAAGCGCGCGCCGTCGCCGGCGATGTAGACGCCGTTGCTCGAATAGTTCGTGAGCACGACGCTCTCGTCGACGGCGGAGACGGACACGTGCTTGCCGCTGATCTTCGCGCTGTCGTTGACGACGACGCCGCAGCTCCGAGACCGGCCGATGACGAGCTCCTCCGGGTGGCGCGGCACGGGGTGTATTGTGTCGTCGCGCCGCAGGACGAAGCGCCGCGGTGGAGCCATTGCGCTCAGAGGGAAGGTTCGGACATCGTGCCTGCAGGCTTTCGCGCTCCTCGCCGGGGGTCCTACTTCACAGTCTTAGTCGCACGGCCGACCTCAGTAGTCGTCGCCGTCGTCGTCGTCGTCGTCGTCCGCGGCGTGGGCCGCGAGGCCCGCGACGTAGCGGAGCTTGTGGTGCGGCATCTTCGTCGCGTCGCCGCCCGTCGCGAGCACGGAGAGCGCGGTCGTCGCGTCGCCGTCGCCGGCCGCGCCCTGCGCGCGGTAGGCGAGGAGCCGCTCCTCGACGGTGCCGCGGAGGTAGTAGGCCGTCGTCCTGACGTCGCGCTGCTGGCCGATGCGGTGGCACCGGTTCATGGCCTGGGCCTCCTCGCCGACGCTGAGGAACGGCTCGAGGAGGAAGAGGTGCGCGGCGGCCGTGAGCGTGAGGCCCGCGGCGGCCGCGCCCGCGTGGAGGACGAAGACGGCGCAGTCGTCGCGCTCGCGCCACTCGCGCACCGCGGCGCTCAGCGCCGCGGCGCTGTCGCCCCGGCTGAGCGTGACGTGCCTGAGCCCCGCGCGGTCGAGCGCGAGCGACACGTGGCGCACGGCCGGCTTGATCGACGTGACGACGACGACCTTCTCGTTGACCTTGCCGCGGATCGCCGCGTCGATGTCGCGGAGCAGCCGGGCGATCTTCGCGGACGGGACCTCGCGCGCGGCCTCGAGGTGCGCGCCGAGCGCGTTGGGGATGTTCGGCGTGAGGTGGCGGTTCGCGAGGCGCGCGGGGCCGCCGCGGGGCAGCTCGAGCGCGTCGAGGTCCGCGTCGCCGCACGGCGTCCACTCGGGCGGCCGCCGCGGGTCCGGGGCCTCGCCGGCCGGCGCGGGCGCCGCCGCGGCCGGCGCGGCGCCGTCGTCCGCGGGCGCCTCCGCGCGCGCGGGGCGGCGCACGAGGACGCAGTCCCGGAGCACGAAGCCCTTGCGGCAGAGCGCGCAGTTGCCCTCGAGGCGGCCCTCGTCCGCGAGGCGGAGCGCGTCGTCGCGCTGGACGCCGCGGCGGACGGCCTGGTCCACGCCGCCCGTGAGCACGAGCTGCTGCGCGCAGCCGTAGCACGTCGCGTGGACGCAGCCCGTGTAGCAGAGGCTCCGCGCGCTCGGCGCGGCCGCCGGCGACGAGTCGCAGGTCGTGTAGCACACGGGGCACTTGGTCTCGGGCGGGCTCCGCTCCTCCTCGAGGCGCGCGAGGTCCTTGAGGCCCTGCTGCGCGACGCGCGCCGAGAGCTGGACCTTGATGGCGCCGGCCGCGGAGCCGCGGTTCGCGAAGAACGCGCGCGCCTCGACGGGGAACGTCGCGAGCAGCGCGGCGCGGCGCTCGACGTAGGCCTGGTGCACGGGCCGCCAGACCGCGCGCTGCTCGTCGGCGACCCGCTTGGCCGCGTCGTAGGCGGCCGCCGTGTCGCGCTCGTAGGCCGCGCGGTCCCCGCCGCGGGCCTTCTTGGCGTCCGCGGAGAGCGCGGTCCACTTGCGCGGCTTCTGCACCGCCGGCGGGCCGTTCTTGGCGTACTTGCCGAGGAGCGCGACGATCTCCGGCGTGTGCTCCGGCGCGTGCGCGCGCGCGAGCTCGTCGACGGCCCGCTTCTGCGCGGGCGTCGCGTCCTCGCCCATCTCCTCGAGCGCGCGGAGGTAGTCGCGCTCCGCGAGGCGGCCGGCGCGCGCGCCGGCGAGCGCGCGGTCCTCGAGGACGGCGAGCGAGTCGTCGGCGTCGCCGGACCGCGCCGCGACGAGCGCCGCCTTGGCCGCGTCCGCGGCCGACGCCGCCGTGGCGGCCTCGCCGCGGCGGTCGGTGCCCTCGGCGGCGCGCTCCGCGGCGGCGTCCGCGGCCTTGGCGACCGCGAGGAGCGACGCGCGGTCGTCGCCGCCCGCGGCGCCGTGCGCCGCCTCGTCCGCGGCGACGGCCGCGTGGGCCGTCGCCGCGGCCTCCTGGGCCGCGTCGCGGCGCCGGCGGCAGTCGCGCGCCGAGGCCTCGACGCGCAGCGCCAGCTGGCGCACGGCGACGAGCTTGAGCGCGTTCGCGGCGACCTCGTCGGCGGCCTCGCGCGTCGCGTCGCGGGCTTTCTTCCAGCCGACCTCCTTGGTCAGCAGGCCGACGGCCGCGACGGCGCCGCCGCCGTCGACGTCGTCGTCGAGGGCCGCGAACCGCTCGAGGAGCGGCAGGTCCTCGGCGCCGCGCCTCGCGAGCGCCCGGGCGACCTCGGCGCCGGGCAGCGCGCGCTCGACGACGAAGGCGGCGCAGGCCCGGCGGCGGCGCCGCAGCGCGAAGGCGCGGGCCGCGTCGTCGAAGCCGTCGGCGTCGGCGAGGTCCGACACGAGGAAGTCGTCGCCGTGGCCGAGCGCGAAGCGCGCGAGCGTCCACAGCAGCGCGGCGCGGCGCGCGCGGGCCTTGGAGTCGCGGCGCGACTGCTCGAGCTCCGCCGCGAGGCCGCGGACCTCGTCGAGGCGCTGCTGGATCGTGAGCATCGTGAGCGTGCGCTCGGACGCGCGCGCGCGGCCTGCGGCGCCCCCGGCGGCGACGGCGTGCGCGTCGCCGACGGCGAAGGCGTCCTCGCGGCCGATGCGGCTCGTGAGGTAGTCGTCGTAGGCCTCGCGGTCGCCGTAGATGCCGTCGCACCGCGCCGCGAACGCGGGGTCGCCGTCGTACTTGCGCAGGTTCTCCTCGCGGAGCCGCGCCCAGCGGTCCGCCTCGCGCTGCCGCGCGCCGGCGCCCTCGGCGCGCGCGCGGTCCCGCCGCCGGTCGCCCGCGTTGCGGTCCGCGGCCGCGAGGCGCGCGATGGCCTCGCCCGCGGAGACGACGGGCGGCGCGTACTGGAGCAGGCCCGCGGACTGGCCGTCGGCGCCCGCGTGGACGCCGCGCACGTTCCGGTTGTAGAAGCGGAGGAGCTCGTCGACGTCCTTGGCGTCCGTGAGCGCCGGCGCGGCGGCGCCTCGCTTGCCCGCGAGGCCGACGCACGCGTGGCGGAGCACGCGGAGCGCGCGCTCGCGGACGGCGCTCGCGGCCTTGTCCCCGGACCCGGCCGCGGCGCCGGCGCCCGGCGCGGGGAGCTGGTCGACGACGGCGCCGGCGACGGCGCCGAGCGCGCGGAGCACGACGGCCTCGGACGACTCGCCGACGTCGACGGCGACGACGCCGTCGCTCCGGCTCGGGAGCTCGAGGATGGGCCGGCCCTCGAGGTCGCCCGACGCGTAGACCTGGCCCTTGGAGTGGCGCATGGCGACCGTGCGCAGGAGCAGCTCGAGGCGCTCGAGGGCCGCGGGGTCCCGGAGGTCCCAGGGCCGCTGCACGCAGTGGTGCCAGAAGCCGTCGGACGCGTCGGAGAGGCTGAAGGGGTAGACGCCGAGGAACCGGAGCTCGCCGTTGAGGTCGAGGATGCCGTCGCAGAGCGGCGTGCCGCTCACCATCCACCGCGACGACGCCCAGAGGTCCGCGCACGTCCGCGCGAGCACCGTGTTCGGCGACGACACCATCTGCATCTCGTCGAGGACGACGCGGTGCCAGTGGATCTGGCTCAGCGGCTGCGCGTCGCCGTTGTTCGCGCCACGCCGCTTGTCGTAGACGGGCCCCGTCAGCGCGTTGTAGGTCGTCACGACGACGTCGTGGTCCGCGAGCCGCTCGAGGGCCGCGCGGCGCTGGACGAAGAACTCGCGCTTCGTCGCCTTCTTGCCGCCGGCGCCGCGGAGGTCGCAGCGCTCGGGCACGAGGGCCTTGCGGTCCTCGTCCGTGACGAAGCACGCGACCCGGGGGCCCGGCGCGACCGTCGACTTGCGGATCTCGTCGAGCCACTGCGACACGAGCGCCGGCGGGAGCACGAGGAGCGTGGCCCGCGACGCCGCGAGGGGCTTCGCCGCGCCGTCGTCCGGCGCCTCGCGCTCGTCCGCGGCGAGGTCCGCGGCCGCGAGCGCCGCGGCCGTCGCGGGCCGCGCGCAGACGAGGCTCAGCATCTCGAGGGTCTTGCCCATGCCCATCTCGTCGGACAGCAGCCCGCCGTGGACCGTCGGCGGCGCCTCGAGCCTCGCCTCGCCGAGGTCCGGCGCGTAGTAGAAGCAGCCGCCGTCGACGAAGTCGCGCCGCTCCCAGAAGAGGCCGTTGAGGCCCCGGTCGAGCTCCTCCATGGACCGCATCCAGCGGAGCGCCATGAGCTGGTAGGGCTTCATGGGCAGCGCGATCTCCGCCGGCTGCGCGTCCTCGGGGCCGCCGCAGTGCTCCGCGGACCGCATGACGCCCTCGAGCGTGAAGGGCGCCGCGGCCGCGGCGCCGGACGTGACGAAGAGGTCCGCCGTCGGCGGCGGCGCCTCGCGGCGGAGCACGGCGCCCGCGGGCGCGATGTGGTTGAGCACGGCCTTGACCGCGTCGTCGGCGATGAGGTAGAAGAGGAGCCGCGTCGCGTAGACGCGGACCTCGACGTCGAGGCCGCCGGCGCCGCGCGCGGCGACGCAGACGCAGCGGAGGCACGGCGCCTTGTGCGGCAGGTGCGCCGGCGCCATGAGGCCGTGCGCGGCCTCGAGGAACGGCACCGCGGCCGCGGCGCGCGCGAGGAGCTTGCCCTGGCGGACCTTGTCGAGGAGCCGCTTCACCGTCGTCGTCGCCTCGTCCTTGTCCTTGCCGGGCTCGCCGTCGGCGTTGAAGCGCTCGACGCCGTAGTGCGTCCGCGTCGCCTTCGCCGTCGGGTTCACGGCGCGGCAGAGGTCGCGGAGCTCCCGGCCGGCGTCGCCGCCCGCGGCGACGTCGAAGGCGACGAGGCTCGTGCCCAGGAGCCGGCACGGCTCCGCGTCCTCGGCCATGCACTGGGCCGAGAGCACGCCCGACAGCTCGCCCTCCCAGGCCAGCGCCGCGCGGTCCGCGGCGTCGACGCGGTGGAGGCCGAACGGCCGCGACACGCCCGGCCGGTTCCCGGCCCGCGGCTCGCCCGCGCGGTGCGGCTGCCGCGCGGCGCCGGACCCGAAGGCGATCGTCGGCGGAGCCGGCGGTGGCGGCGGCGGCGGCGGCGGCGCTTCGGCCTTGACCTTCTTCGGCGCCTTGGCCTTCTTGGTCGACGGCGCCGAGGTTGGCGCCTCCGTCTTGACCTGCGCCGCCGACGCCGGCGCGGGGCGCTTTTTCGCCGTCGATTTCGCCGGCGCCTTCTTTTTCTTCGACGCCTCCTGCTTGGGCGTGCCGCCCTTGCGCTTCGGAGCCATGGTGGGTGGGACGACCAGCGAGGGACGACCAGCGAGGGACGACCAGCGAGGGACGACCTGCGACGGTCGGCAGCGGCGGCGGGCGCGGCGGTCTAGGTCACCGCGGAGGCCACTGCGGCGGGCGCGGTCCAGGTCACCGAGAGCTCTCCGCGCGCCAAGTTTTTCAAGTCACTGCTCTTGAGGAGTAGTTGAGGCAGGCGACGCCTCCAGCGCAGCCGACGCCTCGCCGACCGCGGCACCATATCCCCGAAACCAGCCCATGTTACTCGCACATGCACCCTACCCCCCGACACCCAGGATCCCGTCGGCGAGCCGCTCCGCCGCCTCCGCGGCGACGGCGACGACGGTGCTGTGGACGTTGCCGTTCGGGATCGCCGGGAACGAGGACGAGTCCGCGACGTGGAGGTTCGCGGCGCCGCGGACGCGGAGGTCGCGCGGTCGGAGCGCGCCGCCGGCGCCGAAGTGGGCGGAGCAGCACCAGTGGCTGTTCGCCGTGAAGTGGGACCGGACCCAGGCGTGGAGGTCGCCCGGCTCGCTCCCCGGCTCGTCCTCGCGGAGCACCTGTGTGGAAATCAAATCTTCAACCCGACTTCAATGTGCGCGTAATTGAACGGATTGCGCCGGGCTCTTCGGCTGAGCTTCGAGAACTCGATGAGAGCAATCGATTCGTCCAAAAATCAGCCGAATCGACTTCGATTTGATCGAGATAGAGAGTTCTGAAGTTTGGTGGGGACCCCCCAAACCAGTGGTTGATTTCCACACAGCGGAGCACGAAGTCGCGGAGCGGCGCGCGCGCGAAGATCTCGCGGACGCGGCGGACGCCGGCCGCGAGGCGCGCGACGTCGCGGTCGTCGATGCCGCCGCCGTCGGCGTAGGGCACGCGGTGCGGCAGGAGCTCGAGCGTCGGCCCGGCGCCGCCGGGCACGACGGCGTAGGCCGTGTCCGGGCGCACGACGGCGACGGTGACGATGGCCTGGTCGAAGCGCACGCGCGCGGCGCTCGCGCGGCCCTCGCGCCGCTCCTCGAGGTGGGGCTCGATGCGCACGGGGAAGACCGTGAGCTGCAGGTCCGGCGGTTTCGCCTCGTCGCCGCCGCTGTGCAGGAACGCGCCCGCGGAGAAGCCCGGGTAGCCGAACCTACGACGCGCGCGTATGCTTCCCCGGTCGAACTCCCTCGAACGTCGCCGCGGCCGGCGGGACGCCGAGCCGAACGCGCGCGAGTAGCTACCGAAGGGCTTGCCCCGCGTCCAGTTGAGGAAGCGGCCGTAGAGGCCCGCCATGTCCGCCGTGAGCGCCGGGTCCACGTCGTAGACGACGGCGACGGCGGGGTGGTCCTGCAGCCCGACGCCGACGCCGTCGTTCGCGACGATCGTCTCCAACCCCGCGGCCTCGAGCGTGTCCCGGTCGCCGACGCCGCTGCGCCTACCGCGCGCGACGATGTTTTCCGGTCAAAACCTCTCGAAACGGCCGCGGGACGCCGCGGCGCGCTGGAGCAGGTGCGGCGTGAGCACGGCGCCGGCGGCGAGGACGACCGTCGCGCCGTCGCCGAGCGCGACGCGCGCGGTCCGCGGCGGGGGGCCCGCGTCGCCGTCCGCGCCGAGCGCGACGTCGAGGCCGACGACGGCCCGGTCCCCCGCGGCGTCCGGCGGCCCGAAGCGCAGCTTCGTCACCGTCGCGCCCGCGCGGATGTCCAGGCCCTTGACGGGCGCGTAGCCGCCGACCTGCGACGGGAGCGTCCGCGGCGGCCGAACCCCTTCCCTTGCGCGGGCCGCGCGCGGTCCCGCCGAGCATCGCCGCCGCCGCGGATTCCCGCAGGCCGTCGCGGATGTTGAAGCTGTAGTAGCCCGCCCCCACGCGGCCGCCGTCCGGGTCGTTGAAGTCGAAGTTCCGCGGGAGCGCGCGGCCGTAGGCCGGCGACGTCACCGTCTCTAAAAATTTCCGCGCGAGCAGGTCGCGGTAGAGGGCGCCCGACGTCGCCAGGGGCCCGCCGACGGCGTGGTGCGGCGGCGTGCCCATGCCCACGGACGCCGGCGCCCAGCCCTGGTCCACCTCGCCCTGGTCCCCCTGCCAGTCCTCCATCTCGAGGTAGCGCCGCTCGACGGCGGGCCACGTCCAGTCGCTGCAGTTCCAGCCCTCGACGTCGCTCTGCAGCGCGCGCACGTAGAGCATGGCGTTGTGGACGCCGCAGCCGCCGACGGCGCGCGCGAGGAAGAAGCCCGGCAACGACCAGAGGTAGCGCGGGAGCTTCGCGACGTAGGACCACGCCAAGGGCACGTCGAAGACCGTTCGGTCTCTGAACAGCCAGTCGGAGCCGCCGAGCACGCGCTGGGAGCCGCCGCCGCTCTCGAGGAGCAGGACCCGCTTCTCCGTGCCGGCGAAGCGCGCCGCGAGCCGCGCGGCGACGACGGAGCCCGCGGGGCCCGCGCCGACGACGACCGCGGCGTACGCGCCGCCGTCGATGGGGTCGCCGATCGTCCCCGCGACCGGCCTGGGCCCCCGGGCGTAGCCGAAGACGACCGACGCGCCGAGCGACGCCGCGAGGCCCAGCGCGAAGCCCACGAGCATCCGCGGCCAGCCGCCGTCGCGGCGCTCGAACTCCGCGCGCGCGTCCGCGAGCGACATGTCGCGCCGCGACAGCCGCAGGGGGCGGGACGTGCCGCCGTAGCTATAACTCCTCACCCGCAGGCCCGGCGCCTCCGGCGACTCCGGCTCCATGAAGCGCACATCGGGCAGGCTCTTGCTCGGCGCCTCGAGGGGCTGCTCCATGGTCGCCGCGCGAGACGGCGTTCCGGGCGCGTCGCCGCTCGAGATGCGCAGCCGGAGGGCTCGTCGCGTCGCCGAGGTATGTGTCTCTCGTCGACGGAGCGAAGACCGCCGTTCTAGACGGCGACCATGGGATCTTGGCTGGCGGCAGAATGTGCGCGTTTCCAAGTGCGCGTCACCTTGAAGAAGACTTTTACCCGTCGCCGCGCTGGAGCCGCACCCAGCCGCCGCGGACGGGGTCGAGGGCGTCGGCGAGGGCGTCCGCCGGGTCGCCGTCGCGGCCGCCGCAGCCGAAGTCGACGGGCCCCGCCTGGAGCCAGTGGCCGCGCGCCGCGAGGACCATGGCGAGCATGTCCGGGATGAGCTTGACGTTCTGGTCGTAGAGAAACTGGGGGGTGTCGCGGATGCCCGGCCCCTTGCTGAACTCGATGAGGTAGGGCTCGCCGGCGTCGTCGACGATGAAGTCGACGCCGAGGAACGCGAACTGGCCCGGCCGCCAGTCGTCGCTCAAAAAGTCCGTCCTGTTGCTCCGCGCGCGCGTCGAGCCGCCGCGGTCGCCCTTGAGCGCCGCGCCGACGGCGTCGGCGACGGCGTCGCGGAAGGACGCGTCGAGGCCGCGCCGCGTCTTCGCCGTGCGCCGCTCGACGACGTCGCCGAGCGCGGCCCACGGCAGGCGCAGCGACCCGTCGCCGACGGCGTCGGCGTCGGCGTCGTAGCCCTCGATCTTTTTCTGGAACGTGTGGTTCGTCACGTGGGCCTCGCGGTCGAGCTCGACGAGGCGCCCGCCGCCGGCCGCGCCGACGCCCGGGAACGGCCGGCCCGACGCGCGGAGGTAGCCCTCGTGGAAGTAGCAGAGCAGGCCCGCGCGGTCCGCGCCGCCCTCGCGGTCCCGCAGGGGCAGCGAGACGATGAGCAGGTAGCAGCGGACGTCGAACTTGCGGCCGTCGTCCAAAAGTAAGGGCCGCGCGACGTACGACTGGACGACGACCTCGCGCGTGTCGCCGAAGGAGCTCTTCAGCGCCTCCTCGAGCGCGTCCGTGGCGGCCTCTAACCGGAAGACCTTGATGCCCCGGCCGCAGGCGCCCCGCGACGGCTTGACGATGACGACGGCCTCGCCGCCGGGCGCCGCGGCCGCCGCGAGCACCGAGCCGAGGTCGCCGCCGACGACGGCGAAGGCGACGTCCGGCGACCCCCGGGGGCTCGACCGCTTGCAGACGCAGGTCGCCGGGTGCCGCGGCCGTTTCACGTGGCGCATGAGCGCGAGCGCGAGGCGCGCCTTGCACGTCAGCGCGTCCTCGCCTACGACGGCGCGCCGTCAAAACGTCGACAAAAGATCGCGGGGCGCGCACCGGGGAAGTGGTTCACGAGGTGGCGCGCGGACAGCGACGGCGTCGCCTTCAACGGGTGGTCGAGCGGCGCGACGTCGCCGCCGAAGCGCTTCGCCGAGCGGATGTAGCAGAAGTCCGTCTGGCTGAAGAAGTCGCGCGTCGCGTCCTCGCCGCGCACGAAGCGGCCCCGCTCGTCCGTCGCGGGCTCCCAGCCCTTGGCGAGCATGAAGTCGACGACGAGGCGCGCGACGAAGGACCTAACGGGGTTGGACGGCTCCTCGCTTTCCCGCGCGAAACGCGCTCGACGCCGCGAGGGGCCCGTTGTCGATCCAGAAGCGCGGCGTCGCGGCGTCGTCGTAGATGGGGAAGCCGTCGGCGTCGTGGCGGTACATGACGCGCCGGCCCGGCGCGCGGCGGAGCCCGAGGTCGAAGCCCGCGTCGCCGTCGTATCGCACGCCGACGACGTCGCCGTCGCGCAGGCCGCACGCGGCGACGGTGTCCCCGTCGCGGAAGGGCTCGAAGGCCGCGCCGCTCGCGCCCCGCGACGGCAGCAGGCTCCCGTCGCCCGCGCGGAGCCGGTTCTGCGCCGTGGCCATGACGCGCCGCTCCGACGTCGGGCCCCGGCCGCACTCGATGCGCTCGAAGGTGAGCGACTTGCCCGTCGTCGCGTGCGCGGTTGCGGCGATCTTCCGCCGGACCTCGAGGATCGTCGTCGTCGGCGCGCACGCGACGTCGCAGAAGGGCGTCCCGTCGTGCGGGTTCAAGGCCCGCAGCGTGAGCGCCGCGCCGTCCCGCGCGACGAGCGGGCCGAAGCCGAGCGGCGCGCCGTCGATGAGCACGTACTGGCCCGCGGCGAGCTGCAGCCACCCGTCGACGACGGCGAGGGGCTCCAGCACGTCGCCGCGCTTCCGCAGGCCCACGCAGGGCGCGTCCGTGGACGGCGCGCCGCGCACGGCGACGCGCGGGCCGTGCACGACCGTCCACGTTTCGGGCGCGGCGTCGTCGAAGTCGCTCATTGTTGCAAATGCTTATTGGTGTTGCACGGCTAAGCGTTCGGAAAGAGCTCGTCGAAGCGCCGGTCCATCACGATTTGCCACGGCATCGTCACGGCTCTCCGATGGCACTCGCCGAAGCTGCCGCTGCGGCAAGAACGATGGTCTCGCGTGGCAGCGCCTTCTCGGTGCTCGCCGTCGTCGCGACGCTCCTCTCTCTAACCTCGGCCGCTCCGAGTTGCTGCGAAGCGAAGGCGCGCCTCGCGCGGCAGCGCTTCATCGCCGACCCGGACGCCGTCCCGCCGGACTTCGACAGCGAAGGCCGGCCGCGGCTCGTCGCTGATCATTGTGCAATCCAGCCTGAGGAGTGGGACGAGGAGGACGACGGGCCCTGGGAGCCGCCGCTCGCGGAGAACGAGGACTTTTCGTGGAAGGCGCCGCGCGTGCCGAACCCGGACTACGCCCCGCCTCCCTTCGCCGACGAGCTCCGGACCGAGGTCGAGAAGGCGCTCCCCTGGGTCGTCGTCGGCGTCCTGGTGACGGCGGCCCTCGAGGCCCTGCAGCTGCCGTTCGCGAGCCTCGGCGGCGTGCTGGCGCGCGCGGGCCCCCTCGGCGGCGCGGCCGTCGGCCTCGCGACGCCGCTCTGCTCGTGCGGCGCGTTGCCCGTCGCCGCGGGCCTCGCGGCGTCGGCGCCGCTGCGCGCCGTCGTCGCCTTCCTGACGGCGTCGCAGTCCGCGGGGCTCGACTCCGCGGCCATCACCTGGGGCCTCCTGGGCCGCGCCGCGGCGCTCTGGCGCCTCGGCGGCGCGCTGCTGCTCGCCGCGGCCGCGGGGCTCGCCGTCGGCGGCGGCGACGGCGCGGCGGCGGCGCCCGCCGCGGCGCCCGCCGCCGTCGCGCCCCGGCGCGGCCGCCTCGCGGCGGCCTTCAAGGCCGCCGTCGGCTCCGCGCGCGACGCGTTCCCGCCGGTGCTTCTGGGCCTCGCGGGCGGCGCGGCCGCGCTGCGCTGGCTGCCGCCGCTGCCCCAGGCCCACGACGACTACGCCGACGGGCTCCTGCCGCGCGTCGCCGTGCTCGCCGCGGCCCTGCCCCTCCAGCTCTGCGAGCACTCGACGGTGACCGCCGCGCGGGCGATTAGGGACGCGGGCGGCAGCCCGGGCCTCGCGTTCGCGTTCCTCCTGTCGGCGCCGGCGACGAACCTGCCGAGCCTTTTGTTGCTCGTCGCCGCGCGCCGCGAGCGCGCGCGCGCCGCGGCGCTGCGCGTCGCCGCCGCCATCGCGGCGACGGCGCTCGCGCTGTCCTACGCCGTCGATTTCGCGGGCGCGGACCTCTTCGTCGAGCGCGACGACGCCGTCGGCACCATGGCCACCTTCCCGCCCTGGTTCGTCGACGCCTGCCCCTGGCTCGCGGCGTGGCTCGCCGTCGCGGCCGTCGTCGACGCGCTCCAGGGCCGCCGCGCGGCCGCGCTCCCGCCGTGCTGCCGCCCCGACAAGAAGTGCCACTAAGGTTGCAACGCGGCGACGGCGTGCCGCCACGCGCGGTCCGCGCGGTCCGCGCGCGCGTCCTCGGCCGCGCGCGCGCGCCGGTCGCCGCGCCAGACGTCCTCGCCGACGGCGGTGACGCGGTCCCGGTTCGCGTCGTAGTCGCGCACGCGCCGCCTCCAGGCGCCGACGTCGGCCTCGGCCGCCGCCGCGTCGTCGAAGACGAAGACGCCGCGCATCGGGCCGAAGGGGTCCGGGCGCGCCGGCGGCGGCAGGTGGCGCAGGAGCGGGCCGACGGGGCTCCGCCGCAGGAACGCCTCGTCGACGAACTCCGTGCAGAGCGTGCAGGCGACGTTGCGGCCGTGCTGCACGTGGAGCATGCGGCAGGCGTCGTCCTTGACGAACGCGAGCGGCACGCCGGCGCTCTCGAGCTTCGCGACCTGCCGCGGGCGGCTTTTGCGGGCGACGGGCGCGGGGGACGCCGCCGCGGGACCCAGCTCGCGTCCTCGCCCCAGTTCGTGTCCTTCCAGCGGACGGCGTCCCAGGCGGACCGCGCCTGAGATGACGCGCGTGTCCCCGTGGATAAAAAACGGCTCGGTATACGCCGGACCGCGCGTAGACGAAGCCGAAGCCGCGGGACTTGCGCTCCGTCTCGACGAGCGACGCGGGCACGGCCGCCGGGGGATCCGCGGCGTCGAACGCGCCGGCGACGCGCGTCTCGGCGTCGTAGGCGAACCTGGCAGGAAAAGAGTCGAAACGGACGCGCGCGGAACACTCATGTTGAAGCGAACTTGAATCACTCTTTTCCTGCCCTGTAGGCGAACCACTTGTCGAGCTTCGCCAAACCCGCGCCGCCCGCGTCCGCGAGGGCTTTCACCATGGTCGGCAGGTACGACGGCCCGTACAAATCGTCGTCGTCGAAGTTCGCGACGACGGGCGATGTCGCGAGCTCCGCGAGCGCGCGGTTCCGCTTCTCGCCGATCGTCAAATCGTTCGCGGCGCCGCGGACGTGCACGTAGGTCACGCGCGGGTCCGCGCAGTTCGAGAAGAAGGGCGACGGCGCCGGCCCGCTGTCGACGACGATGAGCCGCCGCGGCCCTGAGTAGTCGGAGCATGCGAAGGACGCGTAGCAGCCCGCGTGGTGCGCCGCGCGCGAGGCCGTCGTCGGCACGAGTACGTCGACGGCGTCGCCGTAGCGCACGGGTTTCGGCGGCGGCGGCGGCGCGAGTTTTGACGCGTCGAGCCAGCCGCGGCCGCGGACGAGGCACGCGGTGGACAGGGCGGACGATAGCTGTTCGTCGATGATCTCGACGACGTCGCCGGCCTCGACGCGGTCGCCCAGGGCCGCGCTCGTCGCTTCCGGGCTCCAGCGCAGCTCCGCGCCGCCGAGGACCGCCGCGCGGCGCGCGTACCATGCCGCGCCCGGCGGCGCGGCCGACAGCGCCTCCCGCAGCGGCGCGGCGGCTGTCGCCGCGACCGCCGCGGACTGGACCCAGCCCCCGCGGCCGAGCCGCGCCCAGCCGCCGCGGCGCTCGAGCACCTGGAACGACGCGCCGGCGACGAGCCAGCCCAGCGGCCGGCAGTCGGCGACCGGCGCGTCGACGACGAGCGTTTTTTGCAGCACCCGCACCTCCTCGACCGTGCGCGCATCATCATCACGTTCTTTGGCGACGGCGCGCTCATCATCATCATCGGGTTCGTTGGCGACGGCGCGCCGCTGGCGCGACGCGACGAAGGCCTTGAAGGAAGCCATTCAGGCAGCCCCAGACGTGTTATCTGGCGGCCATGCTCTCCGAGGCTTCACGCCTTCAACCTCGGCTTCAACGTGCATCATCGTGTCGCGACACGCCAAAGCCCGAGAAACAACGCCCTCCATCCCAGAGAGGGCGACGCGCCGCTCCGCGTGGGGCGATCTGCGCGCCCCCGCGGGGTCGGCCGCGGTGAGTAAAACTTAACGCGCGCGCGAACGCGCGGCCCGCGGCCTCTACTTGGCCTTCATGCGCTGCGCGCGCTTGCGCTTCTTGACCTTGTGCTTGTTCATCATCTTTCGTCGGCGCTTCATCGTGCTCTCGAAGACGCGCGCGAAGCCCGGCAGCAGCGCACGCGTCGAGACGAGCGGCGCGGCGGCCGGCCGCGCGAGGACGTGCAGGGAGCGCCGCGCCGCCGCGGGCGCCAGGAGCGCGCCGAGCGCGCCGCCGCCCGGCGTCGCCCAGGCCGCCGGCGCCGCGGCCCGGAGCGTCGCGGCGCAGGGCGATGACCAGGTGCAGGTCGCCGGCGTCGCGGCGCGTCGCACGAGCGCGCGCCACGCGAACATGGCTGCACGACCCACGCGACTCGGCGGAAAGGGGTTCGGCGATGAGCAACGCCTTGACGAGAAAGTACGACCCACGCTGAAGCTGCGGCGACACACAGCGTCGATGCGGGTCCGTCGAGGTCCTCCGGCTGTGGCGCGGCGGCATGCCGGGGGTCGCTGTGTCGCAGGCGCCTGGAGCCGTAGGCGTCTCCGCGCGCCGATCTCTATGACGTCTCCGAGCCGATCTCGATGACACAAGACACAGTTAACAGAGCGGCGCCTCGCACGATCCCTCTTCGTCCTCGGAGCGGGGCGCGCGCAGGGGCACGAGGCTCACCGACGCGTCCATGTTCCACGAAGAGGCACCATCAACCATCTAAGATTTATAAGATTTGTTGAGCTGCTAACGATTGCCCAGGCAAAGGGCTGCTGGCTCGTCGTTGCGCCGGTCCCCGGGCCAGCGCGGCGGCGCCATGGGCGACATCCATCCCGTGCAGCCGCCGCAGGTCGAGTTCGAGAATGCGCTGGACCGGCTGGTCTACGTGCAGACGATCTCCATCCGCAACTACTGCGGCAAGGCGCGGCGCGTGCGCATCGAGGGCCCGGCGGCGCGGGGCCCGTTCACGCTCGTCTTCACGCCCGGGCCGAGCCTGGCGCCGGGCCTCGAGCTGACGGCGGACGTGCAGTTCGTGCTGCCCGAGGACGGCTCCGGCGGCGACCGGGGCGTCTTCCTCGACCGGCTGCTCGTGCACTTCGGCGACGGCGAGGAGACCGTCGAGGTGCCCCTGCGGGCCGTGGCGCCCCAGGCGCGCATTTTGGCCGTGCCGTCGAGCGAGCGGCCGCGGGCCGGCGCGTCGAGCCACGAGTGCGTCGTCGCGGCCATGGACGCGCCGGGCCGCTACGCGGTGCGCCTCGGCGACGTCGTTTTAGGCACGACGACGACGTCGGAGCTCGAGCTGCGCAACCTGGGCCCCGTCGCCGGCGACTTCAAGCTGGAGGTCGGCGACGCGGCCAAGCCCGCGACGGGCGACGACGACGCGCACCACCACCGGGGGGGGAACGACCTCCGGTGCGAGCCGTCGGCGGGCCACCTCGGCCCGGACGCGCGGCAGGCGCGGCAGCTCCAGGCGCTCGGCGCCAAACGCAAAACGGAGGAGGAGCCCGAGGACGCGAGCCGCGACGACGAGTCCGGGAGCCCCCGCGTGGACACGTCCGCGGTCATCTCCCTGGAGCTGACGGCCGCGAAGCTCGGCGCGGCGCGGTTCCGCGTCGTCGTCGACACGAAGCAGGGCACGCCCTGCGTCCTCGACGTGTCCTGCGTCGTCGTGACGCAGCGCCTCGAGCTCTACGCCGTCTCCGGCCTGCGGCGCCACGAGGCGCTCGCGAACGTCGACTTCGGGGCCATGTTCTACGGCCAGTCGTGCGAGCGGCGCGCGGTGCTCGTCAACAACTCGCCCCAGGCCGTGCCCTTCGTGATCTCGCTCCACGCGGACCGGGAGCTCGCCGTGGAGGCCGCGCGCGAGGCCGAGGCGCGGCGCCTCGCGGACGCGCCCGCGTCCGAGGCCGGGTCCGGGTCGCCGCGCGGCGCGTCCGCGGACGGCGCCAAGTTCCTCGACGAGTGGGAGACCGACGACGGGTCCCTGACCGTGACGCCTCTGGAGGGCCTGCTGGAGCCCCACGCGCGCCAGCCCGTGACGCTGCGCTTCGCGCCCCCGAAGCCGCCGCTGACGACGGCGTTCAAGCACCGGCTCCACGCGCCCATGCAGCCGACGGACGAGGACGCCGACGGGAGCCCCGAGGCCGGGGGCCGCGTGCGCCGCAACGTGCCGTCGCGGCCCTACGGCCTCAAGGTCAAGGTCGGCGTGCCCGTCGCGGGCGGCGGCGTCTCGGGCGAGCCCGACGGCAAGGCCAAGCCCGACGACACCGAGCCGAAGCGGCCCGAGATCCCGGCCCTCGAGGTCGCCGTGACGGCCCACGCGGCGCCGACGGACGCCGTCCACGTGTCGCCGAAGACGCTGCGCTTCGGCACCTGCGAGCCGCGGTCCAAACAAAAAGGTTTGGTGACCATCGAGAACGCGTCCGACGTCGCGGCCAAGTTCGAGTTCGCCAAGGTCGCCCAGTTTAGCGTGACGCCGTCGCGGGGCAAGATCGCCGGGCGCGCGAAGACGACGGTCATGGTCACCTTCTACCCGGCGCAGATCGGCAACTTCGACGTCCGCTGCGAGCTCAAGATCGAGGGCGGGCTGTCGACGCAGACGCTCCGCATGCTCGGCAAGGCCGTCAAGTCGACGACCTACCCCAAGGGCACCCCGGGGTCCACCGTGGGCAAGGGCTCCGTCGACGTGTCGCGCCTCGGCGCGGGCCTCGGCGCGCTGTCGTTCGAGCCGTCCGTGTGGACGGACGCGGAGCTGCTCGCCGGCGTCGCGGACAAGAAGGTGGGCCAGTTCGACTACTGGGAGGAGCGCGACAACCAGATGCGCGCCGACAAGGCGCGAAGTGACCTCAACAAGACCCAGTACGTCAAGTACCTGCGGGAGCGGCGCGCGGTGCGCGAGACCGCGGCGGACAAGGCCGAGGAGGCGCGCCGCGTCGCGTACGCGCGGCGCAACCCGTCGGACCCGACGGGCGCCGAGCTCGCCATGGAGCCGCTGGAGGAGCCGCCCCTGCCGCCGCTGCCCGACGCCTACGCGGAGCCCCTCTGGATGAACAAGGGCGGCCGCGGCGCCGCGACGTCCGCCGCGGGCGGCAAGCCCCAGTTCGACGCGGACCGCCTCATCGCCGAGAAGTTCAAGCCGCGGCCGACGACGCAGGCGGAGATGCGCCACTGCTCGACGCGCCTCAACGCCGCGGACCTGTCGAAGATCACCGCGTCGCACGCGACCTTGGATTTCGGCCGCGTCTGCGTGGGCTCCAAGGCCGTCAAGAACTTCGCCGTGTCCAACGGGTTGAGCCACGCCGTGCTCGTCGCCATCTCCACGGCGAGCCTGCCGCCGGAGCTCGCCGCGGGCACGACGCCCGCGAGCCAGGTCGTGCCCGGCGAGGCGACGGCCGGCTTCGACATCGCGCTCCACTGCGCCAAGGAGACGCTGGGCTACCGCTGCGTCGTCCAGTACACGATCAACGACCGCCATACCCTCAAGCTCGCCATCACGGCGGACGTCGTGCCCGTGGAGCTCACGCTGGGCAGTCCCGAGCTCGCGATCGAGTTCGACGCGCACTCGCTCGAGTCGTCCGTGGACGCGACGATCGAGCTCAAGAACCCGGGCAACTCGGCCGTGGAGTTCTTCTGGACCCACGCGCCGCCCTTCTCCGTGCTGCCGGAGCAGGGCGTCGTGCCGCCCTTCGGGTCGACGGTCGTCGCGGTCACGTGGACGCCGAGCCCCGTGCTCAAGAACGTGGGCAAGCTCCTGGTCCACGTGCCCGGCGCCAAGGAGGATCTCGAGCTCGCCGTGACGGGCAAGCTCGACGACGCCAAGTGCGCCTTCGGCGAGCGGAAGCTCGACTTCCAGACCGTGTCCGTGGGCATGGAGCGCGACCTGGCCGCGTCCGTGCTCAACACGGGCCAGTGCGCCGCCGTCTGCAACGTCGAGGTCTCGCCGGAGGTGAGCGACTTTTTGTTCGTGTCCCACACGCGCTTCCGCCTCGTGCCCGGGGGCACGCAGCACATGACGGTGTCGCTCAAGCCGCGCGCGCCGCGGACGCTCGACGGCACGACGCTCCTCTGCCACGTCCGCGGCGCCAAGTCCGTGCGGTTGCCCGTGACGGGCTCGGCGATCATCCCCGACGTGCGCATCCTGGCCGCCGCGCCCGCGGGCGCGCCGCCGCCGAGGCCCAAGGGCGACCTCTTCGACGGCGACTACGACGACGACGATTTGTTAGGAGACGACGGCGCGGGGCCCGACATCCCGACGCTCGACTTCGCGGACCAGTTCGTGGGCTTCGAGGAGCGGCGGCGCATCGTGCTCCAGAACGAATCCGAGATCGGCGCGTTCCTCGCGCTCGACCTCAACGCGTTCCCGGACTTTTACGCGGAGCCCTGCAAGCCCAGCGACACGCTCCACAAGCCGCCGGCGGCGCCGGAGGCCGCCAAGGAGGAGCCCGGCGCCAAGGCCAAGTCGCCCGCGGCGCCGAGCCGGTCGCTCGACGGCGACGCGGCGCCGCCGGCGATCGACGCGCGCTTCGTCGAGTCGTCGAGCGGGTCGACCATGGAGCTCGTCACGACGGAGCTCCGCGACGGCAACCTGAAGAAGGGCCAGCCCGTGCCCACGGTGGAGCACTGGGCGCTCCACGTCGCGCCCAGGGGCGTGCTCGCGCTCGAGGTCGTCTTCGCGCCCAAGGCCCCGGGCTCCCACGAGTTCGACCTGCCGCTGGAGCTCAGCGAGCTCCAGAAGCGGCCCTGGGCCCACGTCCGCGCCGCGGCGTTGCGGCCCATGCTCGTGCTCTCGTCGACGACCGTCGACTTCGGCGAGCGCATCTTCGCGTCCGACGCGACGCGCCAGGTGCCCTTCTCGTCGGACGTCGTCCTCAGCAACCACCACCACGGCACGCTCCAGTGGGCGCTGGACGAGAACGGCCAGGGCGCGCCGCCGCCGCCGCCGCCGCCGGCCGGTGCCAAGGGCGGCGGCCAGCCCGCGCCGCCCAAGTCCGCGGTCTTCTTCGTGTCGCCCAAGGAGGGCAAGCTCCAGCCCGGCGAGTCGACGACCGTGCGCGTGACCTTCGTGCCCACGTCGTCCAAGGAGTACGAGGAGCGCTTCCCCCTGAGCTTCGCGACGGAGGCCGAGGCCGCGGCCAAGCTAGCCGGCGACGCCGTCGCGGAGAAGTCGAAGCCCTACCTCACGCTGCTCCTGCGGGGCAGCGGCGCCCACCCGCGCCTCGAGGTCGAGGACGGCTCCGACGACGGCTACGTGCGCGGGCCCGGCGACGTCTTCACCATGCCCACGGTGCCCACGGGCGTCCAGAGCCGCGTGCTCCTCTACGTGCGGAACCGCGGCTTCGAGCACATCCAGCTCAACTACCGCCTCCCGCCCCACGTGCCCGTCAAGCTCACGGTCGACTTCCCCGAGGGCCGCGCCCTCGGCGTCGCGACGCCGCGGCTCTGCGTCGTCATCAGCTTCTGCGCCGACGCGCCCGTGTCGTTCGCGGCGGCGCTTCAGCTCCTCGACAGCGACGGCAACGCGTACACGGTGCCCATCGCCGGCGCCGCGGACAACTGCTTGCTGAGCACGCACGCCTTCCTGGCGGCCTACAAGCGCGACTACGCGTTCCACCACCGCGAGGGCGTCGCGCCGAAGTTGGTCGAGGCCGCGCTCGCGCGCCAGCTCATGGAGGAGGAGCTCAAGGAGAAGGAGCAGCAGCGCCTCGCGCGGCGGCGCGCGAGCTCGAACTCGTCGACGACGAAGAAGAAGGAGGCCGACGCGCCGCGGGACGAGGCGTCCGCGGCGCCCGCGGCCGCGGCCGCGGCCAAGGGCGACGGCGAGCCCAGGCTCGCGGGCGTGGACCCGAAGCGCGAGCGGCCCCTGCCCGCCGAGGACATCGCGCCGCTCCTCGTGCTCTTCCTCAACTACCACGCGCTCAACGGCCGCAAGGGCGCCGACGCGCCCCTCAAGTCCATCCCCGAGGACTGCGTCGCGTCGCACGGCCGCGTCGCGATCGACGCCATCGAGGCGCTCGCGGGCCGCAAGGTGCCCGGGCGGCTCCAGCGCGTCGTCTCCAACGACAAGGAGCTCATGGCCCAATTGGTCGCCCAGTACCAGGCGCTCCTGCTCTTCATGGTCGAGCGCGGCGCGCTGCTCAACGCGGTCCGCCCGGAGCAGCTCCTGTCCAAGCACCACTACATCAAGTTCCGGGAGCAGCAGGCCGACTTCGTGTCGACGCGCGCGGCGCGCGACGCGCGCCACGCGACCTGGGACGGCACCTGGGCCGCCGTGTCCCTCGAGGCGTGGCTCGCGGTCCTGCTCCAGGCCGTCCGCGTCTTCTGCCTCGCGCGCATCACGCCCAAGACCTTCGCCTCGCTCCCCGGCGTCCTCATCCCCAAGCCGCCGCGCGCCGCCGCGGGCGACGACCACGGCGGGAGCCACGGCTCCAGCGACCCGGAGCTCGCGGGCTCGAACGTCTATTCCGTGGGCGAGTGCGTCGTCCTCAAGTGGCTCGGCTACCACGCCGCGGCGGGGCTGGGCAACGGCGCGGGCCTGTCGAAGCGCTTCGACACCTTCGGCCGGGCCTTCGAGGACCCGGGGAGCCTCTGCGCGGTCCTCGCGTCGAACGCGCCGTCGCTCGTCGAAAGCGGCGGCGCGCTCGCGGGCTTCAAGAGCATGAACGGCGCGTCGCCCGAGGACAAGGCCGCCGTGAGCGACAAGGCGCTCCACGCGCTGGAGGCGCTACGGTGCGACCTCGGCGGCTACGGCGGCGACGCGGACGAGGGCACGGCGCTCGAGGCGCGCGCGATGAGCCGGCTCGAGGGCGTCCGCGCGCTCCTCGTGGCGCTCCACCTCTACCTGACCATGCCCAACTTCGTGCCCAAGACGACCATCGAATTCAACGCCCAGCTCGGCGCGCCCATGTGCAAGATGATCGAGCTGCGGAACGCGGCGCCGCGCGAGATCGCGTACGAGGTCGTCCTCGAGGGGAGCGCGGACTTCAAGGCCGTCGGCCCGGAGGCGGCGCCCTCCAAGGACGACAAGCCCGCCTACGTGGTCGTCGAGTCCAAGGCGTCGGCCGCCTACACGGTGGAGCTCGCGCCGCGGTTCTCGAAGCCCGTCGAGGGCCGGCTCACGTTCTTCGCGCTGCCGGGGTCGTCGCCGGGCCCGCGGCCGCCGTCCATGGTCTTCACGCTGCGGAGCAACGTCGAGAGCCACGCGCCCGTCGCCGTCTTCGAGCACGAGTCGACGGCCTACGAGGCGAAGAACATCGACGTCGTCGTCAAGTCGCCGTTTTTGACGTCCGGCGTCTTCGAGGTGTCGCTCGCCAACTCGACGCTCGAGGAGTACGTCCCCCCGCGCAAGCCCGCGGGCAACGCGCGCGGCGGCGCCGCGGGCCGGGGCCGGGGCCAGCCCGCGAAGCGCAAGAAGCAGCGCCGCGAGGAGGCGCCGGCGGACTGGAGCGGCCACGGCAAGGGCGACGAGTTCGAGAAGGCGCAGGCGCTGCTCCGCGAGCCCTTCTGGACGTCCCAGAAGACGGTGCGTTTAGATGCTTCCGGCGCGACGAACCTGAACGTGCAGCTCCTGAGCTGCAGCCCCGGCCTCTACAAGGCGGAGCTCACGTTCCTCAACGGCGACATCGGCGAGTTCGTCGTCGAGGTGCTCGCGCGCGTGCACCTGCCCAAGCAGATGGACCACTTCAAGCTCACGGTGGAGACGGAGGACGACGGCCAGATTTCGATCACGAAGCTCCTGCGCCTGCCGCCGACGAACCCGCTGCTCGAGCGCGCGTTCGCGCAGCTCGGCGAGCGCGTGCCGTCGACGACGGAGCGCGCGGCCATCAAGCACGCGCTCCAGGCCGTGTCGCGGGGCCCGCCGAGCCAGCCCCCCGCCGACGACAAGGCGACGAAGAAGAAGCCCGCGGACGCGGCGAGCGACAAGGCGCCGTCCGAGGCGCCCGGCGACGACGACGGCCCGAGCAAGGACGAGGGCGTCGCCTTCGAGGTCACGACGGACTCGCCCTTCTTCCAGTGCCCCGACGAGCTCACGGTCGTCTTCGACGCCAAGGGCGCGGACAAGAAGGGCGCGTCGAAGGCGTCGTCGAATAAAAAAACGGAGCTCGTCGACGTCAAGGAGGACACGGTCATCGACGCGCCCAACAGCCTCGTGCTCTCCTTCTACCCCCAGAAGGCGGGCACCTACCTCTGCGCCATCGCGTCCCAGGCGCGGCCGGGCCTCGTCCACGACATCCGCATCCTCAACGTCGAGGTCGTCGTGACGATGCCGCGCATCCAGACCGTGCTCGAGTTCAAGGCGCCCGCGCGGCGCAAGATCACCCAGGACCTGCCGCTCATGAACGCGTCCGACGAGGACTGGATGCTCTCCGTGAACCTCCAGGGGTCGCGCGTCTTCTCGGGGCCGCAGAAGCTCAAGGTGCCCGCGGGCGGCCGCGCGTCGTTCCCGCTGACCTTCGCGCCCACGTGGACGGGCGTCGAGAACGCGAAGCTGACCCTGCGCAACGCGCGGTCGCCCGACGCCTTCGAGTACACCCTCGTCGGCGAGGGCGAGCCGCCGCTCGCCGAGGGCCACGAGGTCCTCCGATGCAACGCGCGCGAGACGACGACGCACGGCTTCCTGCTGGAGAACGCGTCGAGCAAGCCGCTGAGCTACAAGGTCGAGAGCGACCTGCCGTTCGTGTCCGGCGCGTCGACGATCGACGTGCCCGCGAACTCGTCCGCGACGTACGACCTGAAGATCTCGCCGAGTTTGGGCGGCGCGTACACGGGCTCCGTGACCTTCTCGCCGCCGACGGGCGAGTACGTCTGGTACACGATCAAGGTTCAGGTCGACTCGCCGCTGGAGGAGTCGGCCATCGACATCTCGACGACGGTCCGCATGGCCGCGTCCGCGCGGATCTCGCTCACGAACCCGCTGCCGGAGGCCATCGACTTCGACGTCATCCTCCAGGGCGACGGCCTCATCGGCGAGCCGAGGTTCACGCTCGAGGCCGACGAGGCCGCGGGCACCTACGAGCTCTTCTACACGCCCCTCATCGCGCAGAGCCACGCGGGCTCCGTCGTGTTCCTCAACGACCGCGTCGGCGAGTTCTGGTACCGGCTCAACCTGTCCGCGGCGCCGGCGGAGCCGACGCGGCTCGATGTGTTGGAGTGCGCCGTGGGCGCGCGGACGTCGACGATGGTCACGGTGGAGAACCCGCTGAACCGGGAGATCACGCTCGTGACGCAGGTCGCGAACCGCGCGAACTTCGTCGTCGAGCCGTCCGTGTCCATCCCGCCCTACGGGTCCGTCGACGTCGAGATCCAGTACGTGCCGTCGGAGATCGGCGTCGTCCAGGAGTCGACGGTGGTGTTGCGCCACGACGTGCTCGGGGACTGGGAGTACGTCGCGTCGGGCGCGGGAACGACGCCGGGCCTCATGAACGAGCACACGCCGTCGGCCATCGTCGGCGAGCCGGCGTCCTACATGTTCTCCTTCCGCAACCCCTTTGGCATGCCCCTGGACGTCGACATCGACCTGGAGACGACGGACGAGCACGCGGGCGCGCTGAGTTTGCTGATGCGGCGGTCGCGCGACGTGCGCCTCGCGCCCCACGTGTCCATGTCCATCCCCCTGAGCTTCGACCCCGTCGTCATCGCCGAGCACCACGCGGTGGTCAAGGTCATCGGCGACTACCGGGGCGTGCCCCTGGCCTGGACGTTCCCGATCCGGGGCATCGTCAACGCGCCGCTGCAGCTCCGCGCGGTGCGCATCGCGGCCAAGGCGAAGACGTCGACGCGCCACGAGATCGTGCTCAAGCTGTCGAGCATCGCGTCCCTGGCGCCGGGCGGCGAGGACTTCGACTTCGAGGTCGTCGCGGACGGCGCGGTGGCGAAATTGGTCAACTCGGCGCTGGAGGTGCGGCCCGTGGACACGCGCCTCACGGCCGTCGACGGCGAGCTCAAGTTCGACGCCATCTTCGAACCGCTGCGGCCCTTCTCGACGTCCGTGCACCTCGTCGTCAAGCGCGCGACGGGCGGCCGCTGGCCCTTCGAGGTGCAACTGGACGTCGACGAGCCCGACCCGGACGACGCGATCGAGATCGAGGCGAATTTGCACACGACGGCCAAGGTCCAGTTCAAGCTCGTCAACTCCAACGCCATGGACTACACGCCCTTCAACGCCTTCTTCTCCACGGACAGCGCGCACACGCTCACGGTGTCGCCCGCGCACGGCTTGCTCGCGCCCGTCGGCACCGAGGGCACGAACTTCGACGTGAGCTTCCGGCCCGTCAAGTACGGCATGCTCCAGCGCGGGCGCCTCATCATCCAGACCGAGGACATGATGTGGTCCTACGAGGTCCACGGCACGCACCCGTCCTTCACCGTGCCCGTGTCCCAGTCCAAGGTCGACACGCACATGTCCAAGAAGTACCTCCGGGACAAGGCCCGCCACTAGCGCCGCTCCCCTCCTCCTTCGCGCGCGCCTACGGCACTTCGACACGGTATTTTCTTTGGGTTGGTCGGGCGGCGTGGCGGTCGGCGACTGTCTACTCGCCTTCAATCTGAGTTCAAGCCTGCTTCAGCCAAAAATCTGCCACAGCTCGCGATCTGGCAGCTCCGAGCGCCGTCGCCGCGCCGCAGCGATGGTGACCGTCGTCGAGGACTTGGACAAGGAGGGCCTGCTCGAGCACCTCGCCGTCGAGTCGGAGGCCAAGGAGCTGCGCGACTGGGTCAAGGACAAGTGCGCGCGGCCGACGGGCCTCGACGCGCGGCTCGCGAGCGCGAAGCGGCTCCGCGAGAAGGGCAACCTCGCCTACGACCGCAGCGAGTGGGACGCGGCGGTCTGGCTCTACCTCGCGGCGCTGCACCACGTCGACTACAGCAAGAAGGACCGCGTCGCCGACGCCGTCGACGACACGGTCGCCGGGACGGCGTCGTGGCGCGAGGCCGTCGCGCTGCTCCTGTCGAACCTCGCCGCGGCCTTCGCCGGCAAGGACGACACGTACAACACGATCCGCTGCGCGAACCTCGGCCTCGACTTCGCGAACCGGTGCAAGACCGTCGACGACGACAAGGCGCAGCTCCGGGCGAAGCTCCTCTACCGCCGCGGCAGCGCCAAGAGCCGCGCGGCGGGCACGCCCGGCGCGGGCGCGGACTGCACGCACGCCGAGGGCCTCCGGGACCTGCGGACGGCCGTGAGCCTCGATACAACGGACGACCGGGGCATGAAAGACGCGCTCAAACGCGTGAAGAAGGCGGCCAAGGCCGAGGCGCCGGCCTTCTCGGACCTCAAGGGCGCCCTCGGCGCGCCCGGCGCGGGCTTCGCGCCCGACGACCTGCCGGAGGGCGTCGAGGCCGTCGCCGACGCGGCGCCGGCCGCGCCGCGGTCGCCGAAGCGGTCGCCGAAGAAGCCGCCGAAGAAGCCCGCGTCGCCGAGGGCGGCGGCGGCGCCCGTCGTCGCCAACGTCGCCGAGAAGCGCGAGCGCAAGCGGAGCCGCGCGCTCTCGGCGCGCGTCGTCGCCGCGTTCGAACAGCTCCCGCGGCTCCAGCGCGAGCTCTGCCTCCGCTTCCTGCTGCCGCTCCCGCCCGTCGTCGCGTTCTACGTCCTCGCGCGGAAGTGGCGCGAGAGCCAGGGCTCGGAGAAGCCCGTCGTCAACCTTGTCGCCATCTTCGCGCTCGTCGTCGCGCGCTGCGTCGACTTTGCGCGGAAGCTCCACCGGAAGGCCCACCCGGACGCGATCCCCGCGGCCTTCCGGGGGCTGGACAAGGCCAAGGCGACGTGACGCGCACATGATAGTATTTTACTCAACCAAACACACATACGGAGCCCGAGGGCTCAATCGTCGAGGTCGAGCACGTCGAAGCGGCCGCTCTTGCGGCGTTCGGCGACCTCCTTGGCGATGTTGCCGCGAAGCTGCTTCCGCGGCGTGCGCGACTGCTTCTTCTTCTTCGTCTTGGACGACGACTGCGGCACGCTCTTGGCCGGGATCCAGTCGTCGTCTTCCTCGCCCGCGGGCGGCGCGGTCGCCGCGGCCGTGACGTCCTCGAACCACACGCGCGTCGCCTCGCAAAATGGGAGGACGTCCGGCAGCTGGACCGTAATGATCTGGCCGGCATCGCGCCAGTTCAAGCTCTGCAATAAATTCTCGATGCGCTTGGCCTCAGCGCAGAATCGCTCCGCGTCACCAAGTTTCACCATCTTCTCGTCGGCCTGGCCCTGACCCGCGGGCTTATGCGCGGCGAGGCGCTCGCGAGAAGCGCCGACCTCCGCAAAGGCCTTCGCTCCATCGCGGACCTTCTGTTCAAATCCAATAAAATCGAGCCCGGTCGTCCTGTGCTCGATGCTCTTAAAGTGGACGGCCGCGTCGTCAGCGTTTTCGAAGGAAACCCCACACATGCGGCATTCGAGGCAGCCAAAGCGAAAGCGGCCGCCCTCCTTGACGCTCGCCGCCAATTTTCCCCAGTGCGCTTGAACCAAAGCAATTTCCTGGGCGACGCGCTCCTCCCAGGACGCCGCGTCGGAACGCCGCTTTGCGGCGTTCGCCGCGAGACGTCGCTGGACCAGCCATCTCCGACACTGCGTTTCGAGGGCAACGGCGGCGCGCGCTTCCTCGGCATATAAGCTGTCGTCGTTGGGATCGTCCGCGAAGGCCTCATCGTCATCGTCGAACGCCTCTCCGAGATCCTGCTCCGCGGAGCGAATCACCTCCTGCGAGGTTACGATCTTCGGCACGGCAAACCCAGCAGCACTGAACGCAGCGAGTTCGCCGCTCGGCAGGAGCTGGACCACGGCGGCTGCATCGCCGCCTTGAAGCAGTCTGACGATTTCTCGCGGCGATGACGGCAGCGGTCGATTGAAGATTCCGTGCGAGAGATCATTCGCCATGCTGAGAGCGATGCCCGCGACGTCGCCGCCCCATGTTACAACTTGGTGAAGCACGTCGCAGTTCGCCGCGACGACTAGCAGAGCATTCACCAAAAAGACGCGTTCCAAGGGCGGCCTGTTTGGATCCGCAACCCACCGCACATACGTGAGTGATGCGCTGAGCTGCCGCAGGAGCTTGATGACCATCGTAGACTCGGGCTTCGCCTTGGCGGCCTTTTGGAGCTGCGTGAGAGCCCAGAGCGGCTCGGCTACCAATGGATATCGCAAGTAGGCATCGACGAAGCTCAAAGGAAGCGCGACCTTTGGCTTATTAGCAAAGCTAAAAAAACTTGAAGTTTGGCCAGTTGAGAGGATCGAGAGTGTGACCGTAATTTGCCAGCCGAGGACCCAGGCGAACGCAGGCGTAGAGGCCGGCATCGATGTGTCTCGCGCGTTCTTGAGGAACAGGTTCAAGCGGTACGCGACGGACGCAAAGCGCTTGACGACGACCTCGCGTTCAACGGGCGCGTGAAGGTCACGCAGCGCGCGGCCGAGCGGCTCGGCGATGTGACCAAAATCTCCACTGGGGAATCGATACAAGGTCGGAGGATGCGGCTCGCCGTCCTGGGGCACATTGCCGTCCTGGGGCTCACAATTCCGCACGTGCTGGTCGAGGGCGCGGCGAAACTCGCGATAGGCAGTCGACGGTCCGTCAAACTTGTTGTCGCGGCCGCGGCGTCGGCCAGATTGCAGCAAAAGGATCTCAAAATACGCGACGTAGTCGTCGAGGCTCAGCGGCTCCCCGGTCACCACGCGCACGCGGCAGTTCTCAAGGGCCGGCTCGAGAGCGCGCTGAAAATAGAATTTCGCCTTTTCTCTGAGAGCACGCCGCGCGGCGGCGACAAGGGCAGCGAATTGCACAGTTGGAAGCTTCGTGTTCGCGCCAAGGCATAGCCGTGACCGCGCCCACTCAGCCGCATTCGAAGCGACGCTCGCGGCTTTTCTCGCGACCTCGACGACGCGGTAGCGCTCGTCGGTCGAGAGATACGCGCTGCACTCGTCGACCACGAGACGGGCGTCGACGACGGCCGAGGCGAGCTCGTAGCTTTCCATGATCGCAACGACGGGCGTCGACGCGTCGATTCGGATGTCGATCGCGGCGCTCGCGAGCAGCGTCGCGATGGACGCGATGTCTTTCGCGCATCGGCAAACGACGGCGCCGCGGGGCGCGCGCCGGCGCGCGGCATTCGTCGGCGACGCCGTCGACGAGAGGCCCAGGACGAGGCGGCTGGCGCGGCTCTCGCCAGCTCGCTCGAAGGCGTGCTCGACGACGTCGCCGGCCCCGGCGGGCAGGGAAAAGCCGAATACGGCGAGCTCCGAGGCGCCGACGTGGAGGACACCGCCCCGATCTCGCTTCGGCGTGGAGCTTATGGCCCGGAGGAGGTCCGCGACCGACAGGCCGTGGTCGCCGCAGGAGCGGTAGACGAGTAGCCCGCACAGGAGGCGGAGAAGGGCCGCGGCGGGCCGCGGCGACCGGCGGTACGCGACCGACGCGGCGGCGACGAGTCTCTCATCCCCGCGCAGGCGGCCCCAGAGCAGCTTCGCGTCGCCGAGCAGGCTCCGGTCGCCCAAGGCCTCCGCGCGGGCCACGACGCGTTCGAGCGTGGCGTCCAGCTTCGCGATCTCTGGGGACGGCGCGGGGCCCCAGGCATCCCAGAGCACGCTCTCCGCGTGGCGGCACTCCATCTCGAGGACCGTCGATTCGTCGGCGTCGGCCGCGGCGAGCGCGTCGGCCGCGCGACCGTAGTTTCCGCGCCCGGCGAAGATGTCCGCCGCACGAGCGAAGTCGCCCGCCGCGGCGAGCTCGCCGTAGAGCTCGTCGTCAAAGCCCGGCTGGCTCTCGAGGAAGCGGAGGCGGTCCGCGGCCGGAAGCCGCGCGAGGACCGCGGCGCAGCCCCCCCTGTCGCCGCGCCGCGCGCACTGGCGGGCCGCGAGGTGCACGAGCTCCTGGAGCTCCGCGCGCGCGGCCGCGCCGGCATCGGTGGCCCCGGCCCGCTCGCGCACGCCGACGGCGCCGAGGTAGTCGCCGGCGCGGCGGTAGAGCCGGACCGCGGCCGCGGCGTCGCCCGCGCGCTCGAGGCACCGCGCCGCCGCCGAGTCGTCGCGCGCGCGCTTGAAGGATTTCGCCGCGAGGCGGAACGAGTCCGCGGCGCCGCGGGAGTCCGCGTCGCCCGCGGCGCCGAGGCCCTCGAAGACGGCGGCCGCCTCGCGGTAGTGGCGGGCCCCGTGGAGCGCGAGCGCGGCCCGGGCGTAGCGGCGCACGCCGAGGCACTCGCGCGCGGCGGCGTCGAAGGCGCGGCGCGCGTCGGCGCGCGCCGCGCCCGCGGCCGGGCGGCGCTTGCCGTCGGCGGCGTTCGCGCGCGCGGCGTCCTCCTTCTCGAGCGCCGCGAAGAAGCTCGCGTCCGCGTGCGCCGTCGCGGCGCCGGCCGCGTCGCCGCCGAGCTCGAGGGACTGCGCGGCGACGGCGAGGAGGCCGCGCTTCGTCGCGAGGTCGTCCTCGATCTCGTCGGCCTTCCGCAGGAAGTCGCGGCCCCGCGCGCGCCACTCGGCGGGCGTCGTCGCCTTGGCGAAGAGGCCCGCGTCGCCCGCGTCCTGGCTGACGTCGCCGACGGCGGCGACGAGGTCGAGGCTCCGGAAGAGGTGGAACATGGACTCGCGGCGGGCCTCGTCCGCGTCGAAGATCCACACGTTGACGCGCGACCGCGTGATGGCCGTGTAGAGGCTCTTGAGCTCGGACTCGAGGATCTTGTGCGCGTCGACGTCGAACTCGAGGTCGCGGCGGCCGGCCATGGCCTCGTAGGAGACGGCCGCGGCGCCCGCGCCCCCGCCCGCGCCCGGCGCGACGGCGTCGCGCGCGTACGCGTTGACGACGCGCCACTCCTTCTCCGCGGCGCTGTCCTTGAAGAAGTTATAGAGCAGCACGTCGTCGAACTCTAAACCCTTGGCCTCCGTGACCGTGAGGACGAGCGCGAGCTTGAGCTCGGGCGGCAGCGTGCGCCGCGCGTCCTCGTCGCGGACGAGGACGACCTGGTGCGCGCCGAACTCGATGGCCGCCGTGGAGCGGATGTTGCCGAGGAGGAGGAGCAGGAGCGACTCCGTGTCCGTCGTCTCGAGGAGCACGGGCCGCGGGCCGTCGAGGACGCCCGCGTCCGGCGGCAGGCGGTCGATCGTGTTCGGGAAGAGCGCGTAGACGACGTCGACGACGGCCGCGGCGAGGCGCAGGCAGCCCTGGTGCGAGCGGTAGTTGTTCAGCAGCTTCCGCGGCGCGGGCGGCGCCGCGTGGCCGAGCGTCGCCCAGATCGTCCGCAGGTCCGCGAAGCGGAAGCCGACGCCGCGCGCGATCGTCTGCGCCGAGTCGCCCGCGAGGAAGAGCGCGTCGGGCGACGCGCAGAGCCGGACGAGGAGCGCGATCTCGGCCTGGGTGAAGTCCTGGATCTCGTCGCCGTAGAGCCGGTCGACGGCGACGCCGCCGCGGCCGTGCGCGTCCAGCCGCGCCCAGAGGTGGAAGACGAAGTCGCCCGCGTCCCAGAGCCCCCGCTCCCGCGCGAGCCGCGCGTAGCGCTCGAAGAGGCCGTAGACCTCGCGGCGCTGCGGCTCCGACATGGACGACCGCTTCCGGCCAAAGTCGAGGTACGCGGCCAAATCGAGCGCGCCGCCGGCGAGGCAGGCCTCGAGCGAGCCCTTGATGAAGGACTTGATCTCCGTCCACACCAGCGACGCGTGGAGCGCCGACCGGCCGCCGACGTTCATCTTCGGCCACAGGACCCTCGCGTACTCGCCGTAGGTGACCTCGCGGCCGCGGGGCCGCGCGTCGCCGCCGGCCGCCGCCGCGCCGGCCGCCGCCGCGAGCGGCGACGGCCGCGCGGCCGCGGCGGCGCCGTCGTTGTCGTCGTCGTCCGACAGGTCGAAGTAGGCCGTCAGCGACCGCAGCGAGCCGCTCTCGGCCTCGCGGGCCGACGCGCGGCGGTCGAGGAACTTGTCGCCGGGCAGCGCCTCGTCGAGGAGCCGGAGGAGCTCGAGGTCCGTGAGGAAGAGCGGGTGCCGCGCGTCGGGGACGGCGTCGAGGCGCGCGAGGCCCGCCGCGCCGGACTCGCCCCCCGGCGGCGCCGTGCCGAGCGCCTCGGCCTTGTGCGCGGCGATCGTCGAGAAGACGCGCTCGACCTCGGACCGGAGCACGCTCGACTTGGTCACGAAGACCTGGCGCAGGTGGCGGTAGCCCCCCGCCGCCGCCGGCAGCCACGCGCCGCCGGACGCGGCGCGGGCCCAGTAGTCGGAGAAATCCTGGAACATCTTGAAGACGCAGCACGTCGTCTTGCCCGTGCCCGAGCGGCCGATGAGCAGCGTGCTCCGGCGCGCGTCGCCGTTGACGATGATCTCGTGCTCCTGGTCCGTGACCTTGAACGGCACGTCGACCGCGCCGCCCGCCGCGAGCGCGCGCGCCATCGTGCCCGTGACGTTGTAGAACTTGAGCAGCGTGTACTGCGTCGCGACGGGGCTCGCCGGCGGGTAGTGGCTCGCGCTCGGCGCGTCGTCGCGCGCGGCGGAGACCTCGACGTCCGCGGGCTGGAAGGTGCGCGGCGCGCGGATGCCCGCGGCCTCGGCCGCCGGGCCCGCGTCCGCGGCGAGGCCGCGGAGGCCCCGCTTCAGGCGGCAGGTGCGGCCGCGCCGGTGCGCCTCGCAGACGCGGAGCATCTCGCGCGAGATGTGGTCGTGCTCCGGCACGATGGCCCAGACGCGGATCGTCTGCGCGTAGATGGCGCCCGCCGTCGACCGCCGCTCCGAGAAGGCGATCGCGAGCTCCCAGAGGAGCCGCGCGCCCTTGGTCAGCTTGGCCTCGTAGAGGAGCACGCCGCCCTCGACGCCCTGGAGCTGCTTCCGGTTGCGGTCGTTCCACTCGCCGTCCGCGAGCTGCTTCAGGCGGCGGACGACGGCCGCGACGAGGCCGCGGCGCCGGGCCCGGTGCTTCTTGAGCCACTTCATGGCCGACTCGGTGATCTCGACGTCCCAGAGCGACGCCTCGAAGTCGAAGGCCGCGGCCGCGTCGTCCTCGCCGCCGTCGTCGGCGGCGTCGTCGGCGCGCGGCTCGGCGCCGTCCGAGTCCGACGCGGCCGCGGCCTCCTCGGCCTCGACCTCCGGCGCGCCGCCGTCGTCGTCGCCGTCGTCGTCGTCCGCCGGGCCCTCGTCGCCGGCGGCGGCGGCGCGCGCCGCGTCGTCCGGGGGCGCGCCGTTCTCCTCGAGGTCGCGCACGGCGCCGGCGACGAGGCTCAGGAGCACGTCGCGCGGCGACGGCGCCGCGGCCGCCGGCGCCGCCGGCGCCGCGGGGGCGGAGGGCGCCGCCGCGGCCTCGGCGGGCGCGTCGTCGGCGGGCGCGTCCGGGCCCTCCGCGGCCGCGGCCGCGAGCTTCTGCTTCTTGCGCTCCTTCTCGCGGCGCCGCTTCTCGCTCTTGTCCTTGGCCTTGTAGGCCTCGTGCGACGCCGCGAGGCGCGGCCGGAGCTTCGGCGGGCAGAGGTCGAGCGCGGACCGGCCGCCGCCGCCCTGGCGGCCGCAGTTCAGCGGGACGCCCGCGCCGAGGAGCACGTCGCAGGCGTCGGCCTGCTGCTGCGGGGACCGCTTCGCCGCAAGCGCGGCGTGGAGCGGACCGTCGCCGTCGTCGCCGTGCGCGTTCACGTCGACGGCGGCCGCGGCGACGAGCGCCGCGAGGACGCGGAGCTTGTCGAGGCGGACGGCCGCCGTCGCGGGCGCCGTCGGGCTCGCGGAGACGGCGCAGCCGTCGTCGTCGAGCGCGAAGGCCGCCGCCGCGTCGCCGCCCGCGAGGCCCCGGAGCGCGGCCGCGAGCTCCGGCGACGCGTAGCGCGCGTCGTCGCCGCGCGCGGCCGCGAACGCGACGGCGACCTCGGGGCCGGGCGCCGCGTCGGGGACCGCCGCCACGATGGCGGCGAGCGGCGCCGCCGGCAGGCCCGCGGCCGCGAACTCGGCGACGAGGTCCCAGTAGCCGCGCGCGACGAGCTCGACGACGACCGCGGCGTCGACGGCGCGGCCGTCGCGCGAGTAGGCCGCGAGCGCCCGCTCGGCGACGGCCGCGCCGGCGCTCAGGAACGGCGCGATCGGCCCGGCCGTCGCGGCCGGCCCGCGCTCCAGGAGCGCGAGGAGGCCGTCCGCGAAGCCGGCGAGGCCGGCGCGGTCGACGGCGAGGCCGACGCCCGCACCCAAGAAGCGCTCGCGCGACGCCGCGTCGAGGTGCGCGGCGCCCGCGCCGAAGAGCCAGGCGAGGTACGCCGCGTCCCTCCGGACGACGGCCAGCTCCGCCTCTCGGTCGGGGTCGACGGGGGTCCCGAAGTCTCCGCGGCGGAAGACCGCGTCCGCCGCGGACGCGTAGCCGTGCGTGAAGAGGGCGTGGAGGAGCGACTTTCCGGATCGATTGGGCTTGGGAGGCCCGTGACCGTAGTCCCTCGCGGTCGCGGTCGCGATCAGCCACGAGACGGTCTTCGCCGCGCCGCGGTAGCCCGCCTCGGCCGCGATGTAGTTGTGGACGACCGCCTTGAACTGCTCCGTTTCGATGGAGAGCAACGCGCCTTGGCGCTTGTGCTTGCACAGCGCGTTGACGAGGAAGACCATCCGAGAGACGTTCGCGGAGTCGAGTAGTCGAAACACGCACGCGCCAAGAAAGACGTCGCCGGAGCAGGACTCGTCGGCCAGGAACCGGTTGCGCACCTCCGCTGTCATGTCCTCGAAGGATGGGACTGGCTCATCGAAGTCGCTCCCAAGACCGTAGACCCGCTCCGCGAGCCTCATTAGGTCGTTCGCGTTCGCTACGTCGCTCGCGCTCGCCGACGCCCACGCCTCTACCGACCGCTCCGTCTTGCCCGCAGGTACCAGAGCCTCCAGTCGCTTCTTGTCGTCCATGGAGATGCCCTGGAGCGTCCGGAGCCGCGACATTCCCACTTTAACGAAGATATAGTTGGTTCCGGCGTGGTCACCGCAATCGATTTGGTCGCCGTCTTCCATGTCGATGTCCTGCGGCGTCTGGTCGTTGCGGACGCGCATACCATCGAAGAAAAAATGTAAACTCGTCACGTTGATGCCCTTGCGCTGGGCGTAAGCATTGAAGACCTTGACGAGCTGCGTCGTCGGCTTGATTTTGAAGTAGACCTCCTCGCCGGTCTGGTCGCGGACTCGAATGTTCAACGAGCTATCTGGGCTTGGCTTCATCTTGGCGCGCTTGGGCGCGGAAGGATTTTTTGGTTTGATGATGTGCATTTCCACCGTCAAAGCGACTTCGGCGCCGCGGTTCGTTGGCGCTTTCGCTGGTGGCTGCACGGCGTAAATTCGACCATAATAAACTGTGCCGAGCAACGTGCAGCCTTGCGCCTGGCCGTGAGAGAACTCGCCGCCCGCCATTTCCACGCCGACGAGGCAGCCCGGGCCGCACACGAACGTCGTGTGGACCAAGGGGCGGATCAAGAGCTCCAGCCAGCCCTCCAACATCAAAAGCCTCTGCCCAGCGGGTCCGTAGTACCCCGGCCAGGATTCGCTGTCGGAGACGCGGCGCAGCTCGCAATTCTTGGCGTTCGCCTCGAGCAGATGCGCCGGGGGAAGGGCATCAAGGACGCGCCATCCCCATCCCGGGCCGGAGGTCGCACAGACGCGCGAGAGCCGAAAGGGGCCCGCGTCGCGCTTTAGATGGCGATTCCCCATCATCTCTCCCACGTCGAGCCACGCGGCGAGCGACACTCCGTCGTCGCCCTCGAAGCGGAACGCGCCGATCTCCGCGATCCGACCACGGACGAGCTCAAAACCGGCCTTGCCGGCCATGGGCGCAACGACCTGCATCCCAGCGCCGAAGGGCTGCGTGACAAATTCCACGGCGCCGTCGATCGCGAGCATCTTGTAGGCCAGGGCCGCGTCCGCCTTGGCCTTGGCGTCCAGGGCCCGGGCCTTGGCAGCCGCCTTGGACTCGGCCTCGGCCTTGACGCGCTGCGCCTCCGCCTTGGCCCGCGACTCGAGGGCGCCGCGACTCGAGGGCGCGGGCGCGGGCGGCGGCTTCGAGGCGGCGCGCCCCCCCGCGACGGACTTGCCGCCCTTGCCGCCGCGGCTGCGGCCGCCGGATGCGCCGCCGCGGCCGCCGGATCCGCCGCCGCGCCCGCCCTTGCCGCCCGCGCCGCGCCCGCCCTTGCCGCCCGCACCTCGCCCGCCCTTGCCGCCTTTTTCGCCCTTGGCGCCCTTGCCGCGGGGTGGACAGCGTTTCTCCTCAGCTTTCTTCCCGCCATCTCGGCGCGCCCCGTCCAACATCTTGGCGCCTGGAGCGCGTTTCTCCTCAGCTTTCTTCCCGCCATGGCGGCGCGCCCCGTCCACCATCTTGGCGCGCTCGGCCCGCCGGCGCCGCGTGCGCGACGCAGCAAGGGGGCCTTGGCGCACGACGCAGCGTGCGGAGCGAGACGATTCTGGGCTGATCGATGCGGCTCCTTCGCCCCTCTGGGCTGTGGCAAATGCGGGTGGAGCCACCGGTGCCCGACGCGAGCCTTGCGTACCTCGAGTGCGTAACGCCCTACGTGACTATCTACCCGTCGCACACCGCCATGCTGAATGCGATAATTGTAAGTGCGGGTTACCCGTTTCGCGCTGGGAGGAGGGCTTGCAGGAGTGAGCCCCCCGTGACGGCGGCCGCTATCGTTGGATACAGCGGTCAATCTTGAATGGCGAGTCGCGCAAAACTGAGTCTCGGCCGGCCGCCGCCCGCTGCGCCTTTCGACGCGTGCCTTCGCACCAGCCGCGCGACTTCGCGCCTTCGCACCCGGCGCCTTCGCACGCGCCCCGCACGCCGCGATGGCCTCTGACGACGCCAAGGAAAAGATGCGCCTGCAGCTGTCTTTACGCGAAATTTACGCCAAGTCCACCCTTTACTACTACGGCACCAACCATTCACCAGCGACGCCACAACAACAACGACCAACACCGACAACGCCGTCGACGGCGCCCGCCGCCGCGCCGACGCGGCGCTGGGAGCTCGCGGAGCTCGAGCCCGCGTCGCCGCCGCCGGCGAAGCGCGCTAGGCCGGAACCGGCGCCGGCGCCGGCGCCGGCGGCCGACGAGCCGGAGCTGCTCTTCTCGCCGCCCTTCAAGTTCGCGACGACCGCCGGCAGCTACGACCCCTACGGCACGACCTACGACCAGCGCGGCTACTACCGGCAGGATTCGTGGGAGGCCGCGTCGTGGTGGGACGACGGCTGGGAGGCCTGGGACCAGGGCGCGGGCGACGCCGCGGCGATGCCGACGGCGGCCCCCGCGTCGGACGCGTCCCAGTCCGAGGCGTCGTCGTCGGCGTCGTCGAACGCCGCCGCGGACCCGCGCCCGCGGCCGCTCGCGGCGCCGCGCGTCTCCCGGTCCGAGGCGCCGTCGAGCGTCGACGCGGACGCGCTCTCGAAGTCGCTCTCGCGGCCGCTCGCGGCGCCGCGGCGCCGACCGAGCGTCGTCGACCCGATCTAACTCTTGACTACCTTTTCGACGCCGCGTCCGAAGGCCGCCCGCCACGCCAAAGATACCGCGGTGGAGACGGCGACGAGGAGCATGCAGACCCACTTGGCTTGAAAAGCACGGGGCGCCAGCGCGCCGAGCGGCGGGAGGTCGTAGGCCACGCCGACGGCGCCCTCCGTGAGCGACGAGCCAGAGTGGACGCCCGGCGCCGCCGGCGCGGGGAACGCGTCCAGGGCCGCGCGCGCGCAGAGGCCCGCGCCGACGTCGACGAGCCCGCACAGCACGATGACCGCCGCGGCCGGCTCGACGCGGCGCCGGTTCCCGGGGACGAGGCGCGCGCGGACCGCGAGCGCCGCGGCCGTCGCGGCGAACGCGAGGACGAACGCCGCCGGGTAGAGCGCCGCGTACGCCGCGCGGCCGTCCTCGTCGAGCGCGCGCAGCAGGCGCACGACGTAGTCGCCGTCGAAGTCGCCGAGCCAGACCGCGTCGAGCGGCGCCGTCAGCGCGCTCACGCGGCCGCGCGCGTCGACGTTGCGCACGCCGGCGACGTGCGCCGCGACGCGGCGGTAGCGCGCCGCGACGTCGACCGCGGACGCGGCGGCGACGCCCGTGAAGAGGACCGCCAGCCACGGCGGCGACGCGGTCGCGCGCGTTCGAGCGTCGCTCTCCTCTCGGCGCGCGCCGCCGGCGTCGCGGCGCGGCGCGCGCGTCGGCGACCCGCTGGCGTCGCGCTTCGCGCGGCGGCGCTTGGGGCTCGCCGCGCGGTAGTGCAAGTCCTCGGGCGAGATCTTGCGCGACTCGCAGAGCTCGTAGAGGGCCCGCAGGCACTCGGCGCCCTTTTCCAGCGTGTCCTCGCGCGTCGTGGCGAAGGCCGCCGCCGAGGAGGCGGCGACGAGCTGCTCGCCCATGGGTTAAGTTGCAATGGGCTGCAGAGCCGGGCGCGTCGCGGACTGCGAGCACATCGGGCCGAAAAAAGGCACCGCGCGTAACTTGCCGTAGTGGTTGAACTGATTGAATTGTCCGAGATCGCTGCCATCCTCTGAGAGGCTGCCCGCACTGCGAGTTGCAAGCATGCGCGCGCCCACCGTCGTCGTCGCCATTGCCCTGGGTGTGCACGCCGAGCCCAAGATGTGCCCGTCGCCCAGCGGCTTCCACCCGTGCGACTGCATCCGCGAGGTCGAGTCGGGCACGCGCGCCGAGGAGCGGTCCGACGGAAACGGACTTCGGAGCTTACGATTGACGCACCCGAACGGCACGGTCGAGGACGTCGCCGAGTGCCCCTACGCGCCGCCGCCGCGCGGCGGCGGCTCGGCCGCGGCGCCGCGGGACCCGTGCGCGCTGGACTGGCCGCACGCGGCGCCCATGGAGGTCTTCAGCCGCCACAACGAGTCCATCGTGCGCTTCACGGCGTCCTACGTCGTCCCCGAGCCGCCGAGCGTGACCAAGGCCAACATCCTCTATTATTGGATCGGCCTGCAGGACACGGACTCGGCCGCGAATCCCGTGATCCAGCCCGTGCTATCCTACTACCCGGGTAGTAGTTTCCCGAACAACTGGTACTTCGAGAGCTGGAACTGCTGCCCCGCGGGCCACAAGATCAAGTCCGCGAGCGTGCCCGTGCGCGGGCCCGGCGCGCGGCTCCACGGCGCGATGGCCCGCGCGGGCGGCGAGTCCGTCGTCAACTCGACGAACGAGGCGGGCGCGACGAGCTCCCTCCGCGTCGCCGACGGCAACATCGTCGGCGCGTGGAACTGGGTCGACATCACGCTCGAGACCTACGACGTCGAGGCCTGCGACGAGTACTCCGAGGGCGGCGCCATGGTCTTCGACGACATGGCCCTCACGAACGCGCGCGGCGACGCGGTCACGCCCGTCTTCGTGTCCAAGCCCTACATCGACGGCGCCTACCTCACGCCGAAGGAGAGCGCGGCGTTCACCGCGTGCTGCACCGGCAAATTCGAGACGGCCTGGCCCCGCGCGACGATGACCCAGAACTAAGGAACAGTGACGCACGATACCATACCGAAACAGTTACCGAACGGGGCGCTATACTGAGCTGGACGGGCGCGGGCCCGTCATATTTCGTTGGCGACGCGGAGCTTCTTGCCCCCGGCGAGGGACGAGTCGACCTCCTTTTTGCTGAGGACGCTGGAGTGCCTGCGGGGCGTCGGCGCGCGGCCCGACGCCGCGAGGAGGTCCGGTGCGCCGCCGTTGGCCGCCACCGCGGGCGCGGCGGCGCCGTTGGCCGCGATGTGGGGCCGGAGGATCGCCGCGGACGCGCGCCGCGTCCGCTTCGCGGACTTCTTGCCCGGCGCGGCCGTCGGGAGCGCCTCGCCCTTGTAGAGGAGGAACCACTGCCAGAGGTTCGACTCGAGGTTGTCGAAGGGCCCGAGCTTGGCGTCGACGAGCTCCGCGACGGCCTTGTAGAACGGGTTGCAGACGAACTTGAAGTAGCCGATCTGCGACTTGGCCATGTTCGTGTCCTTGTCCCGGTCGCACAGGAAGCTCACGGGCACGCCCAGGGCCTTCTCGCGGTCGCCGATCTTGTAGAACTCCTCCGTCACCAGCATGCTCCACTTCTCGTGCTGGTCGAAGGGCTTGAGCGCGTGGCCGATGTCTGCGAACTTCACCGCGACGGTGAGCGCGAGCTTCGGGTCGTCCTTGGCGTCGCGGGGCAAGGGCCAGGGCGCGTCGGGCTCGGGCCCCTTGCGCGGGATCTTCTCGAGCTTCTTGATGAAGTCGAAGTTGCCCCTTAAATCCGTCGCCAGAACGACGTCGATCATCGCGCCGCGGAGCTGCTTCCGCTCGTCGCCGTCGAGCGCCTCGAGCACGTCGTACTCCTTCCGGTACAGGATCTCAAAGGCCGCCGCCAGGTGGTGGCGCTCGAGCACGGAGTCGTCGCTGTGGCGCACCGCGAGCGGCGACGCGACCTTCACCTCGAACGCGTTGTTCGTGCCCGGGTGGTTGAAGTCGTGGACGATGGCCGCGAGGAACCCGGCGAGGAGCATGATGGGCGCGAGGTGCGGCAGCACGTCGAACTTGGCCAGGAAGAGGTGCGTCGCGACGAGCACGTCCGCGCCGTGGACGCTGTTGTGGTACGGGTTGTCGTTGCCGTAGTCGCCCTCGACGCGCGCGAGGAACCGGCCCATCTTCGCCGCGTCGAGGCCGAAGGTCGTCCGCAGGCCGTGGGCCTCGATGAGGTCCGCGCCGACCATGGCCAGCGCGTGGCCGTCGCACGCGCGCTGCAGGTCGAGGACGCAGCGGCCCCAGTCGCCGTAGACCTCGGCGCAGGCCTTCCGCTGGTGGTCGCTGGGCTGGACGCCCAAGGCCCGCCCGTAGAGCATGCGCGTCGGGCTCGCGGGCCCCTCCAATTCGAAGCTCGACGTCGGCAGCGTCGTCGACTCCAGGATGCCCAGCGCCGCGGCCGTCGAGCTCGACGGCCGCCGCGTCTCGCCCTGCGACGTCTCCAGCGCCGTGGGCTCGTCGTCGTCGCCCTCCTCCTCGTCGCCCTCGGGCCCGGCGGCCGCCATCATGTCCTGCAGCTCCGCGTCCGTGTCCATCGTCGACGCGACGTCCATCCAGTCGCGCTGCCGCTCCGCGGGCGAGTCCGCCGCCGCGTCCGCCTCCGCCGCCGCGGACCGCAGCGCGACCTCCTCGAGCGCCTCGAGCAGCGCGCGCACCTCGGCGTCGCCGCCGCGCGCGCCCGCCGACAGGGCGAGGCCGAGCTCGAGGGCGCGCTTCGCGCTCTCCCGCGCGCCCGCGGCGTTCGACGGCGGGTCGGCGCCCTGGGCCGCCGCGGCCCCGTTGAGCGACCGCCGCGGCGCGGCGAAGCCGCCCCAGGCCGACGCCTCGGCGTCGGAGACGAGCTCCAACTCGACGTAGTCCATTCACGCAGGCCTAAACATACTCGACCCTGCCCACCATGCCGAGGGCAGCCCCTCCACTCGCTTGGGAATTCACAAACTTTCAGATCTTCACGCACGGCTCCTTTTACGCGCGGCCGCCGCGCGGCCGCCGCGGCCCGCCCGGGGGCAGGCTCGCGGGCGGGGCCGGCGTCGGCGGGTCGTCCTTCTCCTCCTCGACGCCCCCCTCCTCGAGCGCGTCGGCGCGCCGCTCGAGCCGCGCGGCCTCCGCCACATCCTTGTCGACGCCCTGGCCCTCCTCGTAGAGCACGGCCAGGTTCCGCAGCGCCGTCACGTGGCCCGCGTCCGCGGCCTGCCGGAAGAGGTCCGCGGCCTCGGCCACATCGGTGGGCTTGAAGGCCGTGCGGAGCTTGAAGCAGCCGAGGTTGAACCGCGCGGCCGCGGACCCCAGCCTCGCGCCGGCCTCGTACCACGCCGCGGCCGCGGCCGCGTCGGGCTCGACGCCGTCGCCCGTCTCGTAGCAGACGCCCAGGTCGCTCGCCGCCTCGCCGTGGCCGAGGCGCGCCGCGTCCTCGTAGAGCGCGGCCGCGCGCCGCGCGTCGCGGTCGCAGCCGAGGCCGAACGCCTCGTGGCGCGCGAGCTCGAAGAGCGCCGCGGCGTCGCCGCTCTCCGCGGCCTCGAGGGCCGCGCGGTACTGCTCGGCCTCGGCGCCGTCGCGCTGGCCCTCGACGTGCGCCGCCGCGAGGAGGTTCAGCGCGTTCGTCTGGCCGCGCGAGTCGAGCCCGGGCCCCGCGGCGTCGAGCCGCCCCCGCAGCGCGTCCAGGTACGCCTCCTGCGTCGTCGCGCCGCCGAAGAGCGGCTCGCCGCAGGCGGGGCAGGCGCCGTCGAGGGCGAAGTCGTCGCCGCAGGGGGAGCACAGCGCCGCGCCGCACGCCACGCAGACGCAGCCGCTCTCGTGGGTGCCCGGCCGCGCGGCGCAGGCCGGGCAGAAGGCGTCCGCCGCGCCCTTGGCGCCCGTGCGGCGCACGCGGCTGATGACGTCCTCGGCGCGGCCGAGGTCCGCCTTGTCGCGCGCGGCGACGGCCGCGGCGAGCGCGCGCTTCACGTCGTCGTCGCCGCGGCAGTCGACGCTCTCGTCGAGGTCGAACCTGGCGACGCAGGCGAACTCGAAGACGGCGGCCTCGGCCATGCCGTCCTTGGACCCCGCCTCCTCGTGGATCGCCCCCAGGAGCGAGTACGCGCGCGCGAGCTCGCGCGGGAGCGAGCCCAGCGCGTCGAACGCGGCCGCGGAGTCGCGCGCGGCGCGCTCCGCCGTCTCGAAGTCGCGGCAGCCGAGGCAGGCGACGGCGACCTCCCGCAGCCGCGCCGCGCGCCGCGCCGTCGGCGCCGCGTCGCGCGTCTCGACGCGCGCCGCGCGTTTGAGTAGCGGCGCGCCGTCCGCGAAGCGCCCGGCGGCGACGAGCGCCGCGCCGCGCGCCCGGAGCGCGTCGCCGAGGGCGCCGTCCCAGTTGCGGCCCGATTTGGCGGCGGCCTCGAGGGCGACGACGCGCCGCGCGCGCGCGGCGTCGAGCTGCGCGAACGGCGCGTCCGTCTTCGCGAGCGTCCGCTCCTCGACGCCGCGGGCCTCGGCGACGTCGGCGAGGCGGTCCTCGGCGAGCTCGAAGACCCGCGCGGCCGACGCCGCGTGCGCCGACGCCTCGCGCCAGCGGCCCGCCTCCTCGAGGACCGCCGCCGCCTCGAGCCGCGCCTCCGCCAACGCCCCGCGGTCCGCGGCGCGGCCGTCGAGCGCCTCGGCGCGGCCCACGGCGAGCGCGCAGCGCGTCGCGAGGGCCGAGGCTTTGAAGGTCGCCTTGCAGGTGCCGCAGCGCGTCCAGAGGCCCGACTTTTGGGCCCGGGCGAGGACGCAGCCCACGCGCGCCTGGCCCTCGCAGTCGCAGGCCGACTCGAGCACGGCCATGGGATCCTCCGTGTCGTCGTCGTCGCCGAAGCGCCGGCAGATCCGGCAGAAGTTGCCCAGGCCCCGGAGCTCCGCCTCCTGAAACGACGCCATCCTGCCCTGTCCTCGCGGTTTTTTATTTTGTTGGGACAACTGCCCGGGCGATGTTTACTCTCGCTTGCAGTCTCCTTGCACTCTCGAAACTGAGCTGGCTGGCACAGCGTCGTCGTCCGCCGGTCCGCCGCTGCTGCGACCACCGCTGCCGCATTTGCACGATGCGCGCCGCCATCCTCGCCGCATGCTGCGCGACGGCCCACGCCCTGTCGGCGACGCAGCAGAAGACGATCCAGCGGCGCCAGCTCGGGTCCAGCGACCTCGTCGTCAGCGACGTGTGCCTGGGCACGATGACCTGGGGCAAGCAGAACACGCTCGAGGAGGGCGTGTCCCAGCTGAACATGGCCTTCGACGACTACGGCATCAACTTCCTGGACACGGCGGAGATGTACCCCGTGCCGACGGAGGCCGAGACGCAGGGCGCGACCGACAAGACCATCGGCGAGTGGCTGCGGCGCCGCGGCAAGCGCGACGACGTCGTCCTCGCGTCCAAGATCTGCGGCGCGTCGGAGCGCATCACGTGGGTCCGCGACGACGGCCGCGGCACGCGCGTGACGAAGCGGGACATGGAGGAGGGCGTCGACGCGTCGCTCAAGCGGCTCGGCACGGACTACGTGGACCTGCTCCAGATCCACTGGCCGGACCGCTACGTGCCCATCTTCGGCGCCGACGCCTACGACGCGTCGAACGAGCGCGAGTACGTGAGCTTCCTCGAGCAGCTGGAGGCGATGAAGGACCTGCGCGACGCGGGCAAGGTCCGCCACTTCGGCGTGAGCAACGAGACGCCCTACGGCGTGTGCCAGTTCGCCGCGGAGGCGGCGAAGGACGGCGACCTCCCCGAGATCTGCTCCATCCAGAACAGCTACTCGCTGCTCGTGCGCTCCGACTTCGAGAACGGCCTCACGGAGGCGTGCTCCATGACGGACGTCGGCCTCCTCGCGTACTCGCCCCTCGCGGGCGGCATCCTCTCGGGCAAGTACAGCGGCGACGAGCCGCCGCCGGGCGCGCGCCTCAACCTCTTCCCGGGCTTCATGCCCCGCTACAAGCAGTCGCTCGCCAAGGAGGCCGTCAACGAGTACGAAAAGGTCGCGGCCGCCTTCGGCCTCTCGCCCGCGCAGCTCGCGCTCAAGTGGTGCTACACGCGGCCCCACGTGGCGTCGACGATCATCGGCGCGACGTCCCTCGCCCAGCTCCGGGAGAACGTCGACGCCTACTTCCTCGACGCGCTCCCCGAGGACTGCGAGGCCGCCGTCGCCGACATCTACCGCCGCTACCGCGACCCGTCGAAGACGTGAGGTGTTTCGGGAGTTTAAGTCACTAGCGCCAGTCCCCGCAGTAGTCGAGGAGGTCGTAGAGGCCGCCCATGGTCTTGATCTCGGCGGGGTGGAAGCGGTCGTAGAAGCCGTGGCGATTCGGCGCCTTGTAAGACTCGAATGTCAAGTACAGGCCCTCGGCCTTGTAATCAAAGGTGAGGCCGTTCGACGTGCATGGACCGACGGTTAGCTCGGCGCCGCAGCAGAAGTGATGGTTGTACGAGGAAGGCGTGATCGTGCCCGAGCGCTCGGGATGGAGCGGGATCTGACGAAGACTTGTCGCTCCCCCCTTTTCCCAATTATCTGGCCATGTCTCGTGGCGAGCCAGTTCGATTGGTCCGTCGTAGAGCGCTAGTACCTTGCCGTCCCTTTCTCGGACGAGCGTGACCGTCGCAGTACCGCCGAGGCGCGTCCACTGGTCAATAACGTCAGACAGCTGGTGAGCTTCGTCGCTTTCATGGTCAAAGTTTGGATCATTTGCGATCGCATCGTAGTCGAGTGGAACATTCATAGCGACGACGTCGCGGTTCTTTCCGGTAAAGCAGAGCTCTGCGAACTTTTCCATCATAATCACCATGCCGCCCGCGTCCCCGTAGGCATCGCAGTCCATGGAACGACATTCCAAGCGACCGCACTCGGAGATGCGCGTACCATTTGGAAGAGTGACGTCGACGATGCACTCGAAGCCCGCGTCGTCAAGCCGTTCGCGTTTGAGGATGGGCTCGTGGCGCCGCGCGAGCTCGACGAGCTCGCGGCCCGAGGCCGCGACGCGCGCGCGCACGGCCTTGGCGCGCAGCACGGGGAAGACCGTTGCCAGCGCTGTGAGCGTCGACGGATCCTCCACAGCGGCGAGGCGGCCGCGGCTCGTCACCGCCAGCGAGCAGAAGTCCTTGAGAGTGAGAAACTCTGCGATGCACGACAAGCGCCCGCCGTCCAGCAGCGCGGCCGTCGCCTTGCCCGCCTTGTGTCGCGACGCGGATCGGGTGCTCGGCATCGTCTGATGTAGCAGCAGAAGTCCGACGACGCGCGCGACGCGCTGCGAAGGCCGAGCCAAGAGCACCCGACTCAAAACTCAGGCAACGGCATCTTTGACAAAGTTGCACCCGCCGTTTCCGGTCAGCAGGCAGCCCGATCCAGCCCGCCGAGCCAGAGCATGCCTCCGAGAACAGTGGTCGCCGCCCTCCTGTGGGCGTCGGCGCGGGCCTGGGTCGCCCCCGGGGCCCCGCGGCGTGCGGTCCCGCTCTTCAGCACGAAGCCCAAGGCGAAGAACTACTACGACTTTCGGCGCGAGAACGACGGCGAGCTCACGGCGGAGGTCGCGGAGGCCGCGTCGCCCGTCGCCGCCGACGACGACGACGACGTCGCACCGCCGCCGGGCCAGCGCCACTTCCACCGGTTGCACCAGGACGAGATCGAGGACGGCATCTTCACGCACCTGCGGGAGATGGGCCTCGGCTTGTTCGAGGACGCGCGCGCGGGCGCGGCGTCGGGCTTCGGGTCCTTCGGCGACCGCGACGGCCCCGGCGCCGTCACGGAGACGGACGAGTGGCGCAAGCTGTCGCGCCACGCGCGCAAGGTCGAGAAGACGCACCTGCGGAGGCTCCTGGAGAGCGAGCAGCGAGTCGCCGAGATGTCGCTCGACGCGGCCGACGTCGGCGTCTTCCTGGATTGGACGCGCCAGAAGGTGGACGACAAGACCATGCGGCTCCTCTTCAAGCTCGCGCGGCGCATGGACGTGCCCCGCAAGGTCGAGCAGATGCGCCGCGGCGAGCGCATCAACTCGTCGGAGCGCCGCGCCGTGCTGCACACGGCGCTCCGCGCGCCGCGCGGCGCGGCCTCCCAAACCGCGCCGGCGGACAGCGCTTTGGTGCCCGTCGACGAGGCGATCGCCGCGTCCTGCGACGTGCGGGACCGGCTCTTCGCCTTCGTCGACGACGTGCGCCGGGGCGCCGCGACGTCCGCGGCGGCCGAGCCGTTCGAGAGCGTCGTCGCCGTGGGCATCGGCGGCTCCTACCTCGGGCCCGAGTTCATCGTCCAGGCGACGGCGGGCGTGAAGGCGATGGAAAGCGACGGCCGGGACCTCGAGGTGCGCTTCGTCGCGAACGTCGACCCCGTCGCGTTTACGGCCGCGAAGAAGGGCCTGGACCCGCGGAAAACGCTCGTCATCGTCGTCTCCAAGAGCTGGTCCACGGCGGAGACGCTGCGAAACGCCGCCAAGGTCAAGGCCTGGGTCCTCGACGCCTTCCCGGACGAGGACGAGGCCGCCGTCGTCAAGGCGCACTTCGTCGCGTGCGCGTCGCGGACGGCGCACGACCGCGTCGCTAGCTGGGGCGTCGACGCGGACGCGCGGCTCTTCGAGTTCTGGAACTGGGTCGGCGGGCGCTACAGCGCGAGCTCGTCGGCGGGGCTCCTGCCCCTCGCGCTCGCGCGCGGGTCGTCGGCCGCGCGGGGCCTGCTCGAGGGCATGCACGCGATGGACGAGCACTTCTACTCGAAGCCGCTCGAGGAGAACGCGCCCGCGGTCATGGCGCTCCTGGGCATCTGGAACGTGAACTTTTTGGGTCTGGGCGCGCGGGCCGTCGTGCCCTACTCGGAGGCGCTCGCGCGCTTCGCCGCGCACGTCCAGCAGCTCGAGATGGAGAGCCACGGCAAGTCCGTGACCATCGACGGGCGGCCCCTGGATTTCACGACGGGCGAGATCGTCATCGGCGAGCCGGGCACGAACGCGCAGCACTCCTTCTTCCAGCTCCTCCACCAGGGCCAGGCCGTGCCGACGGACTTCATCGGCTTCGCGAGGCCCGACGACGCGACGGTGGACCTCGAGGGCCACGACGAGCTCATGGCCAACTTCTTCGCCCAGCCCGACGCCTTGGCTGTTGGCCGGGCCTTCAACGACGTGCTGGTGGACGCGACCTTCGGCGACGGCGACGTCGACAACTGCCCGCACCGCACGCTGAGCGGCGACCGGCCGTCGCTGACGCTCCTCCTCGACAAGCTCGACCCCTACCACGTCGGCGTGCTTTTGGCCCTCTACGAGCACCGCTGCGCGGTCCAGGGCTTCGTCTGGGACATCAACTCCTTCGACCAGTGGGGCGTCGAGCTCGGCAAGGACCTCGCGAACGACGTCCGCGGCGTCCTCCACGACGCGCCGGGCGCGAAGCCGGCGAACCCGTCGACGGCGAACCTCCTCGCGCGGTACAAGGCCGCGCGGGCCTAATTCCCGAAAAATACTATTGCAGGTCCCGGCGACTGGCGGACCGCGCGTTGTTGCTCGCCGCCTCAAGGAGCACGCGCAGCTCCTCCTTGGACACGCGCCGCTCGGCCGCGGTGCCCGCGTCGCGGCCCTGCTTCGCCTCCGTGATCATCTTCTCGACGTCGATCTTCTCGACGTCCTCGCCGAGCTCGGAGAAGAAGGTTTTGAGGGCCGCGACGTCGACGTAGCCCGCGCCGTCGCGGTCGAACTCGGCCCACAGGAGGTCGTAGTCCTCCGCCGTGTCCGCGTCGCGGACGCCCTCGATCATGATGCCGCGGAACTCGCCGGCCTGGAGCCGGCCCTCGCCGTCGGCGTCGTGCTCGCCGACGAGCTGGTAGATGTCGGGCCGCCGGAAGTGGAGGCCGAGCTCCTGCGTCGCTTCTATAATGTCCTGCGGCAGGAGCGAGCCGTCGCCGTCGCGGTCCAGCGCCGCGAAGGCCGCATCGATGGCCGTCTGCTCGGCCTTGCTCTTCTCCCAGTGCGTCTTCGTCAGCGCGCCGAGCTTGCGCGGCGGCAGCGCGCGCTCCTTCTTCTTGCGGCCCGAGCCCCCGGAGCGCTTCGGCGTCGCGGGCCGCACGGGCTCCCGCGGCGTCGAGGGATGCTCGTCGCTGTCCGCCTCGAGGAAGTCGTCGTCGTCGAGGTCCTCGACGCGGCCGCGCGCCGCGTCAAAAACCATCGTGAGGCTGCCCACAACCGTTTGCCGTTGTTGACCATTCAAGGAAAATGGTGCCGTGTTGTTAACATCATGTTACCGAGGTCGCGGCGGCTGCGGCCAGGGCGGGAGCCAGGGGTCCTGGGCGTCGTCGTCCGCCGCCGGGCCCGCCGCGGCCGCGGCCGGGAGCGCGAACGTCGCGGACACGGGGAGGTGGTCCGAGTCCTTGTCGAGGAAGTCGTAGTCCCAGACGCCGCCGGGCGCGACGCGCGCCGCCGCGACGAGCCGCGCGGCGCCGTCGCACTGGCCGAAGGCGCTCGCCCCGGCCGCGAAGACGTGGTCGCAGCAGAGCGCCTCGCCGCGGTGCGTGCGGTGCGTCGCGCCGACGCACGTCCGCCCGCCGACGCTCGAGAGCGCCTCGGCCGCGGACGCGGAGACGACGTTCGTCCAGCCGGCGGCCTCGAGCGCCGCGCACGCGGGCGCCGCCGCGCCGCAGTTGAAGTCGCCGGCGACGAGCGCGAGCGCCGCGTCGACGCGCGCCGCGAGCGCGGCCGCGGCCGCCGCGACGGCCGCGGCCTGGCGCGCCTGCGCCGCGGCCGCGTCGCCGCCGGAGCCGAAGGGGAGGTGCACGTTCGCGACGACGACGGGCCGCGGCGACCGGTCGACGGCGACGATCAGCGCCGCGCGGCCGTCGTCGAAGACGACCTCCTCCCGCGCGAGCACCTTTCCTTTTACGAGCATGGCGACGCCGTCGCTCCGCGCCTCGCCCGAGTGCGGGTGCACGCCGCGGCGCCGCGACGTCACGAGCGCGTGCCGCGGTAGCGCCTCCTCGAACATCTTTCCCCAGCGCGGCTCGAAGAACCACTCCTGGAGGCACAGCGCGTCGCTCGAGCCGAGCGTCTCGGCGACGAAGTCGGCGAGGCGCGCGCCGCGCGCCAGCCACGACGCGTCGTCGTCCGCTTCCCGCGTGGCGCCGACGCCGCTCTTGTGCACCGGCGCGAGAAGATTGAACGTCGCGACGCGCAGCTGCGCCGGCGGCCGCAGCGCTGCCGCCGCCGCGAGGAGGAGCGCGACCCGCATCGCTGTGGCGCGGCGCCGCGCGGCTGCAGGCGCTCGAGAGGCGCACGGTGGCTGCTGCAGGAGATCGAGAGGCGCACGGCGGCGGCGGCGCGCTGCAAGGCGCTCGAGAGGCAGAGGCAATTCACAGCTGCAGAAGGGCCATGCGTCGCTGCTGCCACTGGCACTGCTCGTGGCTTGATTGACGTGCAACATACGTGCAGATGGCGAAGGTCGTCGAACTTGCTCCCCAGGCGGCCGAACCCGCGTGAATCGGCCAGTCTCGGCGTCGTTTCCAGCGGCATCGATACCCGCGCGTGCCAGTGGCGGCGAAAGGAACCTCGCTAGTACAGGACACACAGTTACTGGCCGCACTCGTGGAGGTCGCCCTGGTAGAGGACCATGCACCGCGGGCACTGGCGCAGGAAGTTCGGCGCGGACCGCGACCGGGGCAGCGCCGAGCCCGCGCGCCGCGCGAGGGTCGCCGCGCTCCGCGACGCGACCATGCTCGACACGGTCCGCGGCCGCCGGTGGAGCCGGAACGGCGACCGCTGGCAGACGTGCTCGCCCTCGTACTCGACGTTGCACCGCTCGCAGGTCCGGAGCCGCGGCGCGGGCGCCGCGGGCGCCGCGGGCTCCTCGGGCTCCTCGGGCTCCGGCGCGTCGGGCTCCGGCGGCGCGGGCGCGTCGGGCTCCTCGGGCTCCGGCGGCGCGTCGGGCGCGTCGGGCTCCGGCGGCGGCAGCGCCGGCGGCGGCAGCTCCGGCGGCGGCGCCGGCCGCAGGCGCGGGCCCTGGCGGCAGAGCGGCCGCGGGAGGGGCGGCCGGTCGCGGAGCGCGTCCGGCGCGAACTCTGGCGGTTCGAGCGTAAAGTCCCACTTGGGCCGCCGCGGCAGCGCGGCGCCGCCGGCCGTCGCCGCGCGGCGCACGGCCGACGCGCGCCGGCCCCGGGCGGCGGCGCTGAGGCGCGCCTCGGCCGTGCGCGCGCGCATGCGCTGGAGCTCGAGGCTGCGGGCCTGCATCGCCGAGCCCAGGGGCGCCGGCGACGCCTCGCGCCGCCGGGGCGGCGCGCGCTTCTTTTGCTTTTGCTGGGACAGCGGGTCGAGCTTCCGTCGCGCCAACGTCGCGCGCGCCGGGCCCATCATGGCTGCAGCACTAGATTAAAACGCTCACATAATCGGCCAGCACACGGAGCTGCCCATCAACACACTTCAATTACGGGAGATATTGAAGACCTCAAACTCGGCGACGGTGCTCACTCAGTGGCAGCAAGCGACGATGCGCCTCGCCGCGCGCCTCAGGCTCTCGGCGGCGCGCCTCGGGTCGCGGTCGCGCGCGCTCTCGGCGGCGCCGGTGCGCTTCCAGACCATCGCCGACGAGCCGCTGCTGGAGGTGGCCTGCTTGCGGCGCGAGGCCGCGGTCATCGAGGGCGCGCCCGTCGTCGTCGAGCGGGACACGACGCGCGCCCTGCTCGACGCCCTCGCAGACCTCGCGGCGCGGCCCGCGGCGGAGCTCGCGGCGCCGACGCTCGACGGCGACACGGACTGGGAGCTCGACGGCTTCACGACGTACTCGAGCAAGTCGTTCCGCCTCACGTGCGCGCGGTCCGGCGCGGCGCGGCGGCCCCTGCCGCGGCGCGACGCCTACCTGCTCACGGGCCCCCGCGGCGCGGGCAAGAGCGTCGCGCTGGCCACCGTCGTCTCCTGGGCGCGCGCGAACGGCTGGCTCGCGCTCTACGTGCCCCGGGGCTGGGACGTCGCGAACGCGGGCGACTACGTCGTGCCCTCGCCGCACCACGCGGGCATGTTCGAGGAGCCCCGGGGCAGCCGGGCCCTGCTCGAGGCCTTCGACGCCGCGCACGGCGGCCAGCTCGCGGCCGTGGCCGTCAAGGACGAAACCGTCGCGGACCGGTGGGGCGCGGCGACGCTCCGGGAGTTGCTGGACGCGGCGCTCGCCAAGGACCGGCTCGACGAGGCGTCCACGGCGCTGAGCGACCTGCGCTTCGAGCTCGGCCGCGCGACGGAGTTCCCCGTGCTCCTCGCCGTCGACGAGTACACGTCGTTCCTCGGGCGCACGGACTACTTCTACGACCACGCGCGCCTCGCGCCCGCGGACCTCGTGGCCGTGTCCGCCCTCGCGCCCCTCGGCGCCGCGGGCGTGCCCGAGGCGCACCGCCTCGCGCGCGGCTGCGCCGTCCTCGCGGACTCGTGGAGCCGCGGCCCGCCGGGCATGGGCGACGGCGACAAGCGCAAGGCCGCGCCGCACGCGCCCTTCGAGCTCAAGCTTGGCGCCTACAGCCGCGACGAGTTCCGGGCGGCCCTCGACCGCTACAAGGCCGCCGGCTACTTCGAGGCCGACCTCGACGCCCACGACGTCGCGGAGCTCGAGATGGCCACGCAGCGCAACCCGCAGCACCTCTTCGACCGCCTCGCCATGATGTGAGACCTCGGGCCGTCCGCGTAACACGCGCGCAGCCTACGCCTGGGCCGTCGTTAGCCTTCGCACGCGGCGCACGTGCAGTGGAAGTTGTACTTCGCCGCGAGGTAGGCTCGCCGGTCGGCGACCGCCACGACCCCGGCGCCGACGTAGGACACGCCCTTGCGCACGTCTTTCGTCGTCGTCACGTCGACGACGCGCGCGCCCCCGCGGTCCCGCATGGCCTTGGTCGCGTTGGCGTCGCAGGCGTGGTTCGCCCGGCAGAGCGTCTCGAAGACGTGGCCGGAGCCGGAATCGAAGTACGCGTTCGTCCGAAAGATGCTGCCGGCCGTCTTCAGGTGGCGGTCCCGGACGGACTTGCGCCCGCGCGCCGTCGCGACGGCCCAGCGGTCCGCGCCGTCGCGCCTTTCGACGACGCCGCGAAGGCCGTTGAGCGGCCGGCCCCGGTCCGACGCGAGGCCGTCGACGCGGACCGCGTCGCCCTTCGCGGGCCGCCGGAAGCAGTCGTCGAGCGCCCAGACCCGCGCGCCGGCGGCGGCGCCGAGGTCGGCGATGCCCTCGGCCGCGTGGACGTCGACGACGGCGTCGAGCGCGGCCTTCGCCTCCGCCGTGTAGCCGTCGCCGTCGCAGCCGGCCTCGACGATGGTCATGAGCCGCGCGACGTCGGGCCGCGCGAGAAACGCCGGCGCCGAGAAGTCCTCGACGTGTAGATCGGCGGCTCCGAGACGACCAAGCTGCCGCGCGCCAGGTCGACGAGCGCGCGCAGCCCGAGGCCGCGGCCCTCGAAGGCCACGACCTCGACCGTAGCCATCGCGTCGGGGCTGCCCGCTCGCGGCGATGTCGCCCTTCAGGCTAGGACCATCGTGGGGCAGCCCTGCTGTTCAAGCGGAGGGAATCTTCGACCTGTGTGTGGCAAATCGAGGGCATGGCCTTAACAGGAGCTCCACCGCCAACTACCGTGGAACCGCTCTCGCGTCGATTCGCCACCGCGCGCTACTACTGAGCCGCTGCAACGGACGCGCATGGCGGCCTTGGACGAATCGACCGTGCCCATCGTCGACATCGCGCCCTTCGCCGCCCCGTCCCTCTACGACGACGCGGCGCGCGCGACGGCGGCGCGCGCCTGGGACGCGGCCATGACCGAGGTGGGCTTCGCCGTGATCGTCGGCCACGGCGTGCCGGCGAAGGTCGTCGAGGACCTGCGCGCGGGCGCGGGCGACTTCTTCTCGCGCGACGCCGCCGAAAAGCTCGCGTACCGCCACGGGCCCTACGGGAACCCGCTCGGCGGCTACACGGCCATGGGCACGGAGGCCGTCTCCCGGACGCGCGACGCCCACGGCTCCGACGCCGGCGGCGCCGGCGGCTTCGAGGCGGCGCTCCCGGACCTCGTCGAGTCCTTCGTCTTCAAGCCCGACGAGGCGACGAGGCCGAAGCCGCCGGCGCTCGAGGCCGCGGGCCGCGCCTACCACGCGGCGCTGCTGGGCGTGCTCGACACGCTGCACGCCGTGACCGCGGCGGCCCTGGGCCTGCCGGCGGGCTTCTTCGACGAGTTCTACGCGCCGGGGGCGGACGTGTCGCTGCGCCTCGCGTACTACCCGCCCGTGCCGGCCGCGGCGCGGAACTCGTCGGCCGTGCGCTACGGCGAGCACACGGACTACACGGGCTTCACCATCCTGCTCCAGGACGACGCGGACGTCGGCGACCTCGGCGCCGGCGGCCTGCAGGTCCTGCGCAAGTCGGGCGCGTGGACCGCGGTCCGGCCCGTGCGCGGGGCCTTCGTCGTGAACATCGGCGACCTCTACGAGATCTGGACCAACGGCCGCTGGCGCTCGACGGTGCACCGCGTCATGAAGCCGCCGCCGGACTCGCCCGCGGCCGACGCGCCGCGCCTGTCGATCCCGTTCTTCACGGGGCCGCACGGCGACGCGGTCATCGAGGCCATGCCGACCTGCGTCGACGACGACCACCCGGCGAAGTACGCGCCCGTGAAGGCGCTGGACCACCTCCTCAGCAAGCTCGCGGCGTCGAATACGTAAGCCTGTGTGTTTTTCGTACTGTAGATGCGCCTCGGCCCTTTCGCGCGACGGCCCGGCCGCCCTCCTGCGCGCCGAGTTTTGGGCGGAGTCCGGCCCGCGAGCCTTGTAGGGCTGCAGCCACTTTGCTGAATTCAAGGTCGGCTTCAAGATTCATTGGGTACGGGCAACGACGCCTCGAAAAAACCTTCAGTGCCGCTTTGCTTGATCATTCAAGCGCCTCGGCGACCAGCGCGCCGACAGCGTTCGAGAAGGAAATTACTCTTCGGTACGTCGCGCTGCCGCTGTAGGGCAGAACCCGGCGCCGTCGCCGGTCGCCGGCCCCCTTCTGAAGGCTCCGCGCCGGCGCGACGCCGCGGCACGCCCTCGGGAAGGGCGCGCCTCGAAGGAGCCGCGATGAACAACCTCATCGACGGGTTGCTCGTCGACGTCTACGCCTACCTCCTGCCGGAGCTGGGCCACGCGGCGGCGAGCTCGCAGTTCGTGCGGGCGGCGGACTGCGCGGGCCGCATGCGCATCGCCGAGACCTACGCCGAGTGCTGCGAGGTCGAGCCCGCGGACGTCGGCGGCGCGTGCTCGTGGCGGGGCCTCGCGGCGTGCTGGGCGCGGAACGCGGTCTGGCTGCGGGCGTCGCCCCGGGACGTCGTCGCCGGGCCCGGCCTCCCCGAGCCGGCCGACGCTCGGGGCGCCGGGAGCGCCGACGACGGCGGCGACGTCGTCGCGTGGCGCGACGCGCTCCGCCGGGGCCCGCGCGCCGTGCCCCGCGCGCGCAACGGCCTCGTGCTCCGGGGCGGCGGCGACGACATCCTCGAGGGCACGGTGCTCGTCGTCGCGTCGGCCCGCGGCGACTGCACCATCTTCGACGCGGCCCACGACGACGGCGCGAGCCGCCTCGAGCTCTGCCACGGATACCCGCCCGAGTCGCAGGACGCGGCCGCGCCGCGCATCTCCCTCTTCTCCCCGGCCGGCGGCGGCGGGCCCGCGGCCATCCACCGCGGCTCCACGCGGTCCACGGGCGAGCCCCACGTCTACAGCGTCGCGCTGCGCCGCGAGGCGCAGCCGAGCCTCGACGTCGACGCGGAGCTCAACGCGGACCTGCGCGCCGACGTCTTCGTCGACGCGCGCCGCGAGGTCGCCGACGCGGCGCTCCGCGCCTCGCGGGGCTTCTCCGACCGCATCGTCCTCGGGGCGGACCACCAGGGCCGCTGGCCGCTCAACGGCGCGATCCGCGCCTTCGCGCTCTTCCGCGGCCGCGTGCCCGACGCGTTCCGCGCGGCGCTGGAGCGCGCGCTCGCCGCCAAGCACGGCATCGACGTCGCCGCGGACGCCACGTCCGACGACGCGCCCATGGACGACGCGGGCGACGACGACTCCGACGACGACGACTTCTTCGACGACGCGGACGACGAGTGAGCGCGAAAGGCGCGCCCCCTAAGACTATCGAAGCTGGGTGGACGGTCGACCCCCCGGGTACAAAAGAGGGCGTCTTGCGACGCGACGAGGGGCCGCGCCCCGAAGACCATCGAAGCTGGTGGGGCGGCGCAAGATTACGACTACGCGAAGAGGGGCCGCGGCGTGACGATCGCGGAGTCGACGTCGAACTTCGTCGGCTTCGCGTTGTCGAGGCCGAGCGCGTCGGCGAGGATGCGCCGCGACCGCACGTGGGGCGTCAGGTTGCAGAGCGCGCCCTTGGCGGCGGCCTGGCACTGGCCCGAGCCCGTCCGGCGCAGCGCGATGAGGGGCTTGGACGCGCCCGCTAAAGCGATGCGCTCCCGGTTCTCGTCGCAGTCGAAGCCGAGGCGCCAGAGCGCCGCGGCGCACTGGAACTGGAGCTGGTCGCTCGACTCCGATCTGAGCAGCGGGGTCACGAGCGCGGGGATCGCCGCCTGGCCCACGCGCTTCCGCGACGATCCGTCCGTGAGCGCGCCGAGCGCCCAGGCCGCGCGCTCGCGCGCCGCGTTCGTGTCGCTCCTGTCCAGGGCCTCGACGAAGATCTCGATCGCGCCCGCGTCGACGAGCGCGCCGCGGTTCGCCGCGTGGCCCGCGAGGGCCGCGAGCACGCGGAGCGCGTCCCGCTTGCCGGCGCCGCGGAGCAGGCCCGCGACGGCGCGGATCGTCTCCGGCGACGCGGCGGCGCCGCCGGCGTCGGCGACGGCGACGGCGCGGGCCCGCGCGGCCTCGGCGACGCAGCCGTCCGAGTTCGACGACCAGAGCTCGACGAGCAGCCCGAACTCCGTGGCGTCGACGGGCGCCGCGGCGGCGGCGGCGCTGCCGGACGCGGTCGTCGTGACCTTGTGGCCCGTGATCGTCTTCTCCTTGCTCGACTGGGCGCCGGCGTTGCGCGCGGCGGTCACGGTCTTGTCGTGGCTCTTGGGCGGCGAGGCGGGCTGCCCCTTGCGCGCCTCGACCAGGGGGCTGCCCCGCGCGCTCTTGCCGACGAGGCGGCGTCTCGTGAAGGGGCTCTTGGGGGTCGTCGGGTCCTGCTGCTTGCCCATGGTGCGTGTGCTGGTGCTGGTGCTGGTGCTGCGTTTGTTTCGTTTCGCTTTGTTGCGAGAAGTTTCGGGAACTCGAGGAGAGCTCGAATCAGGCCGCTCGGTGCGCAATCTTGGCCGACCTTGGCCCCGGCCAATCGCGTAAAAGCATCATGTTGCCCTCGGGAGCCTCGCCGGCTTGCAGCGTCTGCCTCAGTGCCCTCGCCTCGACCACCTCGCATCGCCACGAGATCGCAGCGCGCGCGCAAGTGCATCAACGTGCATAGCTTCTCGTCGCGCATCGAAGCTCGCCAATTCATCGCATCGCGTCGACGCGGTAAACGCTCCGCGCGCTGCGCATGGCTCGCATGCATTGGCTGCGGCGCGTCGTGTGCCTCCTGGCGGCGCGGCGCTGCCTCGCGTCCTTGTCGCCGCTCGTCGCCGGCCCGCGGCAGCTCACGCTCGAGGCCGCCGACGCCATGGCCTCCGCGGCGCTGCGCGAGGCGGCGGCGCGCGAGTTCAACGACGTGTCCGTGAGCGTCGTCGACGCGTCGGGCCGCGAGCTCGTGCACAAGGCGCACCCGGGCTGCCCGCGGCTGATCCCGCACCTCGCGCGCGCCAAGGCGGGCTGCGTCATCGGTCTGCACGCGCCGACGCGCGCCGTCAAGGACAAGTACCTGCCGGAGAAGCTCGCGCAGCTCCTGGGCACGACCGTCGTCGCCGCGGCCGCGACGGCGACGAACTTCGTCGCCGTGCCCGGCGGCGTGCTCTGCCGCGACCCCGTCGACGGCGCCGTCGTCGGCGCCATCGGCGTCAGCGGCGCGTCGTCCGACGAGGACGAGCACTGCGCCGTCGTCGGCGCGGCCGCCGCGGGCCTCGCGACCGAGCCGGCGAGCAGCCCGCTCGACGACGTCGACGACGAGGCAGACGATGCGGACATCGAAGAGGACGCGGAGGAGGAGGACGAGGATGTCATCGAGGAAGCGGACGCGGAGGAAGTGGACGAGGAGGACGAGGATGACGGCGAGGAAGAGGAGGAGGACGAAGAGGACGCCGACGACGACGACGACGACGACGAGTATGACGACGACGACGAGTATGACGATGACGACGACGACGAAGAGGAATATGACGAGTAAGCTGTGGTGTGCCTAGATCAACTGGGGAATGCTCCATCTCGTTGAAGTTCACGATGGCGTTGCTCTCGGAGAGGCTGCCCGGCATCCCCGCTGCTGTGAGAGCGCATGGCGGCCCTGGACGAGGCCGAGCCCGAGTTTGGGGACTTGACCGACGAGGTGCGCGCCATCCACCGGAAGAAGTCCTTCCTGTCGCGGCTCTTCGGCTCGAAGCGGAAGGCGCGGCGGCCGACGGAGCGGCCGGCCCACGTGCCCGAGCCGGAGCCCGGCTTCGAGGACCTGTCGACGACGGCCCACGCGCTCGCCGCCGAGAGCCCGCGGCGGCGCGGCGGGCCGCCGCGGCCCGCCGACTTCGTCCCGGAGGTCGAGCCGGAGTTCGCGTCGTTCGGCGCCGAGGCGGAGAGCGTCGCGCGGTCCGACAAGCGGCTCATGAAGGCCGCTTCGCGGCGGTCGAGGCGGCCGCCGCCCGCGGCGCGGCGGCCCGAGGCCCTGGAGATGGAGGAGGAGGAGGCGGGCTACGAGTGCGCGGCCGCGGAGCACACGCGGATCCGGAGCCCGCGATAGGCGCTAGCAGCTTATGGCGTCGGTCGCGAGGAGGGCCTCGGAGAGGGTCCCGCCGCGCTTCTTGCGGCGCGGCGGCGCGAAGACGAGGAGCGCGAAGGCGGCGGCCGCCGTCGCGACGAGGGGGTAGTTCGCGGCCGCGGGCCGGCCCGCGCGCGCGAGGGCCGCGTAGGCCGCGCCGAGCAAGGCGGGCGCGACGAGCCCGACGAGCGACTCGACGGCGCCGAGGCCGCCGAGGACCTTGCCCGCGTCGCTCTCGCCGATGGCCTCGACGACCAAGGCGCGGTGCGCGGGATTCGCGGCCGCGAGCGGCGCGGCCAGCGGCAGGAGGCCGAAGAGCGCCTTGCCGCCGAGCGCGCGCGGCGGCACGAGCGCGAGGCCCAGCGCCAGCAAGCCCGAGCAGAAGGGGCCGCAGCGCGCGAGCGCGAGGTTCGCGTCGCGGCCGGGCGCGAGCCGCTTCGCGAGCGGCTCGCCGATGAGCGCGCCCGCGGTGGCCATGGCGCCGAGGATGCTCGCGTAGAGGCCGACCTCGCCCTTGGACATGGTCCGCGCGAGGTACTGGACGACGAAGCCGCCGCCGGTCGCGTTGCACATGATGAGGCCCCACGCGACGCTCAACGCGAACGCCGGCGACGACGGCGACAGCAGGAGCGCCACACCCCTGCCCGCGTCGCGCAGCGACGCGAGGGCGCCGCGCGGCGCGCCGCCGGCGGGCTTGGCGGCGACGGGGGGAACGCGCGCGACGCCCGCGAGCGAGACGAGGAACGCGGCGGCCGCGGCGGCGAGCGTCGCCGCGGACCCGAAGCGCTCCGCGGCGACGCCCGCGGCCACGGGCGCGGCCGCGAAGGCGCCGAAGAGCGACACGGCGATGGGCCGGAACCCGGCCGTCGCCGCCGCCTCGGGCCCGCGCGCGGAGTCCGACGGCTCGACGGCGGCGGCGGCGGGCGCGCGCGCCGCGTAGGCGTAGGCGGCCGTGAGGAGGCCGAAGTAGCCGCCCGCGAGGCCGAAGAGCGCGCCGCTCGCCGCCAGCGCGGCGAACGGCAGCTCGAACCACGCGTACGCCGCCGCGGCCGCGGCGCTCGCGGCGCCGCCGACGCACGCGACGGCCATGGGCAGCCGCGGGCCGCGCGCGTCCGCGACGCCGCCGAGCCACGCGCCGACGACGGTCTGGGGAATGCCCTGGATCAACCCGTAGGCGACGAGCAACTTCGCGGCGCGCGACGCGCAGGGGTCGTCGGAGTCGGCGCCGTCGCAGCGTTTCTTCTCCCGCGCGACGACCTCCAAGGGGACGACGGTGGCGATGACGATGCACGTGGCGAAGAACAAGGTGGTGACGAAGAGCAGCGACCGCTGCACCATCGTGTGCGCCGTGTCGGAAGGCTTCCAGTCAGAGGCGCATGATGACGAGGGCGGTCTGTGAAGTGATGCTGAACTCAATTAAAGTCCTAATTAAACTCAAGGGGACCTCTGCGCGCATGCGAGCGGCTCAAGCCCTGGGCTCGTTACGGGGGCGCCCGTGCGTGGCACGGAGGTGGGGCCGCCGGCGGAGCGTCATTTCGGGGGAGCGACACAGGGAGGAATCGATGGAAGGGAGGAAGGACGGGAGGGGGAGGCGTACTAGTAGGGAAAGGAGAAGCCTGGACGGCGCCGGCCTCGACGGGACGTCCCCGCGCGCTGGATGAAGCAGGGATCTCAGATCCGAGCGACGGGGTCCGCCTGGACGGCGCCGGCCTCGACCCGGACGTCCTTCGGCGCGTCGGACGCCGTCTCGTCCTTCGCGTGGGTGAAGGAGCCGAGGCGCGCGGCCTCGGCGCGGAAGAGCGTCGCCGCGGCCGCGTAGAACGCGCGCTCGCGGAAGTGGCCCGAGGCCGCGTAGAGCGCGGCGGCGAAGGACGCGACCCCGAGGCCCAGCATGTCCGACGCGCCGCTCACGGCCTCGGCGACGACCGACGCGCGCGCGGCCCTCGCGAACAGGGACGTTCCGTAGGTCGTAGGCTCGTAGGCACCGGCCGAGGCTACGTAGGCTCGTAGGTACCTACGCGGTCCGTTGTAGGCTCCCAACGGACAGCCCCCCAGTGGGAGCCCACGTAGGTCCGTAGGCTCGAGTCGAGGCTACGTAGGCGCGTAGGCACCTACGTAGCCACCTACGGAACGTCCCAGCTCGCGAAGACCCGAGAAGAGCAGCCTCCTTACGCCGCGGGGATCGCCCCCGCGCGCTTGTGCGTCGGGGCGGGGCGCCGGGCGTCGGCATCGGGGGACTTCAGTAGGGCACCATGACCTGCTGGCCCGCGGCCGCGCCCGGCGGCACGGCGAACATCATGGTCTGGCCGTTCGGCGCCTGGACCTGGAGCTGCGTGCCCGCGTAGACGCCCTCGGGGATGACGACGGGGAACGTGCGGGGCTGGCCCGCGGGCGGGTAGTTCTGGTGGGCCATCTGCTGCGGCCGCGGCGCGGACGGGTATTCGGGCTCGTACTTGGGCGCGGCGGCGAACTGGCCGCCGCCGCCCGCGGAGACGGCGGCGAGCGTGCCGCTCTTCTCGCGCTCCGTGAGCTCGTAGTGGACCTGGGCGTGCATGCAGCCCGCCGTCGTGTAGAAGACGATGTCCGCGATGAGGTCGAGGATGTTCGCGAGATCGCGGAACGACGGGTCGAACATCGCCGCGAGGTGGCAGATGCAGGCAAGCATCTGGACGCAGTTGTTGAAGCGGATGATGCGCCGGTCGCAGGGGTCCGACTGGAGGTCGTACTTGTCCATGACGTACCTGACGCGCGGACGCGCGTCGACGGCGGCCCCGGGCGGGAGCGACGCCGGACCGCGTACATGCGCGTCGAGCTCAGCGAGCAGGACAGGCAGCAGAAGCCCTCGAGGGCGAGGCAGCAGGGGTTGCCCTGGTCGCCGATGGAGCCGGCCTTGAAGCAGCAGCGGTCGTAGTAGCCCTGGCAGCACACGTACGCGTCCATGTTGCCCTCGAGCGCCTTGTGGCCTGCCGGGACGACCGTTCGAAACATACACCGGGGCGTGTGCGTGGACGCCGGACAATCGGACGCATGTAGCAGTTCGTGAAGGGCAGGAAGCAGGGCAGGCCGCCGCAGCAGCAGGCGAGCGGGTCCTTGCAGGGGGCGTCCTGCATGCCCGTCTTGAACATGTTCTGGCGCCCGCCGCGCGCGTCGTTCTCGTGCGGGGAGTCATCCTGCGGGGGGTGCGGCGTCGAGGCGGCGGGTTTCGGCGTGCGACGCGGGCGGCGCGCGAAGAAGCAAAGGCACATCCTGCCGTCGCGACGCTCGGGCTCGATAGAGGACTTGATAGAGGACTGGCCTCCCACAGGACACCCCTGGCCACTCGTTACTTGTGGTTTTCAGCGACACAGGCCGCTGGAGGCTCGCTGGGGGAGATATGGACGGAGCAGCGATGTCAGATCCGAGCGACAGGCTTCGCCTGGACGGAGCCGGCTTCGACCGGGACGTCCAACCAAGAAGAACAGCCCCCTTACGTCGCGGGGGTCGCTTCCGCGCGCTCGTGCGTCGGGGCGGGGCGCCGGGCGTCGGCATCGGGGGACTTCAGTAGGGCACCAAGACCTGCTGGCCCGCGGTCGCGCCCGGCGGCACGGCGAACATCATGGTCTGGCCGTTCGGCGCCTGGACCTGGAGCTGCGTGCCCGCGTAGACGCCCTCGGGGATGACGACGGGGAACGTGCGGGGCTGGCCCGCCGGCACGGCGACGGCGGCCACGGGCGGCGCGGGCGGGTAGTTCTGGTGGGCCATCTGCTGCGGCCGCGGCGCGGACGGGTATTCGGGCTCGTACTTGGGCGCGGCGGCGAACTGGCCGCCGCCGCCCGCGGAGACGGCGGCGAGCGTGCCGCTCTTCTCGCGCTCCGTGAGCTCGTAGTGGACCTGGGCGTGCATGCAGCCCGCCGTCGTGTAGAAGACGATGTTTGCGATGAGGTCGAGGATGTCCGCGAGATCGCGGAACGACGGGTCGAACATGGCCGCGAGGTGGCAGATGCAGGCCAGCATCTGGACGCAGTTGTTGAAGCGGATGATGCGCCGGTCGCAAGGGTCCGACTGGAGGTCGTACTTGTCCATGACGTACCTGACGCGCGGACGCGCGTCGACGGCGGCCCCGGGCGGGAGCGACGCCGGAACGCGTACATGCGCGTCGATTCCAGCGAGCAGGACAGGCAGCAGAAGCCCTCGAGGGCGAGGCAGCAGGGGTTGCCCTGGTCGCCGATGGAGCCGGCCTTGAAGCAGCAGCGGTCGTAGTAGCCCTGGCAGCACACGTACGCGTCCATGTTGCCCTCGAGCGCCTTGTGGCCTGCCGGGAAGACCGTTCGAAACATACACCGGGGCGTGTGCGTGGACGCCGGACAATCGGACGCATGTAGCAGTTCGTGAAGGGCAGGAAGCAGGGCAGGCCGCCGCAGCAGCAGGCGAGCGGGTCCTTGCAGGGGGCGTCCTGCATGCCCGTCTTGAACATGTTCTGGCGCCCGCCGCGCGCGTCGTTCTCGTGCGGGGAGTCATCCTGCGGGGGGCGCGGCGTCGAGGCGGCGGGTTTCGGCGTGCGACGCGGGCGGCGCGCGAAGAAGCAGAGGCACATCCTGCCGCGATTCGGTCGGGCTCGAAGGATGTCGCCGCCAAGCTGGCCAAGCGCGCCAGCGTGGATATTTTGTGCTCCTAACGGCAGCGCTGACCAGATGCTGGCAAGGTTCCAGGGTGCTGCCCCTCCCGCAGCATGGTGGCAGCCCTCGACCGCGCCCGGGAGGTCTAGCCCGGAAGAAGCGGTCCACGCACGAGACCATGCTCGAGGCGGACTGGGAGGCCTGCGAGCGCGGCTACTACGCCGGCGAGCTGCGCATCCAGGAGAAGGAGCTGCGGCTCTACACGAAGTGCAACGCCATCATCGCGAAGCACGCGGCCTTCTTCGCCCTCATCGCCTACAGCGCCCTGTCCATGACGCCCCACTGGCTCGACGAGGCGCTGACGAGCCAGACGAAGAAGTTCTTCTTCTACAACTTCGTCGTCGTCGCCATCGGCTTCAACATGCTCACGATGGTCGTCACGAGCTGGTGCATGATCTTCGGCCCGGGCCTGGCCATCCGCGGGCCGCCGGGGTCGATGAAGCGCGCCGTCGAGGGCATGCGCGACGAGGAGGCCATGACGCACCTCTTCTTCGCGCTCGGCCAGGTCTTCCTGACGCTCGCGGCGGTCGCGCTCGGCTTCCTCAAGCTGCCGCTGGCCGTCGCGTGCTGCATCGCCGTGATCCTCGTGCTCTTCCTCGGGTCGACGCTCGCCTGGTACGTGCGGCGGCCGCGTGCGTCCTTCAGCCTCACGGACTTCGACGGCGACGTCGACTTCGAGGCCCTCATGCTCAAGGACCTCGACTCGTAACGCTCCTCAAAGTTTAGGGCTCGTCGGGCATGGTCGCCCAGGGCGTGCCCACGAGGGCGACGGCGATGTCGCCCCAGTTGGCGACGTAGGACGACGGGTGCCGCGTGTGGTTCTTGGGCTTGTCGGCCTTGCTCCGCGTCGCGCGGTCGCACGCGCCGTGGCGGTGGACGACGTCCGCGAGGAGCCTAAAAAAAGGGCCGCGGTCCGCGCGAGAGCAATCGCGCAAAGGACGCGGGCGCGCGGACCAGGCCTCGAGGTCGGAGAAGCGCTGCGGGTGCGCGAGCAGGTCCTCGTAGTCGTAGCGCGCGGACGCGACGCCCCGGCTCGCGAGGCAGTCTAAAAGCGCGGCGATCGCGGCGTCCTCCGCGGCGTGGTCCCGGAGCAGCTCGAGGACCTGGGCCGCGTCGAGCGCCACCTTGCCGTCGCGCGCGTCCGGCGCCAGGGTCAGCTTCGAGCTCAGGTGCTGCTTGAAGAGGTTCCGCCGCCGCAGCCACACGAGCTTGACGCCGTGCTCGAGGCAGAAGTCGAAGAACCAGCCCGCGAGGTCCTCGAGGACGCCCTGCGTGAACATCCACTTGAAGCCGAAGGCGCCGGCGCCGCGCCGGCCCAGCGTCGCGTTCGTCTTGTCGACCCAGCCCGTGAACTTCTGCGGCCGCCGTTTCAAATCCTCGTAGAAGCCGTCGCTCGCCGCGTCGCGCCGCGCCGCGCCCAGGATCTCCAGCGCCTTCTCCAGGGCCCGGCGCCGCGCCACCGCGTCCTCGAAGACGTGCGGTTTTGCGACCTCGTGGAACTTCTCGTTGCCGCAGACGACGCAGGGCAGCGCGTCGAGCGTGAGCCCGAGCCACGTGCTGCCGCTGTGCTGCCGCGACAGGACGACGTAGGGCTGCAGCCGCCGCCCGGCGTAGGTGTCGCCGTCGGGTCGCGCGGGCGGCGGGCGCTTGCTCCGGGTCTCGCAGAAGGCCGTCGTCAGCTGCGCCTGGTGCACGAGGCGGCTCTTCGTGGCCGCGCTGGTTTCGTCGTGCGGCGCGAGGCGGCTCTTCGTGGTTATCGCGCTCTCGTCGCGCTGCTTTTTGGCTGTGCTATGGTGCCGACGGCCGGAGCACGCTGCGACGAGCAGGAGCAGCGCGCGCGGACGACGCAGCCCCATCATCGATGAAGCCATCGCGATTGAGGGCGACGGTGACTCGACGGTGCCGCTTGCATGCAGTCGCTCTCAGCGCGGCAGCTCTCGCAGCTCGCTATCCAGCAGCGCGACCATGGCGGGCGGCCCGAACCCGCTCCTCCTCGCCAGCGTGCTCTTAGCGTCGGCCGTCGCGACGGCGCTCAACTTGCGGGGCCGGCGCCGGTCGCGCGGCGGCCTCGGCACGCCGCTTCCCAGCGAGGGCGGCTGCGTCTACCTGGACTACGCCGCGACGTGCCCCATCTACCCCGAGGTCGCCGACGCCATGGTGCCCTTCCTCTACGACCACTGGGGCAACCCGTCGAGCGGCCACGCCTACGGCGCGCCCTGCCGCTCGGCCGTCGCCGATGCGCGCGGGTCGATCGCGCGGCTCCTCGGCTGCGCGTCCGAGGAGGTCGCGTTCTGCTCCTGCGGCAGCGAGGCGGACAACTGGGCCATCCTCGCGAGCCTCGGCGGGAAGCGGCGCCACGTCGTCGTGTCGGCCGTCGAGCACCCGGCGATCCTCGCGTGCGTCGACGCGCTCGAGCGCGAGGGCCGGTGCGACGTGTCGCGCGTCGGCGTCGACGCGCGCGGCGTCGTCGACCCGGCGGCCGTCGCCGACGCCGTCAAACCCGGCGAGACGGCCCTCGTGTCCGTCATGCTCGCGAACAACGAGGTCGGCTCCGTCATGGACGTCGCGGCGATCTCGGCCGCGGTCAAGGCGCGCGACGCGGGGATCCTCGTCCACACGGACGCCGCCCAGGCCGTGGGGAAGATCGACGTCAACGCGAAGCGGCTGGGCGTCGACTACCTGACGCTCGTGGGCCACAAGTTCGGGGCCCCGAAGGGCGTCGCCGCGCTCTACCACAGGCGGGGCGCGCCGCTGCGGTCCATGCTCTTCGGCGGCGGCCAGGAGGGCGGCCTCCGCGCGGGCACGGAGGCCGTGCCGAGCGTCGTCGCCCTCGGCGCGGCGGCGGCCATCTGGACCCGCGAGGGCGCCGCGATCGCCGCGCACTCCGCGGCGATGCGCGACCGGCTCCGGCGGAGGCTCGAGGCCGCGCTCGGGCCGGAGCGCTGCGCCGTCAACGGGCCCCTGGGCGCCGGCGGCGAGGCGCTGCCCAACGTGCTCTCCTTCGCCGTCCGCGGCGCCCGCGCGGCGCGCGTCCTCGGCGACGTCGGCGACCGCGTCGCCGCGTCCGCGTCCGCCGCGTGCCACTCGGGCAGCGACGCCGTCTCCGCCGTGCTCCTGGCCGTCGGCGTCGAGACGGAGCTCGCGCTGGGCACGCTGCGCCTCTCCGTCGGGCGCCACACGACCGCGCGCGAGGTCGACGCCGCGGCCGATGTCCTCGCGGCCGCGATCCTCGCCGCGGACGCGAAGACGCACGACGGCCTCAACCGCCGCCTCGGCGCCGACGCGACGGCCCCGGTCGCGGCGCTGAAGAAACGCCGCGGCGCCGAGGACCCGGGCGTCGTCGCCGCCGAGGCCGCGGTGCGCAAGGCCTACGCCGCGCTCCGCAAGCTCGACAAGCGCGCGACGCCCGAGCACGCCGACGCCGCGCTCGACGCCGTCGACGCGGCCGTTGCGGCGGCGAAGCGGGCGTGAGGGGTGACGTTTATTAAAGGAGGATGGCGATGACGGCGATGACATACTAGTAGGCCTTGAGGCCTGCCTTGACATCGAGCAGGCGCCTCGACTCGGGCTGGCATCAGCCGATTTGTGCCAGTTCGTCAACGTGATGAGCATTTTTCGCGTCGTCGGCGCCGCCGCGGCGAGGGTCTCCGACGTCATCGTCGGGAGCGCCAGTGGCACAAACTCGCCCGTCGACGACAAAACTCCTCGGGGCAGAAGTCGACGGCGCCGATCGAGATCAAAGAAGCCTGCTCCTCTAACTGTCAAGCGTTGCAACTTCATCGAGCCGCCGACGGATGTCGCGACGCTCAAATCGCCTGTGATTCCGGCGTCCGCGACGCCCTTCTCGGAGGCGGGCGACGACGCGTCGCGGGCCGAGCGATACGACGAGGTGGGCGACGACGCGTCGCGGGCCGAGCGATACGACGACGCGTCGCACTCGGCAAGCGACGCCGAGTCCTACGACGTCGAGTCGCGGAGCGCCTCCGAGGGCTCCTACGACGTCCACGTCAGCGACGCGGACATGGATGCGGTCGTGGGCGCCTACGAGGAGGCGCGCGCCGCGCTCGAGGCCATGACCGAACGCGCGGCCGCGGCGGAGCGCGTCGCCGCGGACCTGGAGGCGTCGCTCACGGGCTCGCGGCTCGAGCTGATCGCCGCGAGGACGAAGCTCGCGACGGTCGAGCGCTCGTTGGTCGCCGCGCGCGACGCGCGCGAGCGCGCCGAGCTCTCGCTCGCGGACGCGCTGGCCTCGGCCGCGGACGCCGACGCGCGCGCGGAGCAGCGCCTCGCCGAGGCGCTGGCCTCGTCCGCCGCCGCGCGCGAGCGCGCGGAGCGACGGCTCGAGGAGGCGCTCGCGTCCCGCGCGGAACCCGAGCCCGTCGCCATCGACCACCTCCAGGTCCTGGTGTTTTACACGACTGCGCTCCTCGCCCTGTCCGCCGCGACGTACTGTTCTTCTTAGAAAGTCGATCTAGTAGGGAGGGCTCCAGAACGCGGCCGCGTGGCCCGCGACGTCGCGCGGGAGCCCGGTGATCCGGACGACGAGGCCCGCGAGCGTCGCGCGGCGCCGCGCGCGGTAGGCGCCGTAGCCTCCCAGTGCCGTGATGGCGTCGACGTACTCCCACGCGCTCACGTTCCAGCTTCGCCGCGGCACGCGCTCGGTCAAAGGCCGAGCCCCGCTCTCGAGGAGCTTTCCGAGGACCGCGCGCGACTGATTGCAGTCGAGCGCGATCTGAAAGGTCGTCAGGCCGAAGCCGTCGAGAGCGTCGACGTCGCCGCCGGCGTTCAGTAACGCCTTGACGATCTTGGCGTTGCCGCGCACCGCGGCCCAATGCAGCGGCGTCCGGCGGTGCATCATGTCCGCGAGGCGCGGACTCGCGCCGTTGTCGAGCAAAAAATTGCACCCCGCAATATTTTGCCGCTACACCGTCCAGTGAAGGGCCGTCCAGCCGTCGTGCGGACACTGCGCATCGATGCCTTCGCGGTCGTCTAAGCGCAATCGGAGATAGCGGAGCGCTCGCTCAGGATCGACTACCGCCGCAGCAGACCGGAGGCACAGAATCGGGGCGGGTGGGAGGCCGCTCCGGGTTCGCGCACGCGTCAGAGCGATCGCGATGTCGTCCATGCGACCCGGCGGCTCGAGCGCGCGCGACAAAACGATTGCGCCCCGAGATGACCCGACCAAGAGATGACCAAGTCCCGACATCAAGGTTAGAAATGTTTACTTTCACATGAAGGGGCTGCAGGATGGCCCCCATCCCAGCGCGAGATGGCCCGATCGCGCTGCCTCCAACGCAGCCGAAGAAGAAGAAGAAGCGCGCCGTCATCGGCACGAAACCCAAGCGCGTCATGGGCCTCAGTCCGGAGGACGCGCCCATGGCCTGGTTCGCGGCCGCCGCCGTCGAACAGCTCCCCCAGACGCTCTACCGCTGCGCGGGCAAATCCGGCGGCATCGTGCGCGCGGGCGTCGAGAAGACGTCCGGCGCGCTGCTGAAGCTCGCCTTCGGCATGGAGGTCGTCGTCGACGGGGCCGCGGCCGCGAGCGACGGGACCCGCAGGCTGCGCCTCTCGGAGCCCGTCGTCGGCTGGACGTCGGCGAAGATCCTCGAGCGCGTCTGCGTCGCCGCCGTCGCGCAGTCGGCGCAGGGCGCGATGGCCATCCGGTCGCGGTCCGCGTGGGCGTCCGCGACCGCGGCCCGAGCGCCCGCGCCGCCGCCGGCCGCCGCGGTTTCGGCGCTCGATTCGTTGGAGATCGTCACGTCGCGCGCGAGCGGCGCCGCCGTGCCCGTCTTCCGATTCCGCGGCGGCGCCCCGCCGCTGGACCTCGGCGCCGCGCCGCCGCCGACGCCCGCCGAGCTCGTCCCGGGCGTCGCCGGCGCGATCTTCGTCCCGGACGCGCTGTCCGCGGCGCAGGCCGCGCGGCTCGTGGCGCTCAGCGACGACCTGGGCGCCTACGCCGCGCGCGACGACGCCTTCCACGCGACGGGCGCGCACTCGCGCGTCTTCCTCGACGCGGACGGCGCGATCCGCGCCGCGCTCGCGGCCGCGCTCGCGGCCGCGCCGGCGGCCGGCGACGGGTCCTGGAGCGCGCGCGCGCCCGGGCGCCGCCTGTCGCTCAACGCCAAGTGCCGCTTCCTGCGCTACGCCGACGGCGACTCCGTGCAGCCGCACGTGGACCCGGCCTGGGACGCGTGCGACCCGTCCGAGGGCGTCGACGGCCTCGCGCCCGGCGCGCGGAGCTGGTTCACGGTCATCGTCTACCTGAACGACGGCTTCCGCGGCGGCGAGACGACCTTCTTCGCGCCCGCGGGGAACGGCGCCTACGACCTCGTCTCCGTGGCGCCGCGGCGCGGCGCCGCGCTCCTCTTCCCGCACGGCGCGCACCGCGATAGCCCCCTCCACGAGGGGAGCGAGGTCCGCGGCGGGTCGAAGCACGTGCTGCGGACCGACGTGCTCTACAGCGACGCGTAATGTTAGACGGCGACCTGCGCGTGGAGCGTCGCCACGAGCGGCGCGACGCAGTCCACGAGGGGCTCGATCCTGTGGAGCTCGCAGAAGGCCTGGACGCAGGCGAAGAGGTCCGGCCGCCCCCGGCAGTCGACGGCCGCGGCGGCCCCGTCGACGGAGATCTCCACGGGGACGAGCGCGGCCGACGCCGCGCGCGACAGCGGCGGCGGCATGGTGAAGGCTTCCGGCAGGCTCGGGTCGCGCGCCTCGAAGGCGACGGCCGCGGACGCGAGCACCGCGCCGGCGTCGTCGGCGATGGTCGCGTTGAGCGCGTACCAGGCCGGGGCCGCGAGCGCGGACCCGGGCAGGCGGAACTGGTTCGCCTTGCCGACGCCGACGCAGTCCGGGCCGGCGACGTCCGCGGCCGGCGCGCCGGCGACGAGGCGCCGCAGGCGGTAGCAGACGCGCATGAGCTGGTGCCGCAGAAAAAAGTTCTTCGCGTCGCCGACGACCGCGAGCTCCGCGCGCACCTCGAGCGCCGCCCCCGCGGGGACCCGGTCGCCCGGCCGCGGCGCGGAGAGCGCGAAGCCGTCGAAGTCCGCGGCGCCCGCGCCCTCGTCGAGGAGCAGCCGGTCCTGGTCGTAGAACTCGTTGTTGTCGCTGTCGCGGCCGTCGCCCGCGGGCGACGCGGCGAGCTGCGGCGACGCCTTGTAGGCGACGAGCTCGTCGAACTTCTCGACGATCCACCAGTCGACGGCCTGCTGGATGCCCCGGTCGCGCGCGGCGTCGAGGAGCCAGCGCGCCGTGCGCGGGCGCAGCACGTAGGCGAAGGCGCCCGCGCCGTAGGACCGCTGCCGCGCGGAGAACCGCTTGACGCCGCCGTACTCCGCGAGCGGCGCGTCGTCGTAGAGGTCCCGGTCGTCGAGGACGCCGAGATGGAGGAGATCCCAGGAGTAGTCCGCCGCGAGGTGCGGCGCCAGCGACGCCCACTTCGCCGCGAAGTCGTCGACGAAGACCGCGTCGTCCTCGAGGACGAGGTGCATCGCGTGGTCGTCGGCGGCCGCCGCGACGGCTTTCCAGGCCGCGAGGTGCGACAGCGCGCAGCCGATGACGCGCGGCCGGTAGCCGTGGTCCTGGTGCGCGTTCCTCGCGCCGGCGCCGTAGCGCCAGCGCGTCAGGTTGAAGATCGACGCGACGGCCGCGTCCGACACGTCGAGCGCGGCGCCGTCGACGGCGTCGACGCGGCGGACGTCGCCGCCGAAGCCCGCGGCGGCGAGCTTGTCGCGCATGGCGCGCCAGCGGTCCGGGCGGCGCGCGAGGTTGAGGATGAGGACGGCGTCGAGGTGGGGCAGGGGCCGCGCGGCCCGGCGCGCGAGCGCGCCGCGGCGCGGCGCCTTGAAGCCCTCGACGACGACCGTCGGCGCGCCGCCGGCGCAGGCCGCCTCGCGGCGGATCTCCTCGGCGTAGGCCGGGAGCTCGACGTCGAAGACGGACCGCGGCGCCGGGCCGTCGTCGAGCGCGTCGACGCCGTGGTCGCGGTCCGGGCTCAGCCCCGCGGCCCGGAGCGCGGCGGCGGCCGCGGCCGCGCGCGGCGCGTCGACGGCGAACTGGAGCGCGGCGCCGGGGAGCAGGGCCTGCGCCGCGTGGCGCGCGACGGCGCCGAGGGCCGCGTCGTCGAGGGGCCGCGTCGCCGCGCAGCCGAGCGCGGCGGCCGCCGCGGGCCGGTCCCCGAAATAAAAGGCCCAGTCGCTCGCGCGGTCCGCGTTGAAGTGGTTCAGGTCGAGCATGACCCAGGCGCCGTGGCGGTCCAGGATCGCGCCCGGGTCGCCGTCGACGGCCCGCTCGTCGCAGGCCTGCGACGTGACGAAGACCGCGGGCGCGCCGACGCGCTGCGAGGACCGCAACGCGAAGCGGAACTCGGACCGCTCCATGAGCACGAGGCTCGCGCGGTGCTCGAGGAACGCCGCGATGGGCCGGATGCGCTCGTCGAGCGCGTCCGCGCCGGCGGCGGCGAAGACGCGCGCGGCGGCCTCGCCGGCGGTCTCCTCGGGCGCGAACTTGACCGTGCGAAACGCGTCGCGCACGTTGATCTCGCTCACGCAGAAGGCGAAGTCGCGCGCGAGGTGCGCGACGTGCCGATGCCGCTGAGCCGCGACGACAACGGCGAAGCAAAACAGCGCTCGCAAAACGCCGCCTACCATGCTGCCCCGATAAGAATGCTCCAAGGTGAGGTCGTCCTTGACCAGTTCTTGACCACGCTGCCCCGCCGCCGCGACGCTGTGAGCGCTCGGTGGCGCCCAGCGGCCGTCGAGAAATACCACCAAGATGCTGAAGACGGACCGCAAGACGGGCGAAATATATTTCGGGACTCGGTGCGTCGCGCGAAGCGCGCGTTTCCCATTGACACGCTGCATGTTCCAGGCCGTCGGGCGAGGTCATCGACGCGAAGACGAACCTCTACCTCGCGCTCTGCGAGCTCGGCAAGCCGGACCGGCGCTGGGCGGCCTACCGCGAGGCGCTGTCGCTCTACATCTCGCGGCGGCTGAGCAAGCGCGAGCTCGACGCCGTCGTGCGCCGCGCGCTCGGCGGCGGCAACATCGGCCTGCACGACGCGTTCCTGCTGGCCGTCCTGCGGGACGGCGCGCGGCGCGCGGACCCGCGGCCGCCGACGCCGGAGCCGGAGACGTCGGACTCGGACTCGGAGGACGACGGCGCCTTCGGGCCCCTCGCGGCGTCGTGGGCCGACGCCGGTACGCCGCGCGCGCCGGCCACGCCGCGGCTCCCGGGCCCGCTCCGCGCGCCCCGCGCCTTCCGCGCGCCGCTGCCGCCGGCGCGGCTGCCCGGGCCCGGCGTGCTCGGCCCGCGCATGGACGACGTCGCGCGATCGCGCGGCCTCGACGGCGCGTCGCCCGCGGCCGCGCAGCTCGCGTCGCTCGCCGTCGAGGCCTACGTGCGGCGCCTCGTCGCGCCGGAGCAGCCGCCCGGGTCGTAACGTGCGAGACGTTAGACGACGAATTCCCCCCTCAGGCCTTGAGGTAGCGCGTGGCGACCATGACCCAGATCGCGGCGACGTTCTCCGCGTAGGGGAAGACGCGGACGCGGAGCGCGTGGCGCACGTGCGCGCCCTCCGTGTTGAGCACGTCGGCGCTGAGGTCGCCGCGCTGCAGCGCGGCGACCATGCGCGGCGCGGACGAGTGGGCGAAGCAGGTCGGGAAGCCCTTGAAGCAGTGGCCCGTCGGCACCTGGCGCCGGATCGCGTCCTGGAAGTCGTCCGTGCCGTAGTTCGTGCCCGTGAGCCGCTCGTTCTCGTAGGCCGCGAGGGCGGGCATGAGGGCGTAGGAGAGGTCCGCGTCCCAGGCCGTGATGAGGCCCAGCGCGGCGTGGCGGTGCGCCTCGATGAGCGCGCGGAGCTCGGCCTCGAGCGCGACCTCCGTCGTCTTCGCGTCGAGGCGCGGCGCCGCGAGGGCGAAGTCGCGCGCCGCCGACGGCGCGCTGTGCCGCGCGAGGTGGTCGAGCTTCGCCGGGTCCACGGGCGCCCAGGCCGCGGCGTCGTCGAGGTCCAGCGAGCACGACGCGAGATGGTCCGAGCCCTGCGCGTTCGCGTGGAAGGCGTCGTGCTTGAAGACGCAGGCCACCGTGAGGTAGCGCGCCCGCGCGTCGGCGTCGAGGGGCGCCAGGCCGCAGCGCCGGCCCGTCGCGGACTCCCACGCGGTCACGCGGAGCCGCGGCGGCCGGCCCGGCCCGCCCGCGTCGCGCGCCCACGTCGCGACCCAGACGTGGTTCTGGGCGCCGCCGCGGCCGTCGGGCATGGTGCCGACGCAGACGCGCGCGTCGAGGCCGAAGCCCAACAGGAGCGAGCAGAGGAGCGTCGCGTGGTCCCAGACGTCGCCCGAACCGCGCGCGAGGAACGCGTGCGCGGTGTGCCACGCGTCCACCGTCGCCCCGCCGCCCACGGAGTCCTCCTTCTCCAGCGGGATGAGCGACACGAAGCGCGCCGCGTGGCGCGGCGAGTCGAGGCACCGCGCGCCGCGGAGCGGGTGCACGTAGGAACAGACGCACCGCAACTCGCCCGTCTCGTCGCGCGCGAAGAGCTTGACGCCCGACCGGTCCCCGAGGCGGCGGCCGTCGCGGGCGCCGTAGGCGTCCCACCAGCTTTTGGCGTAGAGGTAGAAGGACCGGCCGGCCTCCGCGTGCGCGCCCTTGGCGCGCGCGAGCTCCCGCGATACGACCGCGTCGTCGACGGGGATCTCCAGGGGCGCGTCCCGGTTCAGGGCGACGACGTCCAGCGCCACGTTCAGGCACGCCGTCGGCGCGCCGCCCAGGTCGCCGCCGTGGAGGACGCTGTCGGGCCCCGCGGCCGCGAGCGGCGCCGCGACGACGGCGCCCTTTCGCAGCAGCGCCTCGCGCCAGTCCACGGACGCCGTCGCGACGAGCTCGCGGCGCGGCGCCCGCGGGCCGCCGGCGTTCTCCCGCGTCACGGCGAAGCGCACGAGGCTGCCGCCGTCGGCGACGAGCTCCTGCCACTCGGCGCCGGATTTCGGAATCGACGGCCGGAGCTCCAGCAGGAACGAGCCCCGGAGGTCCGGCTCCACGGCCGACGCCGCCAGCGGCGTCGCGGCGCGCTGCTTCGCGAAGAGCACGTGGGCGCGCACGTACTTGGCGACGCCGGACGCGCCCGCGTCGACGAGCTCGCCGACGAAAGCCGAGCCGCCGCGGATCTCCAACCGCAGCGCGAGCGACGGGCCGCGGCTGGCGGCGCCGTCGCCGTCGACGGCCGTGAGCAGCTCCGGCGCCGGCGACCGCTCCACGGCGGCGACGAGTTTCGCGAGCGCCGCGCGCTGGCCCGCGGGGCCGGCGTCGCCGGCGCCCTGGGCGTCGAGGGCCCGGCGAAGCTGGCCGTAGGTGTCCGTCTCCTTGAGGAGGCCGTCGATCATGGACCGCAGGTCCTCGACGCGCGCGTCGTTGGCCAGCATCGACGTCATCGCGGCCGGAGGCCACTCTCCGGCGGCTCGGGCTGCCTCTTTGAATTCCCTTCTCACGACGCTGCCCGCCTGAAAGACCTCAACGAGCTGGCCGTGTTGGCCTTTCCCCGATGTTTCCCCAGCTCTGCGGCGACGCGAGGCTGGGCCAGCAAAAACAAGAGAGCGCACAACAATGGCCGCGCTCGCCGGCGAGGGCAAGCTCGTGGCGATCCTCGGTGCGCCCCCGCGACGCGCGCGCCGCGACGCGCACCTTCGATCTTCGCGCGCGCAGGGGACGAGGACACGGTCACGGGGTTTCTGCTGGCGGGCGTCGGCCACCGGACGGCGGACAAGACGAACTTCCTCGTCGTCAAGGGCGACACGCCCGTCTCTGCAGTAGAGGCCGCGTTCAACGATTTCACGACGCGCGACGACATCGGCATCGTGCTCATCAACCAGCACGCGCGCGGCCGGCGCCGAGCGCGTCGCCGCCGCCGGCCCGAGACGGCTCCCCCCCCCCGCAGGTCGCGAACGACATCCGACATCTGCTCAAGTCGTACACGAAAACGATCCCGACCGTGCTCGAGATGCCGTCCAAGGATCAGCCCTACGACCCGCAGCAGGACTACATCATGCAGCGCGTGAGCGGGATGCTCAACGCCGAGACGTAGGGGGTCCCCGCCCCATGCTAAGTCGCTGTTATACCAACTCCGCCTTCGTTTCGTCGCGAGCTGGTATGGAGACGAGCTCCTGGGCGCCGAAGGGCTCGACGCGCTCGTCGACCGTGAGGCTCGCGTAGGGCTTCCGAGTCGCCGCGCCGCTCCCGCCGATGCCGAAGGTCACGGCGCGGAGCGTGGGTCGCGCGCGCCGCCGGCGCCGGTGGAGCCACGCGGCGCCGACGCCGCCGAGCGCGAGGACGACGACGGCGGCGACGGCGGCGAGGCCGATCCGCGCGACGCGCGGCGGCGCCGCCGTCGGCCGCGGCGTCGCCGCCGCGGTGGCGTCGTCCGCGGTGTCGCCGGGGACGGCCTCCGTCGGGCGCGGCAAAGCAGTCGGGCGCGGCAAAGAGGTCGGACGCGGCAAAGAAGTCGGCCGCGGCGACGGCGCCGCGGCGGCGGTTTCGGCCGGGGCCGTCGGCCGGGGCGGCGCGGTCCGCGCGGCCGCGGGCTCGGCCGAAGGCCGCTCCGTGTCGCTCGACGAGGGGAGCGACGTCGTCGGCGCCGCGGATGGCCTCGCCGTCGGGCGCGGCGACGGCTCGAGCGCCGGCCGCGACGACGTCGCCGAAGGCGTCGGCGCGTAGGTCGACGGCGCGGGCGTCGGGTCGCAGGTGCCCGACGCGACGGGGCAGGCGACGACGGCCGCGACGCCGCCGCCGACGCGCGCCCGGCGCTTGTCCGGCTTCTCGCCGACCCACGCGCAGTCGTGGTCGGGCCGGCCGTCCTCCCGCCAGCCGTCGTCGTCGACGCAGCGCTCGTACGCGCTCGGCGCGGCGCTCGGCCGGTTCGGGCAGGTGCCGACGTCGCAGCAGCCGGCGCAGTCGCAGCCCATGGCGTACTCGAGGTCCGCGCACGTCACGTTGAACTGCTCCGCCTCGCCGCAGAACGTCGACCCCAAAAAGTGGAGGATCTCGTCGCAGCTGTAGCCCAGGTAGCAGTTCCCCGGGCACGGCGCCTCGTCGTCGCCCCAGTCGCCGTAGCCGTAATTGCCGTAGGCGTTGCCGTAGCCGTAGGTGCCGTAGTTGCCGTACGCGTTGCCGTAGGACCCGCCGCCGCCGTCGCCCGCGTCGCCCGCGTCGCCGCCGACGGTGGGCTCGTCGAAGGGCGACGGCTTCGGCGTCGCCGTCGGCGCGGGCGAGAGCGGCGTCGCCGTCGGCGCGGGCGAGAGCGGCTCGCCGACGAGGGGCGCGAAGCCGACGCGCTCGTCGCCGGCGTCGAACGCCGCGTAGACGGCGCCCAGGAACGTGTCCCCCAAGAGCCAGTAGTCCGCGCCCTCGTCGGCGTCGACGCCCAGCACGCAAAAGTCCACGGCGGGGTCGTCGCCGCAGGTCTGGCAGTCGCCGCCGTCGCAGGAGAAGCCCGGGCAGTCGAAGAAGATGCCGTACCTCCCGTCGTCGCACGTGCCGTCGCCCCGCCAGTCCGCGTAGGTCGCGCTCCAGCAGACGCCCCGGCAGTCCCGGAACTCGTCGGCCTCGCAGTCCCGGCCGTAGAGGTAGTGGTCGGGGGACACGCGCGCGACCGCGCCGCCGCCGAAGTCGAACGCCAGCGTCGGGCCCGCGCCGCACGGCGCCGCGACGAGGTCCGCGACGCCGTCCGCCGTCGACGACGCGCAGGGGCCGATGGCGTAGGCGTCCGCGGCGTCGTCCCAGTCGTAGCAGACGGCGCCGTCGAGGGCCGCGGCGAGCGCGCGGACGGCCCGCGCGTCCGCGACGATCAGCGTCGTGCCCGTGTCGACGACGGCGCGGCTCCGGTCCGTCGGCAGGGCGAGGTCGCCGAAGGTCACGCCCTCGAGGGGCACGTCCCAGTAGTCGCGCCGGTTGCGGTGGTGCGGCGGCGCGAGGTCCACCCAGGTCAGGTTGCCGCGGAACTTTGCGGGATCCACGCCGCCGAGCGTCAGCTCGCCCGCGTCGTCGTCGCCGCCGTTGGGCACGTGGAAGGCGAAGATCGGCGCGTCCAGCTGCGGCAGGATGTTCTCCAGCGGCGTCGCCGCCTTGAGGTGGCTCAGCGACCCGAAGGCGAGGCCCAACAAACCGTCCTCGCCGCCGCAGACGTAAAAGTCGCCCATGCCCTCGATCTCCGCGAAGGCCTGGTGGGGCACCTCCAGGCCCGCCCAGGTCATCGTGTCGTAGGCCCGCGCGCCGTGGACCGCGTCGCCGTCGATGTAGTTGATGGAGAAGGCCTTGCCGTCGGCCTCGTACGTCGCGCTCGCCGCGCTGTCGAAGACGTCGAGGCCGGCGCAGGACGCGTCGCAGCCCTTGCTCGCGACCCAAAAGTCCGCGGAGCCCGTGTCGAAGATGACCTCGAGGGGCTGCGGCGGCGTGCCCAGGGCGATGGACCCGTAGTAGACGGACCCGTAGCACTCGACGATGGGCTCGGAGACGACGGCCCGCGACCGGTGCCGCGCCGCGACGCGCCGCCGCGCGTGGGCGCCGCGCTTCATGCCGCGCCGCTTCACGGGAATGCGCTCCAGGGAGCCCGCGACGGCCAGCACGGCCAGCAAAGCGCGGCACATCGCGGCTTTATTCCATCAAGGAGCCCATGTTGGAGCGCGTCAATGATGAAGTGGGTTGGTTAGGGTGCCGCTAAATGTAAAAACTAGGTGAAGCGGCTGCCAACAGACAGTCCGGTCTCCCGCGCGCCGCGGAGCCGAGACAGGCGCCGCCCCGCTTCACGGGCCCGGCGGCCCTCGGCCTCGGCGCCTCGCCGCCCCCGGCCTCCACGGGCGCCTAGAGCGATGGACCGCGGGAAGGCCGGCAGCCCTTGGTCCTAAACTCCGAAAATGGAGGAGCGCGTCCGCGCGGCCCTGCGGCTGCGGCCCGTGGACCGGGCCGCGGAGCGGAGCCTGCGCGTCGAGGGCGACGAGGTCATCGTCAAGGCGCGGGGCGGCAACGGCCAGCTGAGCCACCGCCTCGACAAGGTCTTCGGCGAGGACGCGAGCCAGAGTGAAGTTTTCGAGTGGGTGACGCCGGCCGTCGCGGACGTCGCGCGGCGGGGCGTCCACGCGACGATCTTCGCCTACGGCCAGACGGGCACGGGCAAGACGCACACGATGATGGGCGACATCGGCGAGGGCGGCCTGGGGGACCGCGCGGGCATCATCCCGCGCGCGGCCGCCGCGCTCTTCGAGACGCTCGGCGCGGGCGCGGCGGCCATGTCCATCGTGCGATCGACCGTGCACTGCTCCTACATGCAGATCTACGGCGACCGCGTCATGGACATGCTCGCCGACGGGCGCTCCGGGTCGCTGGCCGTCCGCGAGACGCCGTTCTCGGGCGCGCGCGGCTCGTCCAAGTCCATCTTCGTCCAGGGCCTGAGCGAGTACCAGGTCACGTCCGCGGGCGACGTCCTGAGCCTCGTCGCCCGCGGCGACGCCGCGCGGGCGACGCGCGCGACGGACCACAACGCCCAGAGCAGTCGGTCCCACGCGATCCTGCAGCTCGCGCTCGAGGTCGAGTCCGTCGAGACGGGCGACGATGCGAAGCAGTCCTGGCGGTCCCAGTTCGCCGACGGCGGCGACGCCGCGCCGCCCTCGGCGGACGGCGGCGCGGCGCGCACGGTCATCCGCCGCGCGAAGCTGAGCTTGGTGGATCTGGCGGGGTCCGAGAAATGGAGCGACTCCGCGACGCACGACAAGGCGCTGGCCTCGGAGCTCCGGGCCATCAACAAGTCGCTGTCGGCGCTCGGCAACTGCATCGCCGCTTTAGCCGACCTCGCGACGCAACAGCAGGGCGCGGCGCAGGCCGAGGGCGGCCGCGTCCAGTCGCGCGGGTCCCTCCGGAGCCACGTGCCGTACCGCGATTCGACGCTCACGCGCCTGCTCCAGGACGCGCTCGGCGGCGGCACGCGGGCCGTCGTCATCGCGACGGCGTCGGCCGCCGCGAGCGCCTCCGACGAGACGAACTCGACCTTGGCCTTCGCGCAGCGCGCGACGCGCGTCACGGCGACGTTGCGCTTCGACGAGGTCGTCAACGACGGGCTACTACTCAAAAAGGCCCAGCGGGAGATCTCGCGCCTGCGCCGCCAGCTCCAGCGCTACCAGACCTCCACGCCGTCGCCCCTGTCGAGCCCGCCGGCGCCGCTCCTCGCGCGGACGTGCCCGCCGGGCGTCGCGCGGACGGCGTCGCTCGGCGACCTCGGCGCGCCGGCGCGCAAGGCGAGCGACCCGGACCCGGCGCTCCACGACCAGTTCCGCGCGGCCGTCGACGCCGCGGCCAAGGTCGCGGCGGACCGCGCCGAGCGGCGCGCCGAGGCCGCCGAGGCGCGCGTCGCGTTGCTCGAGGACCGCCACGCGGCGCAGGCGGCGGCGTTCGACGCGCGGCTCCGCGCGGCCGTCGCCCGCGCCGAGGCGAGCGAGCGCGCGGAGCCCTGGCGCCTCAAGCCCGCGCGGCCGCTGCCTTCCGAGCCGCCGCCGCGGGCTGCGGCGCGCCCGCCGCCCGCGGACCCGCCGCCGAAGCGCCGAAAACCGCCGCCGACGGAGACCGCGGCGCCGGAGCGGTCCGGGCCGTCGCCGTCGCGGCCGCCGCCGCCCGAGGCCGCGCCGCCGCCGCGGCCGCCGCGGGACGGCCTGCCGCCCGCGGCGCTCGACCGGCCGGCGCCGCGGCCCGCGTCGCCCGTCGCCCCGGCGCCCGCGGCCGCGCCGGACCGCACGGCCGTGTCGACGCCCGACGACGACGACGCCGGGCCCGCGGAGCGGTCCCCGCCGCGGGACCGCGTGCCCGACGGCCGCATGGCCGACGCGTCCGCGGCGAAGCTCGCGGCGCTCCTGCTCGAGTACGAGGCCGACGGCATGAGCTTGGAGGCGTGTTTCGACGCGATCGACGCCGACGGCTCGGGCCTCATCACGGCCCAGGAGCTCTGGGACGGCCTCACGTCCCTGGGCGACGCCTTCGAGGACCTGACGCGCGCCGACGTCTGGCGCGTCATCTTCTCCATCGACGAGGACAAGAACGGGTCCATCGACAAGGCGGAGCTCGCGGCGTTCGTCGCGCGGTTCCGCGCGGTGCGCGAGCCGCCGCGCGACGCGCCGCGGGACGACGCGGCGGCGGACGACCGCACGGCGCGGTCCGCGGAGCGGCTCGCGCGCCTCCTCGGCGACCTCGAGGCCCAGGGCGTGCCCCTGGCGACGGTCTTCGCGACCATCGACGCGAACGCGAACGGCTTCATCACGGCCACGGAGCTCTACGCGGGGCTCAAGTCCCAGGGCCCGGCCTTCGCGGACCTGACCGTCGCCGACGCCTGGCGCCTCGTGCGGACCATCGACCTCGACCGCAACGGGTCCGTGGACCTGCCCGAGCTCGAGGCCTTCGTCGCCAAGTTCCGCGCCGAGACGCCGCCGACCAAGGGCTCGAGCCAGTCGGGCAGCCTCATCGAGGACGAGTACAGCGCGCAGACGACGGCCGTGCCGGGCCACGACGGCACGCCCGCGTCCAGCCAGGGCGCGAGCTCGGACGCGCGCTCCGAGGAGCTCCCGGAGCTGCCCAAGGCCCCGGAGACGCCGAGCGACCTCGGCGACGACGCGCCCCACGCGGGCGACGACGGCGGCGACGCGCCCTACGACTTCGACTTCGAATCCGAGCACTCCAAGGGCTTCGCGTCGCCGCGGCCGAAGGGCGTCGGCTTCGCGGGGCTCGGCGACGACGCGCCCGAGTCGCCCGCGAGGAGCGTCGGCTTCGCGGATGACGCGCCCTCGAGGAGCGTCGGTTTTGCCGACGACGCGCCCGCGAGAGGCGTGGGCTTTGCTGATGATGCGCCCGCGAGGAGCGTGGGCTTCGCGGAGCCGGCGAGAAGCGTCGGCTTCGCCGACGACGCGCCCGCGCGAAGCGTCGGCTTCTCGGAGCCGGCGAGAAGCGTGGGCTTCGCGGACGAGGCCGCGCCGCGGAAGGCCGTCGGCTTCGCCGGCGTCGACGTCGACGACGCGCCGCGGAAGCCGAGGCGGCGCGCGGGCACGCCGCGGCGGGCGCCGGAGCCCGAGCCGGACCCGTTCCCGGAGCCGCCCGCGCGGGGCGCGGGCTTCGCCGGCGACGCGCCGAAGCGGAGCGTGGGCTTCGCGCTGCCCGACGGCGGCGGCGAGCCGAAGCCGCGCCTGCGGCCCGCGACGCCGAAGCGGCGCGCGCCGGGCACGCCGCGCGCGGCGCCGCCCGACGCGGAGCCCGCGATGGCGCGCCTCGGCACGCCGCGGGGCGTGCCCTTCGGCGCGGACCCCTTCGGCGGCGGCGACGACGACGACGACGACGGCGACGGCGTCGACGACGACGTGCCCTTCGAGGAGTCGGCGCTCTGGCCGCCGTCGAGCGCGGCGCCGTCGGAGCCGCGGCCCGTCGACGAGGAGCTCGACGCGGAGCCGTCGGGCGACTACGAGGACGACTTCCTCGAGCACGCGCGCGCGCGCTACGAGGCGTCCGCGGCGTCGCCGAAGGCCGCCGCGTCGCCGCCGTCGCCGGAGGAGCCGCGGTCCGACGCGCCGACCGCGCGAC